CGCACAGACCTGCCTGTTGCCACGATGATCTCCCAAGACCGCTGGCAGCCGCAAATCTATCCTGGGGCGCGATGAGGGCAGGATATCTCGCTTCGCAGAGCCCAACAAAGACACACGACCAGGTTGAGAGGCGGCGACCAGCCCCCGACCGGCGTGGCGACAATTTCAACAAAAAAAAAAAGTGAAGGCTGTGGGTGCACTGAGGAGACGAGCCCAGCTGTGCTCTATCCAAGAGGGTGTAGGACATTGATTGCTTTGCTGCTATCCGTCATAAATGAAGGAGTGCTGTGCAAATTGCACAGCACAGGACTTTGCAGGAGCGCCCAGGATTCTAATCAAGTTGGAAGGTTCGAAAGGCATGCTATTACAGAGTCGCAGGATCTTACAAAAAAAAATTCTAAAAAAGTTGGCCCTGCGACGTACTGCAGCGGACGACCCACCAATGCCTTCCATCCTTGTGCACTCTGGCCAATCAAAAGCTGATGTAACCCTACACTTCTGCCCATCTACAGAGACGGAGAATAGTGGAGAACAAGGTTTGCACTGTCCATAACCATTGCCCACTGTGCCACACTGTGTTTCTCAGTTCTGCTCCTGCCGTTTGAGTCTCCACCAGCCGAAACTTTGAACGCCGTTCTGTTTTGGAAAGCATCGTACCTTACCACAAGGGAAAGAGCGATCAAAGCCAAACAACAGACATGGGGTAATATGGGAAATAGCAAGGGGAAAGCAAGCCTGGTTCCTTCCCCATGCGTGCAACAGGCAGAGGAACAGAAAAGACTGGAGCAAGTTGAGACTTGACGAGACTCTCCATCATCAACAGTCCGTCTCTCGCGTGACCGACACGACCGTCGCGACCCCTTCCCCGCAAATGGCACACACCACGGCGACGATGAAAGATGACTACGCCCATTGTGTGCAGGGTGAACCTCCGGCGAAGGAAACGACGCTCGTCTCAAGGAGGAGCAACAGAGGAAGACGACAATAGGAACAGCGGACAGTATTCGTAGGTTGTGGCCTGTGTTGTTTGTGTTGCCTGTTCCTATCTATCCCTTGCTCCCAATCACCACAGCCTCCCGGAACGGCCCTTTGGCAAGGTTGTTGGGATCACGTTGGCTGGGCTAGGAACACGAGGACCGCGATGAAAGACAACGAACCACCACAGACACCCGAAACCAGTACCAACAGCAGGTGATGATCCACAATCCTCTGCCGTCAGCCGTGCTGGAAGTGGCGGGTTTTGGATCCTTTTGCGTCCATGTTGCATCTGAGTCCAAATTGAGTCTCACAATACACTAGTCGATGTCGACAAACAGTCAAGTCGGGGTTGGTGCCCAACCTTGGATGCCCCTTGTTCCTCCCATCCCTCTCGCTCCTCACGATAGGTCCCTTTGCAGCGGCGACGCTGGGGCCAACACAAACACGGTTGGCTGCCCCGTCGAAATGTCCTGCCGCCTGTCGTTCTCGATCTGGCTGCCTGCATCCCCTGGTTGGTCAGAAGCTCGCTGGAGGTGCAGCCAGAACGACGAACAACGTATCGAGGCACGCTCCGCTGCGACGTACGACGACGCGCCACGAACAGTGCATATATCCGCTCTCCGCTCTGGATGCTCCGCTCTGGATGCTGCCGACGGATAGCGGCCTGATCGGTTGCTGTGGACATGCGCCGCGCGCTTGTGCGATTACGAGTAGCCTTTACACATCGCAGTTGCCACCCGAGTCCAGGCCCAAGTCCAGACTTCACGATGCATCATGTCGGGGCTGTCCCCATGTCGTTGTCGCCAATACAACGCGTCCAATTTTCCTCTTGCTCTCATCTGCTGCATGCTGCATCTTTCGTCCTCTCCTTCCTTTCCCGCTTTCCTCTTTCCTCTTTCCCTTTTCCTTTTCTGGGTATTCCCTTTAGTCCCTCAATCTGCGGCGCGCCGCCCATTTCTCGGGCCATTTTATTGTGTGTCACAGGCCTGGACCGGTCCATGGAGCGGGGACCCTTTAGCCAAAATTGGGTTTGCGGTCCAATTTTGTGAGGTGAAAAAGCAAAATGTATCGTGAACGGGTCCCCATCCAATCGTTCGTCTCAGTTGGCTTGGCTCACATTTTGGCCGTGGTCTCTTGTTTCTTGACGACTCCCTCCGCTCCCTTCTCAGCGCTCTCTTTGTCCACTGACCCAGAGGACCGTCAACGGACCGCGCCACAGTCTAATGCATCAGCCGTTTATTCCGTTTGGAGATGGCTCCGATGAATGAAAGAAAGGCTAGTCGAGTGGCTCCAGACCCCTCTGTAAGTGGCATCATTTTTCTTTGTCGTGCCATCCACTTTCGCTTTCCACATTCCATTTTCCAATGCCACGCGAAGCACCGCCCAGTGTCTCACCCTTAACCTCCAATGGAAAAATATGAAAGGCCTGAAAGAAACGTGACAGGTAGTAGTACTACAGGAAGACAACAAGAAAAGGAACACAAGACATGGTCGATGACATCAACACCCGGGCCAGCCACGACAAACAATAAGGGTTTTGAGACATAATCAAGGGTGCATGCGCCAGTGCAGGGGACCTCGGGGTCTACATCCAGGTCTACGTCACTGCACTTTGTTGTATAAGGTAATTACTGGGTATGTCCATAGTTTACATATGGCTTTATGACTGTGATTCCTTTGTAGTCCTATTTTCTTTCTCGTCCACATTCCGTTCTTTCAATCGCCTTCTCAGCGCAGACAGCCAGCGACAGGAGACAACAAGAAAATCTCTGACTATGACGTACTGCGATGCGTTGTTTGATTTGGTGAGTGTTGTCATCGGGAAATATGACTTGCGTACCAAGAACGAGAATGACACAAAGGACAGAAAACCTGCGGAATGCAACGGCCATCAAAAAGACCACAACAGAAAAAACACCCAACCCTGCAGTGCTCGTGGCACCAACCAAGCGGAGAGATGCCAGATACCGTACCCGCAGGGATGCCACAGACGTTGGAGGCCAAAAAGAAAAGGTTTTCCTTTCGACAATATGCATCGAGATGCGGGCGAGATGCAGATCAAGTTGGCCCAACCAGACATCAGCCTAACCGCCAACGCGAGATTCCGTTTCCAGGAACTTTCCTATTCGTTTTGGACCAACCTATCCTTTGTTCGCTTTTGCTCTGTTCTGCTGTTCCATTTCTCACACTCGCCCAGTCCCTTGCATGTGAAGAGTCAAAAAACGTGCATCGTGCATGAGGGCCAGAATTTGCGGAATGCAGAAACAAGTACGACAAAATACGACGTACGACATGCAACTGTTGGTAATGCTGTGTTAATGATACGGAAAGAATACAAGATGCTCGGCACCTGTTGGAGTCTACCTGGATTCATTGCTCCGTGCAAACTGACACTTTTCTCTGTTTCTGGTTTTGCCACTTGCACATTGCCACCAAAATGTGTTTGTCCTTTCTACAGAAAGTATGTTTTCTCATCAAACGGGATCTCCGCACACGCATGCAAGCAGCCCGAAAAGGTTGTGTGTTCAGAGAACAAACAATATTACGGTGTAAGACGTAGGAAGAAAAACAACAAAAAGAGGATCCTTGGACGGGCGATCAAGCTACGGCAAGGACCGTCGCCTAAGGGGCGAAACTCAGCTCAAAAGCCGAACTCCAAAGTCCCCAAGGCAAAATCAAGGAAGCAGCACTGGTTCGAACTCCTGTGGAGTCGTGAGCAACCACGATGTAGTTGACTTTCTTTCCTGGTGAGATATGCTGTTGATCCTGGTAGTACTCTTGTCCAGGGGACAAAAGATAATTCACGAGCTGCAGAGCGAAAAGGAGGCAAAAGAAAGGAAGAGCCTGCACAGATTGGACTGCTCTGTACTGCACTTCATTTCGGGTTGCCTGGCTGGGTCGTGATCTGGCTGTGGTTTCTGCTTTGCCGATTCTACCCTCCCAGGCTGGCAGAGGCGTTTCCTTTACTCCCTTGATTCCTCTTTTGTCTTTTCGTTTTGCTGCACAACCCTGAAGGCTGCACGACTCGCTTGAGCAAGGGGCCAGGTCTCAGTTGCGGAGTAAATACGTCGTAATTCGTACAGTTGTGTCGGTTGTGGCGTTGGTGGCTGGCGCACGGACACTCAATAAAAATAAAAATATCGGGTTGCCGCCGCAGGCGACAGCGCCAGAGTGTCTCCAGTCTCACACGTCTTACAGGGGTGCTTCAGTGCTTCCAGGCCATACCCAATCCAGAGCCTTGCCCTCCCATTCCGACGACGACGACACGACGACGATGCAGTGCAACCCAGCAACGATAACATTATTGTCCCAAACTAACGTGTCTCGAGCGCCACGATCTTGAAGCCGTGGTCCGAGCCGTACTGCGTGATCGGCTACATGCACACCTTTTGTAAAATACCAAGTGCACAAATGACGGGTCAGAATATTTCGCTACTTGACATTAACTTTTTTGTTATGATTTAGACGTAAAACGATCGCTGTTGTCACCAGCATAGCACGAGGACCACTGAAAGCCCCTGGTTTATCTACGCCTTATTTCAACGATCTTGAGGATGTGCAGGTGGCAATAATACTGTTGGTGCTGTGGTAGTGTTACTGACGGTGATGTCTGGCAGCCGTTGGAGCGTCTGTTGGCGATTTGCTGGGTTGTTCGTCTGTTCGTCTACTTATTCGAGCCACATCCGGTAGGCGATGTTTTGATTGTATCTACACCAAGACTCGGGATCCTGATATCAAAAAGGACAATGTAACTGGAATGGCAAAGTGACGGGACACAGCATCCTGATTTGTCCTGATTTATCCTGCTTTATCCTGCTTCGTCCTGCTTCGTCCAACTCCTCGTAGCTCACTTACGAAGACCAGATGACGTTGGGTCGAGATCCTTGGCTAACAAACAAAACCAGACTTGCTGCAGCCCAATCTCGATTGCTGTACAACATACTCCGTGCTATGACTACACATCTTACTGCCGACTCTAGTCCCAGCTTTCTCTGAGCTCCATTGGCCGTCCCTCTCATTGCTTAACGCACAACTTGCCCAACATCGACGACGGCAGTGTTGGTTGCGAGGTCTGTGTAGGCCTTGTACTGGCTTTGGAGGATAGTGGACATATTGTCCCGGTGCAGGGCGACAGGATCCAACAAGACGAGGCCGGGGAGACGAGAAGCCGGCACCACAGCCGACGTGCCTTGGACAAGGCGCCGGACCGCCGACGATGCCATTTCCCTAGCCGCTGAAATGCCAATCACCACAAAGGGTGGCGACGCATTGCCACCCCGGTACCTACCTTGCTCACCCCAGACCCTTTGGATCATCGTCCACCTGCGTTGGTGCCTTGAGCTCAAGAGCTAGACGGTAGCCGACGCTGTCAAGCTCGACTACGGCTCCGGCTGCCAGTGTTTGGGCGCCACCGGTCCTGCGAGTCAGAGGTCGCCGAAGAAGGCCGCCGCCATGGTAGTACACAACCAGTGGCGCGTCTGACGGCGAATATCGAGGCCGGTTGAAGCGGTGCGATGGTCCGTTTTCGAGAGACCCGTCTTCCACGAACAACATGTCGGTCAGCGGCGGATATGGCAAAGCCGGCTGTCCCAGCAGACCGGCGAAGGCCATGGGCATCTCTTCGGCCGATCCGCCGAGTACTGGCCACGCTCCGACGGCTTCTTCGAGGTGAAGAAGGATGTATTAAGCAGTGGTAGTAGAAGAGACGGTAGATGATGTGTGCCTATTTCTTGTTTGTGCGATTTGTTTATTTGCGTTTTATATTTCTCCCTTATTTGTCTTTTCGACTTGTTTAGCTATCTCACCTCCTCGACCAATTATACGACCACTCAAATGTTTCAAACGACTTCTTGTCGCCACTTGGCTCCTGCCTTCCTTTTCCCCGTTCCGATCATGAAGCGGGTCCGGATATCCGGTCCGGATCGTTCCCGGCCGAAGCCACACTATTAGACACCCAGCAGCTAGAACTTATTTGCTACACCGACCCATTCCCCGTCTCTTCCTATGTCCATGAGCCATCCCTTCTGGCCCCTCTCAAAGCTTCTCCTCATAATCGTACTTCTCAACTTGGGGGTTTTCTTTTGCCTTACTTGTCCCTGCCTCCTCCGGATCTCAACCGTAGACTGCAGGTACGAGCCACCGAAACGATTACCGTTCCGTGAGATGGATTCTGTATTGTATTTTTGTCTATTGGCTGTCTCAGCAGACCGTGGCAGAAGGGGCGACCACCACCATCCACCACCACGTGTCTTCAGCAATATCCGCTGCCGCACGTGGGCCTCTTCACCCTACTCGTCCGACCTGACGCCCAAACCCAAGAACTCGAAGTGCACTGAGGCGGACAAGATAAACTTGCGCAAGAGCCTAGCTGCTATGCTGGCTTTGCGCCGCCGCATCGCGGACAACTTCACGTTCGTTTTGCGTCCTGCTGCGTAACACGCCGCAACTGAAGGGCGTCCCTAACCTACTCGAGGCTGATATGGTGATTTGTGGTTTTACGTAAGAAGCAAGAAGGGGAAGAACTGTCGATAAATAAGAGAATTTATTTAAATTTACATACGCCACTAAAGCTCCCTCCTCCCTCGTATACTGGTACTCACTGTAATGATATGCTGTGATGTCTTCTCCTTGTGCAACAATCGCGCCTTCTGATCACTAACACCGTGATTGCCTAATTAGGAAATATCCCCACAATTCCTGGATCGCACCTGATCCGAAACCTCTTCCTCCACACACTAACTCAGGCATGTCGATTCCGGGTACTTTCCAAAGTAGAGTGATTTTTGGAAGGACGTGGCTAAAAGTCACTCGCCAAATGCAGAGATAGAAACTCGGAAAAGCAGCTGGTTCCCGTGGAAATTGGTTTACAGATGGTAGTGAACGCGTTTCGATTCTACGCGAGAACATACGCAAAGTCAAGTTAAGAACCAAGACGCAAAAAACAAAATAAAACAGAAAATAAAGTCGAATAGATCGCTGTGGCCTTCCCGGGATTTCCTCCCCTTCACCCACAAAGTCCCGTATAGTGTATTTCCCCTCGCAGTTTCCAGGTTTCTCACTTCCACTGTGAACCCCCCTCCCAACCTCTTCTCCATCGTAGTGTCTACTTCTGTTCCAGCATGAAACCAGAGAAGAACCGGTCAAGCGACGTGTAGTCATTTACCGCACCCACGTACGACACGTACTGGTCTGGCCGGATCACAACAGCCGCGCCCACTGCAGGGTCGATGCCGTAGTTCTTGTACGCGTCGCCATTGCCCTCGTGGTACGACTGGTCGTCCACAAAGATCTTGTTGTAGTCCCAGCCGTCGACCTCGTGGAACGGCCGCATCACTTCTGGGAAGTCGAAGATGCTCACCTCCTCGCGGTGACCCGAGTGCACCGTGAGAAGCTCAATCACCGAGTCGTAGCGGCCGTCCTTGGGCGTGAAGCGCTTGAGGAACGACGTAGGTTGTGCGAGCTGCTTGCCAATGACCTCGAGATCCGCGCTGCGGTCCGGAATCGTCAGGTCACCCGGAAAGAACACCACGCGCCAAGTGCCGTTGCTGGGGAGGCGCTCCTGGAAGTGCCAGGGCCGGGCGTCCGACTGGTTCAGTACTTTGAAACTGGGCATGCGCATGCCTACCTTGACCTCGGTCGCCAGCTCCTGGCGGCTCACCACAGGCTTCTTCGTGACACCGTTGACACCGTTGACACCGTTGGCACCATTCGTGGCCGCCGCCTCAGGCGCCTTGGCCACAATGCAGCTGGCGCCGTAGTCGACAGCAATGCCGCTGGCAAACATGTTGCCCTTGGCAAATGCCTCCTTGAACTCAGACATGCTGATGCCTTCCTCGTCCATGACATCCTTGGCCGGCCGGCCCGAAAACAGCCGCGAGAACTTATGGTCGAATTTAATCAGGTCGTGCGCGATGAGGCTGCGCTCGTCCTCGTACGATTTGAGGATCGACCGGTCAGCCGTGCCCTTGAGCACGCTAGCAATCTTCCAGCCGAGGTTGAAGGCTTTTGAAAAGTGTTAGCACACGGTCGTTCGACCAGCACACATTTGCTCACGATTTGGGGACGTGCACTTACTGTCCTGCATGCTGACGTTCATACCCTGGCCGGCCTTGGGCGAGTGCGTGTGCACGGCATCGCCCGCTAGGAAAATACGCTCGTTGGCCGAGAAATGCGTGCCCACGCGCTGTCCAATCTGGTACGCCGTCCACCAATCCAGCGTACGGTACGACAGCGTGTACGGCGCCATAATCTTGTTGGCCGACTGCAAGATCACCTCGGGCGTGATCTTGGACCGGTCCGCACGGGAGCCTGCCGATGAGCCGTCGGTGTTCTTTTCGGTGGTGGTAATTTGGATGTATAGCCGCACGAGTTTGTTCTCGCGCGGGATGACCATAACGCTGCCCGACTCCGCCGAGTGGATCGCGCAGCGCATGCGGATGTCCGGGAAGTCCGTGATCGGGACAATGTCCAGGACACCCCAGATGTAGTCTGTGCTCTCGCCCTCCAGCGCAAAGCCCAACTCGCGCCGCACCCACGAGTGTGCGCCGTCGGCACCGAGCATGTACTTGGCGCGCACCGTCTCGACCGCGCCGGCCTTGGCGTTGAGCTCGGCCGCTTTGATTAAGTCAGCCGTGTCGTCCGCCGCCAGGTTGCTGCGAAACAGGCCGTCACTGACTGCCACGCCGTTGGTTGACGTTGCCACCTGCTTGGGCGTGGCCTCCTCTTCGGTCAGGTGGCGCAGCGTCACCGTGATGGGGTAGTTGTCGGGCGAGTTGTCCTCGGCTTGGGATGCGTCAAACTTGAGCGCTGTCGGCAGCACGCCGCGCTCGACGCGGATGTCGCTTTCACGCTCAATCTGATCGATGAAGAGGCGCTCGATGCGGCCCTGGTTGAGGACGACCTGCTGGAAGCGGCTGATACCCGGGATAGTGTCTGGGATGCGCCCACTGCGAGCAATCTTACCCGACTCGTCAGGGTTCCAGAAGCAAATTTCAATCATGTGGTTGGACTCGATCCATACGCGGTTGGCAAAACCAAATGAGTCGAAGATCTCGAGCGTGCGGCATTGCAGGCCGTCAGCCTGGCCGTTGAAGATCTGGGAAAATGTCAGGATTGCCGCCCGGGGAGTCCTCAACAGGTAGTGGAGAAGGAAAGCATACCTTGGTACCGCGTTTATCAACAATGCGCGTCTTGATTCCACACCGTGCCATCCAGGTAGCCATCATCATTCCGGCCGGGCCAGCGCCCACGATGAGCACATCAACATTACTCTCAGTCGCCATGCTTATTTGAGGTGAAGGTGGGGGCGGGATATCAGGGTATACGAGGGTATGGGTTGAGAAGGTCAAGGAATGAAGCAGGCGAAGGTTATGAAGTCTGTTGATGTTCGTCTTTGCCGTACAGAAAAGATGCTGAGACCTGCTCTTTATGTCGAATGATGTATATTGTCGTGTCCAAAGCGGGAAAAAATATGTCTGACCTTTGTCGATGTTGATGTGCCCTGTTTTTCTATTTTATAAGAAAACAGAAGAAGAATCCATGATCTGCCTTCACTTTCCCTTTTCGCACATATTGTTGTCATCCACGGCCTCCTTCAACGCTACCCACCGAGGCTGGGTCGTCGGTCCAGGGTAGTGGTCCATGGCCTTCGGATAGGGGTACATGGCCTCATGTCCATTTTCAAACCAAGAACTCGATAAACGGTTCATAGCCCATTGGGCACATCTCTCACAGTCCATTTTGGTTGTAGCGTTTCGTGGGGCAAGCTAGTACGACATGGCTACTCCGTCGAGGCGATCTGGAGAAGACAAGAACCGCTCTTTACTGGCAGATGCCAATCGGTTAGGTAAGGCACGAAAATATGTTCCGCGGCGGAGCGGGGGACGTTTTTCCAGTTTGTTGTGAAGGAACAAGTGCGGGGAAATGCGCCATGGACAATGGGGATCGTAGTCGGAGCGGAGTGCATGTGGGAGGAGTGGGCGAAAGACAAATAAGACAGGCGAAGCAATGTCCACTTCATGCTACTAAAGGCGTCTCTGGCAAATCAACAAAAGGCTTCCCGGCGATGGTCTCACCTGGTGTCCTAAGGTGGCTCGTAGCACTAATCTTCAGACGCGGACGTCAGACGGACACCAATTTCGCGCCCCGAATCCGATTCCGTCTCCGCTCGTCCATGGTTTATCTGTCGGAAGCTGGACATTAGCATATTGGAGTACAGGGTAGCTTATTTCTTTAGCTGATCCTCCAAGTCAGCTAAAACTAGCACACAAAAATGACGCGGCATTGGAATCGGGTAATACCCTCTACAGCGGTCTCCCAGACGAGGACCTAAACAGTTGGAGGCGAAAGGTTCCGGTGACGTCGGAAGCGAAGAGTAGAAAGCCGGGATGAGGAGGATAGGGAGAAGCTCTTCGACAAGAGGGTTGATCTGCAACAAGGCGACAAATCAGCGCGTGAGCAGGGTTGGGTGGCATAGACGGTACTAAAAGCAATGCCGGTATACCATGTTGTGTTGAAGTTGGACACGATGCAAAATGTCGGGATGCCTACGATGAAAACATTCCAGACTGACCAAATCAGGGGGCAGTGAGCAGTATCTGAAAGAATGATAACGGAAAAGAAGGCAGGTGCGATCAAACGGATGTCTGGAGGGTAAGTGCAGTTACAGAAGGCGCAGCCCGGTTGAGCATCAGTCGTTCCTCCCTGCTACTCCTACAAATAAGACATAATTTGAACAATTTAAAATCATTAACAATTAAAATCAGAAGCAAAACGCAACTCCAAAAATAAATTGTAGACATGTTGTGAATAGAATCAATAAAAGTCGATGTCAAAAAAGACAAAAAACACGACAAGAGAGGGATTCGAACCCTCGCTCCCGAAGGAACGGGCTTAGCAGGCCCGCGCGTTAACCACTCCGCCATCTTGCCTTTGCACTTTGGGCGGCTGATACTAGGCGTGCGCTAATATGGGTACATAAAGCCCCACGTGCCGTCCACAAATGAGATCTTTCCACGGGCAAGGCTGAAGAAGCGAGCAAATCAGAGGGACAAAGCCAGACAATGCGTGACGACATGCTTTCCAGGGTGGTATTCTGTTACGACGTCGAATTCGGTTTCCATTTCACAAGCCACGTAATGAAAGCAGGAAAATAAAAAGGCTAGAACTTGCTGTCATTCAAAGTGCATCGAAACAAAGCAATATCATGTCGCGTAAGCCGACTGGATAGCATGCCGAAATGAACAAAAAAATGCATACATAAACCGTTGCAGAACAGGACAAGATTTCTCTCATCCACATAACTTCTTTCCTACTCTCCCTTCCCCTTCGTCTGTCTCCGATCTCCCCTCACCTCCACCTAAGCCTTGGGGTCAAGAGCCAGGCTGACGTTGTATTCGAGCTCGAACTTGGCCTGCGGGTCGTTGGCGCGCGGCGCAAAGTCCACCTTCAGGTTCTCCTTGACTGCGAAAACAGAGTCGTCCTCCAGGTACTTGGAGTCGGAATCGAAAATCTGTGTCGTAAGCGCCTTGTGGCCGGGAGCCTCAACCTGAAAGGAGTCAGCAACCAGTATATGGAACAATATGGGGGGAAAGGAGAACGCAGTCCTTACAATCAAGTGGATGTGCGCGGGTCGCCAGTGGTGGCGGTCCATCAAATCCAGTAGCTTGCCGGCCGGGCCGTCGCCAGGCACAGGGTACGGCGTCGGCCGCAGACAGTAGAAGCTGTAACGGCCGTTGTCATCCGTCACAAATTTACCGCGCAGGTTGTACTCCTGCTGTTTGGGGTCCTGCTGCTCGTACAGGCCGTTGGTGGAGCACTCCCATGCGTCAACGACCGCGCCCGCAAGAGGCAGGCCTGTGTCGGCGCTGATGACCTGGCCGTGCATAAAGGCCACGACGCCGTCCTCGGGGGTGTCAAATGTCATGGTGGACCCGTTGGGGCGGGTCGGCGTGTCGCTGCGCCAGAAGGGGCCCAGGATGGCAGAGGCCGTGAGTGGCTTGTTGGCCTTGACGGCCTCGGCGTACGTGATGGAGTCGACGAGGCTCTCGAGTCCAATGACGTCGCACATGAGCTGGCCCTCGTTGCGTGTCTCGTTGGACATCTTGCCGCCGGCATTGATCATCTCGACGCCGAGCATCCACTCGTCGACGGTCAGGTTAACTTCGCGGGCAAAGTCGTGGATATGTTGGATGAAGGAGGACATCACCTCGCGCATGCGTGGTGACGTTTTATCGCCCATGCTGTTGATGACGCTGGCAGTAAACTCCTGGCCGAGGATGGTGCTTTCAGCAGCGCTGGGCGGCACGACGGAGGCGGCGCCGTTTTTCGCCGCGCAATTGGCGACATGGCCATTAGAAGGGTTTGCTGAAGGCATAGTATCGCGGTTTGACTTTTGGGGGGGGGGGAGGGGGGAGGGGGGGAGAGTATGGGTGTTGTGGGTGAAGAAGAGGAAAAGGGCACGAAAAGGGCACGTGAGAATGAAGGGGACCAACGAGGCGAGAAGTTTGGAAACTTGAAGTTATAACGGTAAAGTTTGGGAAGGTGCTTCAAGAAAGAACTTGTGGACAATGTAGCTGAGCAAGGTCAGTCAAGAAAGGAAGGCGCGGATGTAAGTCAGAAGTAGTGCAGGAAGGCACAGATGTACTACCGGAGGCAAGAAGGGAAAGGTTGAAGATGGGAACAGGGAAGGGGATAAGACAACACAAGAAGCTTGGTTCCCTGGATATCGGCCATCCTCTTATATCTTTAAACATTCGTTGGGTTGAGAAAGAATCTGACGAGTGTCCGGGGTGCGTAACCTCAACAGGTCCGCTCCGTTTCATTTTCCTGCTACTCTGTAGGATCTTGATGCACCCGTTCCTGCCTTTGTGCGCCGTCGTCCCTTCGTGGAGTGGTCACTAGACCACTAGCACTTTCCGTGCCCGTTGTAGTGCGGAGGACTCGCAGCCACAGGCCCATCACACATTGTGAGCTCTTCCCTTTGGGGACCAACATCGGGCCTCAAACTAATAAGGAAAGCACACAGTGGTGGAGTTAAATTTAATGCAAAATAAAAAACGAAAAAGGCCATGTGTTCCAATGGTCCGCAATTGTCTTATCCCGCCAACCAACATAGCTTTGCTTCATTTTCCTCGCCAACCTCGAAGAATTCCGACAGTCGTCCGTCCGGATTTACAGGCACACCCCTAAGGAAGGAAAAGGCTGACCATGGAAAGCAAAATGGAAACCAAGCGACTATTGAGACGACAAGCAATCCACAACCAGAAAGAACGGAGGACGACGTTGTTACGGAAGGCACATGGTGCGAGAATCCTGCGGGGACAATGCCCTCCATCACTTGCCAAAGTGCCAAAAGAAACCGGTCGCCACTTCCTTGCAGCTTGCTATCCGAACTATTGTTCGGATGTCGTTTGCTGCATTACTCCTTCCCTTCGTTATGACCCACTCCGCCCCCGCCATCGCCGCCCCAGCAATCCTTCTCCGCCTTGCCTGCTAGCGCCTGCGAATTGCCAGTATTTTTCTTCGCGTGTGGAAAGCAGTTCCTGTGTTTTTCTGTAACTTCGCGATTTTGGTGCGTGCCGAGACAAGTTGCTCCCTCTCCCGTCTCCCGAAGCGGAAATACAGCGGATCAGCAAATTTGCAGTACGCGGCATGCATTGTATACCGCAGTTGCCGTTCGTCACGGGCTGCCGCTGTGTACTGTGGGGGCATCTGGATGGCCGCAGAATGAGAAAGAATGAAAACTTGTTTGGCAAGGCATGAGGGCAGTTTCTAGAAGTATTTCTTTCGTACGACAACTTTATATTGCCATGTCATTTTGAATGCTTATGTAAGGATGAAAGGGGCAAAGGAGCACTTGTTTGCGAAAGCTTAAAATTAATAAAAATAAATAAATATTGCCCAAACGAAACAAAAATGGCTGCATGCAGTATTCTTATTGTCACAACAGCTGCTTAGAATCATTTTATGTCTTGTTAATTTCTCCGTTTCTATTCGTTGTATAATTCTAGTGAAAAATGCATCTAAATGGCCGCCGTAGTCTTAAGGTAATCACAATCGTCATTTGCAAACGATGTCCAGTTTGCATCATCGCTGCCATTGGGCCGGGACGCGCGCTGAAAACCCAGTTCGAGCCCGTCGATATGTGCCACGGGCTTGACTACCGTCACGTCGTGTCCGTAGGCCCTGGACGACCACACCTCAAGAATGTTCGGGTCGTCGAAGAGGCGCGGGTGCTGCCGACGCAACCCCAGCAGCGCGTTGCCTGAGATTTGGTCCACGCTGTGGCTATGGGTCATGCCCATAAACTCCTCTCCGGCCGCGGCGCGCAGCTTGGCCTGCACGTCCTCCGGCAATAGTCCTGCCTTGAACAGAAGCAGGTCATACTGCACGAGCGACGCCTTGCCGTGCCAGGAACCGCCAACGGTGGCACGGTTGTACAGACCTGTGAGCGCAGCAATGGCGCCCATGCAGCCCGTGCCGTAGTCGGAAATTGGAAACGGAGGCACAACCGGCTCGTTCAGTCCCATAAATCGGCCCTGTGCCCAGGCAACGCCCGTGACCTAAAATAGAGCAGCAATATGTTAGTGACAATTCCGTTTAGATATATGATGAGATGAAAAGAAGGGAGCCGTAAACCCACACAGTCGGCAATCTGCTGCCAGCCAGGCCGCGACGCCCACTCGCCCTCGTAGCCAAAGCAGTTCTCGTTGACATAAACGATGCCATAGCCGCGCTTCTGGGCCAATGCAGTCATATACGTGGGTCCGAAACCTAGCTTTTCCAATGCGCCAGGACGGTAGCCATCCAAAATCACGTCCGCCTCCAATGCAACCTTTTCGAAAACCTTCCGTCCCTCGGGCGTTTTGAGATCGAGTTCGGCTGCGTGTTTGCCCATGTTTCCGTCGACCTGGAAAAAGGGCACATCGCTCAAGTTTGGGCTAGTGATCTTTAGTACATCTGCGCCGTACTCGCCCAAGATGCGACCGACGATGGGTCCTGCAATGATGCGGCAAAGCTCGAGAACCTTGATACCGGAAAGGGGGCGTCTCTCGTCCGGGCCTGACGGTAGCGGCCGGGGTGCCGTCGTCGACTCAAGGCTGGCCACCTTCCAAGGCGCCAGATCGACATTTGATTTACCCTGTATCTGTTAGTTATTTTTCTTTTTCGTCTTTTATTTCTTTTTTGTCAGAAAAGTGAAAACACACATGTGGCGTTTGCAAAAACTCTTCGTACTTGAAAACAGGAACGCCAGCCTGCTTGTTTTTTGCATTCAGGACTTCGAGTTCAGCAATGGAGAACTGCTTTGTCTGAGACTCGATCGCGTCAACAATGGCCTCGTGTGACTTGAGATCCGGGCGGAACGGCTCTAGGCCAATCATCCGCAACGTCGTCGATGCCTCCAGCGAGCCATGGATGTGGTAGTATTGGCCGGGATCTCGTGTCTCGTACAGGTTCGCCGACATACGGCGATATTGGTCCGACTGGGCCTGCAGGAGATCGGTATCCTTGAGGTAGTATTTCACTTCGCTGTCGAGCTTGCCGTATGTCCCAACCTTGGCCAAGTAAGCCTGGAAAAGGAACGCAGTCGTTTTCTCTAGATTGATTACAATCTGGTCAGGCTTTTGCATCTGCTGCTGGTGTGTCTTGGTGTTTTGCAGTGCCAGTGCAAATGCTGCCTCGATGGCTTTGAGGGCTCCCGCCGTCTCGGTCTCTTTGAAAGGTATGGGAAAGTATGGGAAGTCGCTGTCGGCCGCGAATGACGTGTGATTCTGCAGTGTTGCCACGACTTCTTTTGGCAACGTCACCAGACTGAGAATCAGTGACAGTATCCGTCTTGTTTCCTCCAGCGAGGAATATGACAATTGATTATGATTAGACATTTTTGTTGTGTTGTGAGTGTTTATGTATATGCCTTGTTGAGGTGAAACTGTCTTTCTTAGCCGCGTTGGGGAATTTGTCGGTGAGATATAAAAGAGTGTGCGGTGCTGCTGCAGGTCCAACCCAAAATAGAGGTCCAAGGGAAAAACGTAAAGCAGTGCTTAGGCTTATAAAAGGAGCCGGGATGGGGAGCCAACTTAAAATGATTATCAATTAAGATTTGGTGGATTTCGAAGAGGGCTGTTGTGGATGAGCAAGTCGCCCTCGTATGAAAGCCGGTGCAAACAAATCCACATCAGAAGAGGTCGGAGTGAGTAGCTGTGTGCAAAGAAATAAGAACACCGAAGTCTCTGCAGATCTACCATCTTCCAACTATACTCTTCTACAGCCGACCGCAGGTCAGCCTGACTAAGCCTAGATGAACCTTTAATATGTTGGTACGGAAGAAACAGCACGCGAGTTCGATAAGAAGGCTTGCTGACTTGAGCTTTCATCTTTTTAGTTTGTCTGTTGACAGTGTACTTCTGACCCTTGCCTCTCGCCAACAGAAACCCGTAAAGCAAGACTGTGGTCCTGCGGAGATAGATCTGCTCTGACGGCCACCCCTCCGTCTCTGGATTGCTCAACTTTGCCTCTTGGACAAATTGTGGTACCGGCCACTAACATGTCGGAAGTACCGTGCAAGAGATTCCGGGGCGCCGTCGAAATCTGATACGCCGTGAGAAATTAACACCCGCTGCGGGGATATAGTTGTCGAAATTCGGGAGGGTAAATGTGTAGGAAATTATGGAGCATGGCAGACTATGCCAGTCAAAAAAGACCTCACATGTCCCAGAAAAGTCTGTGACTTCATTCGGCTGCGGGATAGAAAAAGCTTGCAGCCACCCTGCAAGTACCGGTCCGGATTCTCGAACAACCCACCCCAGAATAAAATACCAGGACTCTGGGAAGGGCACTAAGGCAAACCGCCCGTCGGCTAGATCGCAGCGTTGGGGATCGCCCGCTAACGTTGGCACGGATCGGGTCGGAACCAGTGCGGTAGGTAGCTTGAAGGCTCTCTGCACCAATGCATCTTCCGAAAGTTCTTAGTTCTATGCACCCGGTATCCGAAGCGTTTTTCGGATGCGCCATTGGCATTGTGCGGGTGCAAAACATCGCAGCTGTAAAAACTGACATCAGTCCCTGAGAGATCATAAAAGAATCTAAAAAAAAAAAAAAAATACGCCACACATCTCCAGCTGAAAGTCTGACAAGTTGGTAATTACGTATCGTGCACCAGGATGCCCCGAAACCGTAATTACCACCGGTGGCCAACGGAAGTTGCACTGATGTCGTATATGGCCAGCGTGCCATGGCCGTGGGCCATTCGTGTGTTGTAGTGTCTCATTGGCCCGGGGCTGAATCCACACTAGGTTTGATTTCATAGGGTAGACGTTCGTGTTAGTGACGTCCACATTGCTCGGAAAACCTCATACCTCTGGTATTCGAATTTATGCAACTTATCGTGAGCACATTCACCTGCCAAACGCAACAATTTCTATAGCTTGTCGCTATGCCGTTCATCGTCATTCCGTCTTCCCACGAGCTGTACTATGTGCTGAGGTCGCCAGAGGACGCGGGCAGCTCTGGCCTGACATTCTTGTTCATCCACGGGCTTGGTTCGTCTAGTTCGTTTTATGCGACGGTCATGCCTGCGCTGGTCGCAGCAGGACATCAGTGTCTCGCTTTTGACATGAACGGTTCGTACGAGGCTGATGGCCTACACTCCTATCTATGAACATCGGGCGGCTGAAACTTATTTTCAGCGGTATATTAACGGAAGCTGACTCACCAATCACCTAAAACTCAGGTAGCTGCCTGACAAAATATTCTGGCAAGGACAACAGCATCCAGGATCATGCAAATGACGCCAAAGCCCTCATTCATGAGTTTGGTATTTCTCCGGAAAAAGTCGTTGCTGTCGGCCATTCAATGGGCGGCCTTGTGGCTGGCACCTTGGCGACGGAGCTCGACTTGGCGGGTGCGGTCCTTATTGGCGCTGTGACGCCCAGCGATGCCATCGCAACAGTATTCTCGCAGAGAATCAAGACGGTCGAGCAAAGTAAGGACAGAATCACCCATGCGAGTGCATTACCGATCGCATTTTCATATCTGACATACCGATGCTTGCAGACGGCATGGAGCCAATGGCAGACAGCATTCCCGCGGCCGCAACTGGTTCAAAGTCGACTGCGACACACCATGCATTTATTCGCGCGCTCCTCCTGTCACAGACATCGCAGGGTTATGCTGGCCTCTGTCGTGCCATTGCAACAGCGCTACCGGTCATGTACGCCAAAGCACAATGCCCTGCCTTGCTCATTGCAGGAGCGGATGACAAGGTCGTGCCTGCGGCAAGCATGGCGGAAATCAAGAAAAGGTATAATGCACCCAGAAGCTGAGACAAGTTTATATATTGACCCGTGACGTTCACACAAAATCTAACCCGTTTCTTACGAACACTGCAGCTGGGGGGCAGGTCGTGAGCAAGCCTCTTTGGAAGTTCTGGAAGGTGTCGGGCATTGGCACTGCATCGAAGCAGGCGACAAGATCGGCGCCTTGCTCGTCGACTTTGCTCGTCAAATCAAGCAAACATCGTGACGTTGTCTAAGAGGCCGGCGCGGCAGTATCCTATAGTGATGTCAGTCAGTAAATAAATGTTTGCCAAAAATACATAATAATGTCCATGCATGTCCGTAACATACTAGGTAAACCTGGTAGAACGGAAGCTTGAGCTCCCCGCTTGCATCTTCCACGAGCTCAGCATGGGCTGCCCATTCCTTGCTAGAGTCCTGTCCGGTCTTTGACGTGTACTTGACAGTCCCGTACAACATAAACTCGTTGGAGTCGGAGCCGAAAGGGAATATCTTTGAGACTGTGTGCGAGCGAGCCGCAACAGCCGCCCACATTCCCTGCCGGAGGGCCAGGATCTCTAAAGATAAGCAAACGGGTCAGTAACCGTAACAAGCACACAATCGTGTAACATTGGGCTACCCACGGTCAAAGCCAGCAGCCTTCTTCGAGGCCATGATCAATGTGGCGTCCGGGAGAAACAATTTCGCATATTGCCCGTGTGCCGTCGGGGTGTCTGATGTCCTGTAGAACGTATCGAAGAACGCAACGGCACGAGGGTCGACGCTGGTGCCCGTGGGCAGGACTGGGCTGATGTAAGAGGCCATATCGTACTATGTGGTCGCTGTGTTAGAAAGATAACAACGGGAACTTAAAAGAACTTAAAAAGGGTGTCAATTGGGCGAGGCAAGCCAGCCGTGACTGCCTCATCCAACATATATGAGCACAGTCTGGTATTTCCAACCGGGAGCTTCCTCTTTGTGGGGCACAAGATGACAGGGCAAGAACGACCGCCGTTGTCGCCACTCCGCGCTTTCCACTTTCTTTCTTTCTCTCTCCTGGTCATTCCTCATCCCAAGTGTACGTCTACAAAACCGGTGGTCACAAATGTGCTAAACTAGTCCACTCTTTCCTGATCCGACGGCCTGTCTCCCCATATCTATCATCCAAGCCCTGGCCACAGGCCGGTTTAACAGCAAGCGGGGTAGGCGCGATCACCCATTTAGCTAGGTCTGGGCTGCAGCTTCCAGAAAAACGAAAGCTCAGAAATGGCCCCGAACATGGGGCGAAGAAGGTGCGATGGTATGGGGTCAGTCTTAGACTCGCGCCCCCCAGGTATGGAGTAACTGACGCTGGAGGTCGTGCCTTCTTTTAATTTTCTCTCAAGCGGGAAAGTATGGGGTTTTGCACTTGCTGAATTATTTTCATGTTTTCTCCAGCTTCTCTCGCGGTTGGAAAGTGTGGGAACACGAAGTACACTGCATTATCGCGACCTGCAGCATCGTCAAATCGAGGCCCTCTGCCGCGCCCGACCCTCCAAGATGCCTTCGTCCAAGGTAAAGCCGTCAGAACGCCGCCGCTGCCAACAGGCCTGTTCCAGCTGTAAGCGACGAAAAGAGCGCTGTGATGGCCGCCAGCCGTGCAGCCGATGCATTGTTCGAGGCGTCCAATACGAATGCTACTTCTCTCGACCACTTGAGACACCACCGCCCTCAACAAGGCCCATGGCAGCATCTGCAGGTGCCACGGGGTCGACCACAGTACCGTCAGCAGCAGTCGCGACAGATGTGGCCGCCCCGGCCGTTGCATCAGCGGCACCGCAAACCGAAAACAGCCCACAGTCTACCAGCTCGGTGTTGGCTTCCGCTTCTGTCCCGACGAATGCCAACAGCCCTGGCCAGAAGGGGCCTCTGCCGGCGCCCACCACGTCGACCAACGCAAACGGCCTGCGACATGACCGCTCCATGGATTTTGACGAGCCGGCCGGGGTCGCACAAAGCACAAATTCCAATGTAAGCGATGCGTTGGATCAGCCACGGCGCAAACGGAGGCGGTCCCATCTGGGCTCTTCCTCGTCTGCCGCCGCCGTGCCCCATCTCTCGCGCCTCATCCAGGGCGGCCGTGGCAGCCTCTTTTACATTGGCGACTCGGCAAACTTGAGCTTTCTGCAAATCATCCGGCGATTGACTCGCGAGTCGATAGGCTCTTGCAAGTTCACCGACGACCCTTTCCAGCATCTTATTGTCGAGGCCGCACCATCCACCAGCAACAACTGGGTCTTGGATGCCATTCAGGGCCCTCCCAGCATACCTTACGTCGAGAAGGCCTCGTCCTTGCTGACTTGGTTTTTACGCGCTACAAACTGCATTTTGGGTATGTACGACGAGGCCGAGCTCAGAGAGAACATGCTCTGGTGGCTGCAGCAACAGTCGCTTAAAGATTCGTCTCCTGGCAGCGGCCGTGACAGTCTCACATCTGCCGACAGCGCCGCGCAGGAAGCGATCTTCTTTCTCATTTTTGCGATCGGCGCCCAGGCGAGTCCCGAAGACGACGACGAGTTGGCCGAAAAGTATTTCAATTACGGCCGCTACATCACAGTCTGCGGTGCCACTGTCGAGCCTAGTCTCTCTACAATCCAGGCCTACATCTTACTTTCCATGTATCTGCTTGCAGCGTCCCGCAGAAATGCGTCCTTCATGTACCTAGGAATGGCCGTTCGCGCTGCTTATGCCCTGGGCATTCACCGGAGCGACATCAATGCGGCCTTCGACCCGAATGAGTACGCGCCGCGTGAACGGCTGTGGAAGGTCCTGCGGACACTCGATCTGTTCTTGAGCACATCTCTTGGACGCCCACCGTCGACAACAGAAACACGCAACACCAAGGCGGAAGACAACTACTCGGCAGCAAACGACCTATGCTCCATCTTCGAAGCAATATTGACCCAAGTGTACTCGACACGTACAGTCTCGACCTCGACTATTGAAAGGATCAGCGAGCAACACAGGCTGTGGACAACGCGGTTTGCTTCTGGCCTCGCCACAGATGGAATCCAGCCGGAAGAGTTTTTGGATCTGGATGGCGACGGCACCAAGACACCAAACATCGGCCTCTTCCACCTAAAGGAAGCCTATTACTGGACCATTATGCTTCTATCGCGGCCGTTTCTAATTGAGAACATTTCGAAACACGTTGCTCAGTCCAAGGGCCAGTACAAGATGGACGGCGGTACTACAGCTCCAGCGAATCCACATTCGCCGTCGGAAGATATTCTTGCCTACGCTTGCGTCGATTCTGCCATCCGCACGATGAGTCTCCTCCGCGGGCTCCTTGATGCGCCGAAAGTACCGAAACGCCTTCCTTACATAGTAAACTCGGCGTTTGTGTCGGCGCTCGTCTTGGGCTTTGCGCAGTTTGGTGACCTAGACCGGGTATTCCCTATTGGCAAAAGTTTGGCTATTGCGCAGAAGGTCCTGGCACTTTTTGGCCGGCATGATCCTGTCTCCAACCAGTACGCTTCTATTGTCACCGACCTCCAGGCTGCCTGTGAAGCGTACCTGGAGAAGCGTGCAAGGGGCAAGATGGCACGGCATTCAGTCCTTATTGGCGGCCTGTTCGGCACAGTCGAAGACGCAAAGGCCAATCCAGCCGCCGCTGCCGTCGCCGCTGCTGCCGCTGCTACAGGAACCGAACGCCCGGATGACGGCGAAAGCGCCGGGCGCACAGCGGAGCTGTTCGCAATTACGCCACAATCGTTGTCGCCGACACAACAACAGCGAAGTCAGCAAGACCGTCAGCAGGACCTGGAGAAAAAACGACATCAAGAGGTACAAAATGTGCTGAATTTGCACAGAGGCATCCCCGGAGTTTCTGGGCCACATAGTCTATGCGACCCGAGTGCACCAGACAGCAACCCTCCCCAAAATCGCGACAGCAATGGACAGACGCCTATGCCAGCACCATTGCTGCAGAAGCAAAATCCAGCCATGTCGTCCATACAACAGCATTCGCCAATGCCTCATATACCACCCTACTCCGGCATTGATTTCACCCCACCATTCACTGACGGCAACGACGATTTTCTCGGCCTCACAAGCGCCGCAGAGGCAGATGATACGCTGGTCCGCCGGCACACAAACTCAAGTTATGACATGGACGACAACACACCGCAATTGCTGCCGCACATGTCCGGTCTGCCCGACATGATCTTGGCCATGTCCCCGCGCATGATTACTTTTGACTCGTTTGACAAGAACCTCCAGCTTTTCCCCACAATGGATACCACAGGTTTCTTGTAATTCTATACTATTCGGATGTACGGAATACCAAATTGCAATATTTGATGGGAGCACTTCATGATAGGTTTTGTTTGGCATTTTCGTCTTGGCTCGATTTGCGAACATACGGGATAGACATTTGTATTTTGGTCTGGTTTCGGCGTCCAACAATGTATTATATCCCGGTGGAATGCTTTTTATTTTATGATGCTTCGGTCGTTTTATTCTCCCTCTTCATAACCAATAAATCTGAAAGACATTTGTTTCATTATGATTTATTCGATATTGTATCATTTTTATCGACATTTCTGGATGAAATATTAAACTTGATGGATTTTATTAGCGTGGGTTTTCTTCAATCCATTTGATTTTAAGATTATGCTGCTAGATAACCTCTGCATCGAATGTGAATTATTCATACCTCACCTCTCGTCCAACACATAGTTGGCACAACTTTTACATATAACTGTGACTTGGCAACGACACACCCCCATAGCATTGTTCTTCAAAATTGCGAATTTGTGGTTTATTGGTATAAGGACCACGCGGCACCGCAAAGCAAGATTAAGAATACAAGTTTCTTCGCAACACAAAAAGCGGAATCACGATTAAGTCAATTCCTGTCGACCAACACAGGGCATTCCCTCCCTCTCTAGAAAACAACCAGCCGACGGAAGACAGCAGAAGCAGACGGAGACAATCCATCCCTCCCTCTGTGTTTACCATCTGCCGCCGTTTTCTGGAGACGGGAGTCTCTTTCCCTCATCAGTGCGGTTCGAATGGGACTTCCCATGCCACAATAGAAAAACAAAGACCATCTTCTAAGGTAAGAAACAAGAAAAGAAACTCTTTTGGTGCCGTCCGCCGCTGCATAGGTTGCAGTTGGATTTTGATTCCCATTTTTGTATATTTTCCCATTTTTTTCGCTTTTTGTGTTGGACTTTCCATCACCCACCACATTCTCTTTCTATCCGACTGTTTGGAGCGCCATCCGTATCAAGCGAGAAGCGAGAAGCGTGAAGCGTGCGCTCTAATGACAGTGAAAGAGGAGGTGTTTACCACTGAGTGGCCTCCTTGGGAGCAGCCTCGTCACCCCACTGGGCACCGCCAGTCTCGGCAGACCACTGCTGGTTGGGGACAGCCTCCTCCCAGCCGGTGGCCGCACCAGGGGCAGCGGCGAAGCCAGCCGGGGCGGCCTCCCAGTCACCGCCAGTGAAAGTCTCGGCAGCGGCGGCAGCGGGCTCCTCCTCGATGGCGGCAACCTTCTCCTCCTCGGCCTTCTCCTCAGCCTCGGCCTCAGGGTCGCGGTCTGTCAAATGTTAGCAGGTGTCCGATGACAAAAAAAAATGCAAGCAACAAGAAACACCCAGTGTGACATACAGAAGTACAGATCCACCATGACGTCCCAGGGGGTCTCGCGGTTGAAGATGGTACCGCGGAGGCGCAGGACCTCGCGGGCCAGCAGCCACCAGACCAGGCCAATGGCGTGGCGACCCTTGTTGTTGGTCGGGATGGCAACGTCGACAAAGTCGGTCGGCGAGTCGGTGTCGCACAGGGCGATGACGGGAATGTTGACGTAGCTGGCCTCCTTGATGGCCTGGGCGTCGGTGCGGGGGTCCGTCACAACAATCAGGCGGGGTTCCTTGAACGAACGGGTGATGTAGTTGGTGAAGGAACCCGGGGTGAAACGGCCGGCAATGGCCTGGGCGCCGGTGTGAGAGGCGAACTTGAGGACGGCGCGCTGGCCGTAGGGACGGGCAGAGATAACGCAGACATCGGCCGGGTTGTCGACAGCGGCGATGATGCGGGCAGCCAGGACAATCTTCTCCCAGGTCTTGCCAATGTTGATGACGTTGACGCCGTCGGCGCGGGTCTTCCACAGGTACGGGTTCATGTGCACCTGCAAGTTCTTGGAGCCGATGTGGCACTGAGCAGCCAGCAGGTTCTCAATGTCCTGCGTGGTGGCGTTGAAGATCGCCGGGAGGTTTGCGGAAGCCATCTTGACGGATGTTTGGAGGGATGGTTGAGGGGCGGTGGTGGTGAGGTTGGTTGCTTGCAGGAGAGAGGGAAGCAAGAAAGAAAACCCGCGATGCAGATGCTTTTCGATATATTTTTTTTAGAGGGGCGCCAAAATCCCCCCAAATTTTTTCACTTACAGACGGGTAGTCGCGAAAATTGGACTGCCCTATTCGCCAGTGATTTGTGGGCAAGTCCCCCGCCAGGGCTAGAACGACAGGTGAAAAAGTGTTGCACGTGATGTGCTTGGCGGCATTTTGCAGGCAATTGGCGCGCCGATGTATCTTTACCGTGATACACTGCCAACAACCGAACAATAATGCTTTTAATTTGCATATAAATCAAGGCGGAGGGTACTAATACCCTGCTTGGCTTTTCTTGTAATTTTGTATAATTTTATTTATGAGTTTCTTGCCCTTTTGGCTCACGGTATATACTTGCAGGCTACTTGCAAGGTCTGCTCCCAAGTCGACTCGGCAGGGATATAGTATATTCCGAATGACTAATCCACTCTAACCAATAACGGACTAGCCAATTACAGGCTCGAAAATTTTGGGAGCTGCATCTTGATATCGCGCGACACGGCCGATGTGTTGACGGCAGGTGTACATGCCAGCAAGTCTCGACCAGCAACCATGCCGCTTCGCGTACCGGGCCTGCAAGGGCTCTCAGTGTTCAACTGTATGTTAATTGAATGACTTCATTTGCCCTTCTTGAAACAACTGTTCGAAGCGGCCGAACATTCGCTGACTGTCTTTTCCCTTTAGTATGTCTCCGGCCAGCAGCAGCACGGCCAGCTCCTAGCCTGCAGCCCCTCATTCAAACAGCACATTTATCGCAACGAGAGAAGGCGAAGAAGAAGATCCGGTTGCAGCAACCATATAAATGGGCTCAGATCGTCGCGCGCAAGGCCGCCAAGGTGGCGCGCCAGGAAGAAGTCGCCAAAGCACGTGAGGCTAGCTGGGGCCACCACGTCCACGGCATTACGACGCCCTTTGTCGAGTCGTTTGACACAGCCGGCCAGGCATCTAAATCGAAGATTATTTTTGAGACAAACGAGAACGGCGAGCCCGTGCCGGCGTCGCTACCAACAGACTCGGATAAGCTCAACTTCCAATTGACCAAGCAAGAACTCGACGAGGCCGTGAGCATGGCGTACCAGCTTAGCAAACCGCTCGAGAACACGAACCGGATCCTGGTGGACGCTGTCACCGAGGCACAGGAGCTCAAGGAGCACGAGGAGCGGCACCGCAGGGCCGTCATTGCTCTGCAGCGCATCTCGTCGATGGACAACGCTAACAGCAAGAGCCGCATGCTGATCAACAAGCAGCGCTGCATCGAGAAACTCGGCCGCCACAACACGGATCAGGTTCTGCGGCCGAAGCCGCGAGCGCCGGGCCACCCAGAGCGGGAGGAGCTGAAGCGCGGTGGACCTGACACGGGCTCGTCCGAGGTGCAGATTGCCATCCTGACGGCGAAGATCCGCGTGCTGGCCAAAACCTTTGAGGGCCCATACGGCCACAAGGACAAGTACAACCGGAGGAACCTGCGTCTGCTGTGCCACCGGCGACAAAGGCTGCTCAAGTACATGGAGCGCAAGGAACGCGGCAGTGAGAGGTGGAAGAACATGCTCACGACGCTGGGCCTGACGGAGGCTACCTGGAAGCAGCAGATTGAGATCTGAGGGAGGTGACACGGGGCAGGGCCCCTCCCTATGTATATACTTTCCCTCTTCCTCTCTCGTCCTCCCTCTCTTCACTGCGGTGCGCTGGCACTTGGTACATTTTATGTTTCATACCATTTCACAGCGTTTCCATTTCACTTTCACACGTGCTGGCGCGCAGGCTGATTTAGGAGGGAAAAGAGAGTTAAATATCCACGAAAACAGATGTAATTATCTATGTACAATACTGACTAAACCGACATGACCCAATAACAAAAACAACATATGAGAAGAATGCACTAAAACTGTATGAAAAATGGCGTCCCGGCAATGGGAGCCAAGCAAAAGTTCCAAACGCCTTCCCGTATGTCAGAACGGAGAGAGAGACCTCTATGAACAAGAGTCTGCTGATTATGTGTGTGTGTGTCTGAGGATATTGCTCGATAAACCGACAAGACGTGAAAAAAGGGGTGCAAGAAGCGACGAGTAGACAGAGAGACGATGCCCTTTAGAAAACGCTGATGTAGTTGTTGATCCGCTCCTTCTGGTTCTGGGCGATGCACTCGGCAATCCACGTAATGTTGCGAATCTCCTGCTCGCGCAGCTTGACCCACGCGTACACAATCGCATACGTAAACTGCCGCGTAAAGGCGTTCTTGGAGATCTCCATTTCCTTCTGATAAAACATGTCCTCGAGACTCCGACTGTCCGAGCCTCCGGAACCGCCGCCCATATTGCCAGGGCCGACAGGGCCGCCGCCGAGGTTGACCGCCTCGAAGAAGCTCTTGTAGTCGGACTGGCCATCGACGGCCAGGCGCACTCCGTCGATGTCGTCGGCGCGCGACAGCATGAGGGTGCCTTCTGGGTACAGACGGCCAAAGGTCGGGTACAGCTTGTTGCGGTCGGCCTTGGACAGCTCGGTGCCAAAGGAGTTGATGGTGATGTTGATGGCGCGGCGGTCAGCCTCGAACTCGAGAATCTCGGACATGACCTCGGCCGTTGGCGTGCCCGCCATGTCGGAGTGCGTGTTGACAAAGTTGTAAAAGTCCTCGAGGTAGTTCTTGTAGAGCGTGTTGCGCACAATCTCAATGTTGAGCTCGTCCAGGTCCTGGTGGCTCAGACTGCCCTTGAAGAAGGGCGCCAGCGGCGTCTCGATGAGCACGCTGTTGTAGAGCTCCTCAATGTTAGTGGCTACGCACAAAACGGGCAGCGTGTCGAACCAGCCAAGCGGGTGGCACCGGTCGAGCAGCTCCCGGGTGTCGCGCTCGTGCAGAGTGCCGGTGATGAGTAGGGCCACGTTGTCAATCATGTAACCGTAGGTGAGGTAGTCCATGAACTTGGCCAGCGATCCGACCGCGTTGGCGCGAACATAGCGGAACTCGGATACGAGCTTGTCGGTCGTCTTTGCGGCGAGGCTCGATGTCGACGGGTTTGGCGGCAGGGATGCGAGGAAGTCGCCGTAGGCCGGGCCGAGCTGGAGCTTCAGGTCTGGGCGCATTAGCTACGTGTATTCTCGGCGAGGTGAGCATAAGCAGTACGTACCATCCACGTTCTCGCACTGCGTCATGTTACTGTAGTTGGTGCCTGTCAGAAGGCCATTGCGGTAGCCCCGGACGATGCCCTCGATGTACCTAGGGGGAGAGAAGTCAGCAGCTGGTCGGACGGTCACCATCGAATCTCGAATCTCGGTGATCGCCATCCCTTACCCATTGTCGACATTGAATAAGAGGCCCTCCATCGTGGCGGTAATAGATGGTCTGCAGTGGGAGCAGACAGAAGCTGGCGATGTGTCGTTGCCTGTTGCGTCAAGGTAAAAGACGCAGGAGCCAGCAGCTTGGCTGGAGCAATTCTCAAGGCAGGTGCGATACAAAACAGTGTTAACTTACAATCCCGCACAGTCAATGTGCACGGTGTACTACTTCCCCATTACGGACTAGCGCAAGAAAGCCACACCGCCCCACTCTAGTACGAAAAAAAGCTCTGTCTGGCAGAAAAACAGATTCCCTAGCTAAAAAGTTCTCGACGCAGCAAAAAAATATTCCTCCTTCTTTTTACCCTTTCTCAGCCAATTCCTCTCGCGACGACAATCGACAGCACCACGCTCTCGCCGCGCAATATTCTTTATATTCATCTCCAGGAACGAGCGACAACCCTCGAAAGCGCCACTCGTTGACACAATGGCGCCCCTTTACCTCCTGTCGGAGACAAGCGCCGGGTATGTTTTGCCCAGCCTCTTCTGTTGTTTTCGAAAGACCGGGACCGTGCCTGGCTTTTATCGAACTCGACATAGTGTCTTCACAGGGCAGTTGCTAACATTTTGTGTCTTTGCTCAGTTATGGCTTGTTTCAGGTGAAGGACAAGAAGCTCATTGAGGGCGATGATGTGACCGACCGTCTGTCGACTCTGGACAAGATCAACAAGGAGTAAGTGTTTTTGTTGGTCCCCGTGAATGCCTCGACTCAAGCCGCGTTCTCGGATGACCGACCGAACGACGGCAGACCTGGCCCTTTTTTGCACATAGGAACGTGTTGCTAACCGCATTCTCCCTCTCCGTTTTGCAGGGTCCAGTTCAACTTGTTCAAGAAGTGGAACAGCGCCGTCGAGGCCGTCGCCGAGCTCGATAAGCTGATCGACGGCAAGATTCCCCCGATCCTGACGCAGCTGCTGGAGGAGGTCAAGGAAAAGTCGAAGAAGGCGACCATCCTGGTCGAGGACAAGGCTCTCGGCAACACGTTGCAGAAGCTGCCCGGCTACAACCTCACAGCCATCCCCGCCGGCCCCGGCACTGCTGCCGGCGAGGTCTTCCGTGGCATCCGTCAGCATCTGTCGAGCCTCATCCCTGACATTGACGAGTCGGGCTTCAAGACCATGTCTCTGGGTCTGTCGCACTCGCTGTCTCGCCACAAGCTCAAGTTCTCTGCCGATAAGGTCGATGTTATGATTATCCACGCCGTGTCCCTGCTCGACGATCTCGACAAGGAGCTCAACGTCTTCATGATGCGCGTCAAGGAGTGGTACGGCTGGCACTTCCCCGAGCTGGCCAAGATCTTGAACGACAACGTCGCCTACTCCAGGGTTATTCTGGCCGCTGGCATGCGCGAGAACCTCGTCAACACCGACCTGTCCGAGGTCTTGCCCGAGGAGATTGAGGCTGCCGTCAAGGCTGCCGCCGAGGTCAGCATGGGCAGCGAGATTGCCAGCGAGGATCTCGAGAACATCACGCTGCTCGCCGAGTACGTTGTCATGTACGCCAACTACCGCACCCAGCTGTCCAGCTACCTGGACTCCCGCATGAAGGCCATCGCCCCCAACATGACCGCCATTGTCGGTCCCCTGATCGGTGCCCGCCTTATCTCTCACGCCGGCTCGCTCATGAACCTCGCCAAGAGCCCCGGTTCAACCATCCAGATTCTTGGTGCCGAGAAGGCACTGTTCCGCGCCCTCAAGACCAAGCACTCCACCCCCAAGTACGGTCTGATTTACCATGCTTCGCTGGTCGGCCAGGCCACCGGCCGCAACAAGGGCAAGATGGCCCGCCAGGTCGCCTCCAAGGCCGCCCTGGGTGCGCGTATCGACGCTCTGGCCGAGTACGAGGACGAGGAGACCGTCGACGACGACATCCGCGCGACACTGGGTTTGGCCGCGCGTGCCAAGCTCGAGCTGAGCCTGTCGCGGTTGGAGCACAAGCCCCTGTCCAAGATTGCTGCCACGAACGGTGTCAGCACCGTGGGCAAGTGGGACGTCGCCGAGGCCCGGAAATACAACGCCGACGCCGATGGCCTGACGGGCAACGAGGAGGCTGCCGCTGAGCAGGCTGTTGCCAAGAGCGAGAAGAAGGACAAAAAGGACAAGAAGGAGAAGAAGGAAAAGAAAGAAAAGAAGGACACAAAGGCGATTGCCGCACCGGAGGAGGACACGGTCATGGAGAGCAACGACGAAGCCGCCAACGGCACCTCGGGCCCGGCCAAGCTGACCGAGGAGGAGTACGAGCAGTTTGCCGAGGCGGCCGGCATCTCTGTCTCCAAGTTCAAGCGCAAGTACGAGCGCGGCGATGTCGAGATCGGCAAGGACGGCAAGCCCGTCGTGCACAGCAAGAAGGAGCTGAAGAAGCTGCGCAAAGCGGAGAAGAAGGCCGAGGAGGAGAGCTCGAGCAAGCGGAAGCGCGACGACGACGCCGAGACGCCCAAGAAGAAGAAGAAGAAGCACAGCGACGCATAGAGCTCGGTTTAGTACCACTCTGTTGCTTTGTTGCGTGTACTTTTCCTGTCTTCGTTTCGTGTTTCTCGTCCTGCATATCCCTTTCTCTGCTTCATTTTCTCTGCTGGCTTTCTAGGCATCTTCATCCCCATGGCGCCGTTTTGATTGTCATTTACTCACCCTCTGGGCATCTTCTATTTTGGATCCTCTTTTGGCGTTATTTTCTTGTTTTTGGCGAGGGCCTTACTTGTTGTATTTTTCTGTTTGGCTCTGGGACAAAAGGGTCGGAGTTGGGTGCGATTTTACCATCAATGCTTTTTTGTTTTATTTCATCCTTTTGTTGCATTGTCTCCCTGTTCGCATAGTCTGTCATATGCTTGTTTATACCTTAATGCTGGATCAGCTGGCTTCTTTTGGACGCCGTTCCGTTGCTCAGAGTACGAACAAAATCAAGAGGGGAAAGTGTTATATGCTTGAACCGAACCGTTTGAAAGAAATATGTAGTGAAAGATGGAAATCGTAAATGAAATTGAAGAGTGTTGATGTAGAAATACCTTCATGAAGTCGACGGCTTATTCCAGTCTATCGGAAGACACGTGACTGGTTTGATAGTGTCACGTGCCGGCATTAGTGACGGTTTGTAAAATTTCCCGCCAAGCTCAACCGCATCTTAAAAACGTCAAGTGAGCCAACAACCACGACCACGACGTTTCTATTTTCGCGCGCGCAGCACGACTTTGCAACGTGTCTACGGACGTGACCGTCGAATTGGTGAGGAAAACTCCTTTACTACAAGTGTCTGCAACTACGACTTGATTTTAACTCGATACCAGCATTTCATCGGCGCCCAACTTCATCATCCTCGATCTCAAACTTTTTGCGAGAACGACGACAAAAGGCATACAACGCGAGACCTCTATCTTGAGTTGACACCAACAGTCGACTTCCTTCCACTCTTTTGTTGTCGACTACACAACCCCACATCTCCACAACCGCACAACATGTCCTTCTTCCAGGTGACCCTCAACCGGTCGGCCATCGGCTTACCGCAGCGCACCCGCGATGCACTCGCTGCTCTTGGCCTGCGGCGGCGCAACCAGACCGTCGTGCATGCGGTGTCGCCGTCGTCGGCCGGTATGATCTTCAGCGTCAAGGAGCTGGTGAAGGTGAAGGAGGTCAGCGAGGGCCGCGAGGCGACGCTGGCCAAGCTCAAAGCGGCGCGGCGGCCGGATCCCGGTTTCGTCGTTGCACGGAAATACCACGACCTGAACGAGCAGAGCCGGCAAGAGTCAGGGCCGAAGAGCAGTTTATGAGGAAACGAGAGTGAGGGGGGGTTGGAGGCGACTAGGCGCATTGATGCGAGCAGGCGCTTCGCGTTGTACATATAACTTGAAGTAACTCACTACATGATTTAGTTTTTGGGTTTGTTTGGCTGGGCAAAAAGACTTTTGACCATTTTCGAACCGTCTTATGAATTTTGTGAACATTTATACCAAATATAATTACTCGTCTAGTTTTTGTTATCGTAACACCTTCACAACGCCCATTTAATTTCCCAACAGCCAATGTCCAAAGTTCAGCCGGCACTGGCCCAGAAATATGCCACAACAGAGAGTCGGGCGAGTCGTTGCCGTATTGCCGACCCTGCTCAGCTCAATATGCACGTTACAAAGTCACTGTTGTGGGTTTTGACGTCGCCAAGACAGAAAGAAGACAGGCCTTCAAGCGCCTCTCACTTTTTCGCCGTATTCTGAATTGGGCGTCTCATATTCGCTCACAAAGTATTTCACCATATTTTTGCCGAGCCAGGTAGTCAACTTGGCTAGCTCGTCTCGCAGCCGGTTGACCGACTGCTGATCCATGTTTGTCTGTGAGATGAGCTCGGGTAGGGAAACTGTACGAATGTGTTAATGCCAACTTGTGAAAGACTAAGGGTCGGTGTTGTGTTGTGCTTTGACATACCAAGAAGGCGACACAGGTGCTCGGCACCATAGGTCTCGATCGGGGACTTGTACTTCTCGTCCGTCTCCCATAGCTCGTGCATCTCAATGTATTGTGGGCGCTCGAACCTGAAAAAGGGCCTGTCTTAGCTAACCGACCAAGCTTTGAGGAGGAGGAGCCACAGAAGTTCACAACATACCGATAGAGCAGGATGCGGCCTAAGCATTTGTTGAAGTACTCCCGCAGTCCGGCAACCGTCTCCTCAAGGATATCGAGGCTAGCAGAGCCTTCTTCTCGATGTGGTCGTTCAAAGGTGAGGTAATCGTCCAGAACAGTCTCAGCCGGAACTTTGTGTGGAAGCGGTACCAGTTGCTGGTTTTTGGTCACATTCTCCCAATCGTCAACGAGTGCCGCCTTCAGGTGATCGGGGAGAGTGAGCCGGATCGAAGGCCGGTTGTGGAAGTTGTCCTCCTTGTAGTCGTTAGAGGACAATTCGAACAGTGGGCAGCAAAATGAAACAAATCGACATTAAACAATAAAAAAAAAAGAAAGCAGAACAGAAAAAAAGAAAAACGGAAAAAAACGAAAAGACGACATGAGAGAATAGGAGACCGCTAATCATCCAAAAGAGAACAGTAAAATACAATGGTAGAACATGGGGAAGAAAGGGGTATGTCATATAAAGGAATTCCTGGGAAGAAGCGTGGTGTGACTACTGGATTCGATGCAAGTCACGCATGACACTTCTGCCAGATCGTCAAGTGGCACTTTGACCGCTGGATAGTCACTGCCGGGCCGAGGTCAGAGCCGTCATACTTTGAGGTGCCTCCGATTGATGATGCGGACGTGCGCATGCCCGCTCGAGCTCTTGCGCTTTGCTATGTGGATCGGCTTATCGGAACGCCTCGGCTTCTCTATGCGCTGGGGCCGCTTCGTTTGGTTGACCACCACTATGCGTATATGCTTGGGCGAAGAAACATATTCTTTGGCCACGCCGGCAACTGAAGACTGGTTTCCGGCTGAGACCTCGGTCTCGTTTGTGACCTGGGCTTCGTCCGTGGCCTGAGTCTCGTCTGTGACTGGGACCGTGTATGTGATCCCAGCCTCGGCTGAACCCAGCGGCGTTCCAGTCGTAGGATCCTCAGCATCAGAATGACTATCCTCCAGGGCTTTTTCCATAGCTGTCACCCAGGAAGTGTCCACACCACTGGTGTCCACGTCGGAAGAACCTTGTCTCGCGGGTTGGCGTCGTTTAGCGCGACGAGGGAGGCGGTCAACGAATTTCTCGGCTTCCTTCAAATAGTGATTGATCCCATCACTAGGAGGAAGCTCGGCCAGCGCATCGTATTCGCGCTCGGCGAGTGCGTTTTCGTACTTGGCGTAGTGGCTAATGCTTTTGAAACGAGACGCAGTAAGGGAATCCAACGTCCTCGCATTCAAGCGCGCTGGAGGTGCCTTCACAGTGCTGTGCGTCTCAGCGGCCTTCCTAGTTCGAAGTCGCATGGTTGCAACACTAGAAAGTAGGCACGTGGAACGTTTCGTCGTGGTGGTATAAAGTGAGGAAACGATAGATATGTAAAGCAGAGATATGCTAAAGAAGAGAAGAGGAAACAAACAAAGCCGAGAAGAAGGGTGGTCAAGAGTATTGGGTAAAATTGGAGAGTAGAGGTGAATGATCGGATAAAACGGAGCTGCAGTAGAAAAGAAAATGTTTGTGGGAGCAGAATATGGCAGTAAAGGGCAAAACCAGGCGACTCGTACAAGTCGGCGAACCTTAATCGCCAGTTGCTGTAGTCATCAGGTTCGGCCGTTGGATGACCAACCCATCGCTATATATGTGCTCACAGTGCAGGCACAGCAGCCAGAGATGACTCCTGATCGGAAGGAGCGAAGGGGTAGACGTTCCAAGAAAAAGCAGGCGTGAATGAATAAAACAATCATAGGGTAAATTGCATAAGGAGCGAAAGAGGCAGGAGGCAACAACGCCTTGACGTGATAAATGTCAATCGTTGAGAAACACGGCCAGAAGCACCTGCCTGTTGCAAGTGCTGGCTTGGATGGTTCTCTTAGAAAGACACGGCGTTCCTACTTAGGAAGTCGTTGTCGGCGGTCATGGAAGGAGTGATCGTCTGCCAATCATAGAATACGCTGGCGGTATAAAACAAAACCATAATACTGGCAACGAAATCATAAGGTAGAACGTAAATGCATCAAAGATACCAATCAAGAACATAGCAAAATAAAATATTCACTCACATGTTCAAGGTCGTAGTCCCGTTGACGCCGTGGGCCGCGTGCGTGTGCCAGGGAACCAGCGCCTGTCCGTTCTTCACTGCCGCGTGCAGAGGCCATCTCGGAGTGCCGGTCAAGGAGGTGATGGTGGTCACGACCACCGCGCTCGCCAGGCGTTGCTGTGCCCGTACCACTGCCACCACCACCAAAGCTGCCCGGCCCACCAGGACCGCCGCCAACGATACCAGCCGCTGCGGCTGTCAGACTGGATCGGCCACCACCACCGCCCAAGCCACCTGGACCGCCAGGGCCCTGACCAGGCTTCTTGGCCTTGGCGTTCTTCTGCTGCTGCAGAAGCCGGGCTTGGTCACGCAGCTGTGCCGCTAATTCGCGGTTCTCGTCGTTGAACTTGCGGACGCGGTCGGCGGGCACCCAGTCATCCCAGGTGTTCTTCCAGCCCTTGTAGTGGATGCGGAAGCGCCAGCGCTGGCCATCAGCAGCGGCAGTCCCTGTCACCTGCTGAACATCCAAGACGCGTGCTTCATACAGCATGTCCATGTGAAAGCAAAAGACGCGCTCATCGACCGCATAAGGCGCGGCGGCCTGCTTCGGCGGCATCTTGATGGACGGGCGAAGCTGGATGAGAGGCACGCAAAGGGCAAAGAAAAAGGAAGTCTGACCATGGTGTTAGTATATTGTGAGGCAATGGAGTGGCTTATGACAGAATCAGGAGCTCACAAACGTGTCAACAGTTCGACGAATGCCCCAAATACACCGCCAGGAGAAAAGGTCTTCTTAATACGGTCGCAATTTGGGCAAGAGCGTCAAGTAATGCCGCCGAAAGAAGCAGGAGCAGAACGAGTGTGACAATCAAAGAGAGAAGGCGCTACTACCGTAAACAAGTTCAGATTTTATGACAAGTGCAGCAGCAGGAAGACGCGGTGAAGACGATCTGTAGCTCAATGTGCATGGATGAGTTAAAAGGAAGGAGGTGAGGTCGTGAAAGCCCGTTGTGAGAACGTAATTGGCTGTAATCACGGGATTGGCCACTTGAATTTTTCCAACGCTGGCCATCTCTGTCCCAGAGCGCCTGCCCACTGCCCTGGGCCCCCCGCTATATATTATCGAGCCGCGTCAACACGCGACGCGCCTGTACTTTCTGTGCGCACTATAACGTACTCCGCATACCTTTGCACAGGCCAGTTCGAGAACAATCTCAAATATAGCGACGCATTGTTATCTTACACGTTGCCCTTCATCTTCATCACCGTCGCCAATCTTCACCATGGCTCCAACCGAAGCCTCTATCCTGGAACAGTTCCTGCTGGCCCCCTCTCAACTGCCAACAATCATCTCCCTCGACGACTTCACGGCTTTGTTTCCTCGGACGCTGCAGTCCTCACCGCAGGTCCGCGCATTGTATCGTGATCTGCAGCGCCAGCGCAGTGCCTTGGTTGATGCCGTTGCAGCTGACATTGACGACGAGGTCGCGAAAGGCCGGCTTCTGCGACGGTACGCCGTGCGTGCACGCCTCCGTGCCGAAGCACAAGAAGACGTGGCAGGCGACGACGAGCTGCAGATTGAGCACTTTGTAGCTTCGTCTGCACCAGATGGCGGCGATGGAATCACAGCTGGTACTGATACTGGCACTGCCACAACCACTGGGGCTGGCGCGGCGAGAGGAGGACGCGGCAGCGGAGGGCCTTCCTCCCACTCACTCACATCCATTGTGCCAGAGCTGGACGACGCCATACGCGACCTCGAAGCGGAAATTCAACAGCTCGACGAAGAAGAGGCGCGTCTGACGGCGGCTGTCCAGCAGTCGGTCGGCAATCTGAGTGACCTACGATATGGACGTCTTTACAATCCACAGTTACCCGACGAGGTCATCAAGGGTCTGCAGAATGTCCAAGCCACCTGTGAACAGATGACCGCCGAGACCAGCACAAGTACAGCCTCGACCAACACTGCGGACCAACGACCAGCGACATGACTCGAGACGTGACAGCACGAAGTTTGCCCGAAAGAAAAATTATGAAACAATGCAGATTCGATGTCCTGCGCAAGAAACAAACCAATACAAAGACCACAGTCAGGGCCTAGCCGCCCAAACATATCCAACCACCAGCCAAATGTTATTTAAAGCGTTTTTGTGTACAACGCAGACTTATGTGCACAGCCGAGATACCCAAACAATGGAGCCAATCAATCCCGACAAAAAGAACCAAGATTCTCTTATCCTGCCCCATCCTCTCATTATTATATTTTTTAAAAAAAATCAAATCCAACCATCCTTTACGAGCAACGAACACCACAAGCACCGGGAACCGTTGGCGTGTCCACAGCGCATGTGCACTTTAGCGCGCAGCGGCGGGAGCAGCAGCACCAGCAGGGCCAGCGCCCGGGCGGCCGGCACCGGGAGCACGGCGACCCCTAAAGAAACGTGGTTAGTTGTGGGACAACAGGATGTGACAAGGACGGAGACGAGACAAAATAAAGGCACTTTGGAAACTCACATGAAGGTGCGGCTGACGAAAGAGACAGCAATCATAAACATCCAGCTGGGCACCGCGTTGAAGAACCACAGGACGTAGCCAATGGGGACAGCCAGGCCAAGCTCGGCCAGCTGGCCGTCGAGCGGGTGGAAATAGCCGTCGATCTGGTGGAAGTTGGTGCGTGCCTTGTCCTCGTACAGGTTCACATAGGTCTCGGGGGTCGACGTGGTGAAGTTCAGGCGCTTGACGTAGATGTCGGTCTTGGCCGGCTTGGGCAGCAGCTCAAAGATGTACAGGTAGCCGGGGCTGGACGACCAGCTGTTGCACAGGACGGGCTGGTCATCGCAGTTGATGATGCCGGCGTGTGCGCTGGTGGCAGCGGACGTCTTGACGGTTGCGGCGTAGAAAGCCGACTCGATGATAGCGCAGTGGCCTAGATAGGAGACGATGTTAGCAAATGTACACAACACTACATAACACTAGAGAGCCAGAAACGAAAGAAGGAAAAGAAAACTATGCGCGCTGCATACCGAAGCAAGTCTTGTTACGGCCCGTGATCAGAATGCGCCACTCCTCGGGGACCGTAGCATCCGGCTTGACCGTCGAGTAGAGGGTGCTCTCCCAGTTGCTCAGAGTCAGCTCGGTTGGGGTAGTGGAGGAAGAACCGGTCGCCGGGGCAGCACCGCCAGTAGCTGGCCCAGACGAAGCAGAATCGCCGGTGGCAGCTTCGGGGGCGCCGACGCCGAGCGAACCCAGCAGGTTCTGGAACTGCGCGCGGTACTGGCCGAACAGGCCGCCGTCCTCAGCAGCAGCGCCCAGGAGCGGCAGTGCCATAAGGGCCGATTTCGTCGAGAAGCGCATTGTTGCGGATGTGAGTATATGTGCGTGGACGTTCAAAAAAAGAAAAAGGGGGCACGACCGAGTAAAATAGACAGTGAGAAAGTGAGGAATGAGAGCAACAGGAAGGGGGAAGGGAAAATTAAGCCCAAAGGTGCTGGAGGAACGGTATTAACAGAGATAAAGAGACCCGACAAGAGGATCTGAAAACGGGGTTTGCAAAGGAAGGACACGAAAGAAGCTGCAGAAGATGGAGGTTATGGAGATGCCGATGGGAAGAAGCTAGATGAGGAGAGGAGGCCAGATGTTTGAAGAAGGGGACAGAAAAGGGAAGCTGCTTCCTAGTCGAACTGCGCGTGTCGAACGGGTCGCATGGAGACGGGCCGTGTTTTCTGTTGTCTTATTGGGCAGTGCTATGAGACTTCTACCCAGTGCGCGTTGCTGACACCACTGTTTGATCACTGTGCAACCTCTTGTGCAATTTTAGTGGCCGGACAGTGCCAATCACGCTAGCGGGGAACTAGGCAGAGTGAAGCAGAAACTGCCAAAAGATGAGGGAAGGAACGACCTGGCAACACCTTCACTGCTCTGGAAGACGAGTGCGTTCCTTCAGAAGCGGAGCCATAGAACCATGCGGAAGTTTTGATTTTTCTTCCAGAAAATGACAAAAGTTATGCCAACCTGGGCTTCACGCTGCATGGGCTGTTCGTATTCTGGGGGATTGCAACAGCATACAGCGCAAATGTACGGCATACTAATTCCGCAGTGGAGAGGCGACTAGGCCGCAGTACAATAACGCAAGCTCTGCAGGAGCTGCCATAGCTCCTGCCCTGTCAGCCTGTCAAGCCTGAGACTTTGGTAACTATCGCTTCTGCTCGGTGGACAAGTTTAGTGGGCTGCGGGGACTGGTCGCCTCGAGTGATGGGGACCAGCTAGCTCTTGCTAATTACGGATAAAGTGTCTTTAGAGGTTTTTGCACTGTAATATGAAGCATTTTGCAGGATGTGACCGCAGGAATGGCGAGAATTTAGATAGCTAGCCCTTTGAATCGTGTTATTATGGGATACCGGGAAAAGGTCAATGTTAACGAGCTTCGTTATCCACTATATTCATGGCAGGCCATGCCGTTCAATGACAACAGATATTGCCAACTGAAACCAATTGATATCACGTGATTCTCACGCAAAGGCAACCACAAGGCTGCCCCACAAATCACTAGAAACTGATGTTGATAACGATAGCGAGCACCATGTGCTGTAAATGGCCTGGGCGCGCTCAAAAGTCGCGATCTTGAGACGCGACAACCTGACGACACAAGGCTCCAACAATACATCGCAGCAATGGTATGTTTCCGCCTCTTGAGGATGTTGTTTTACGACTTATCAAGCTAATAAATACCACCTTTCACCACTCAGGCTCGAATAAACACGTCCTTTGGAAGCGACCAAGGTGCAACGGCGTTGGGCGCGTCACAGAAAACAACAAAACGCGGCCGCAAGGCCAATACTGACGCTGAAGCCGATCGGCCCAGCAAGCGAGCCCGGAAAGAGGCCGAGCCAGAGCCAGAGCCACGACGGAGCCGACGCGACAGAAATGTGCGTGACGGCAACATTTCGTCAAAAACGGGCGGACCGAGCGCGCAGCCTGAGTCGTCGTCTGTGACCATTACGGGTGCCAAGGCATCCAAATCGAAAGCAGGAAAGGCAGAAAAGACAAATAAGACGACAAAAGCCAACAGGGTGCGTACAGTAGCAGAACCATCAGCCGATACCCCGAAGCGAAAAGCTGGCCGGCCACATAGAGCGAGTGCAACTGCAGATGAGGTGCCACCGCCGACAAAGACTACGAAACCAGCCGAACATTCAAAGACAAAGAAGCGAGCGAGGACGGAAAAGACAGTAGGAGCGGAAACGACCGCTGTCGAGACATTGACCTCCAGTCCACAGCAGACGAGAAAGCGTGGTCGAAAACCAAAGCAGCGCGACGAAGACAGCGACAGAACCAGAGACGCTGCTGAGGAGCTAGAACCGGAGCTTGAGCAGCCGTCAGAGCTAGATCAAGATCCAGAAGAGAGGGCTGAGGATGCAGGGCGACGACGCCGCCAGAGTGGTGGTGGACGCGCTCAGCCCCCGAGCCAGCATTTTGCTCAGCTAGTCCCCCGCACGCGTTACATACCCCTCGCTACCATGGCGAACAAGTGGGCGCCGCTCGAGCGCGAAGCCATTGCCGCCGTACAGTCCCTCCTGGAAGAGTGTGCACGGCCGGTCATATCGCGCGTCGGCGCCAACGCCGGCGCCAGCGGAGGTGGTGCAGCCGTGGAGCGGCGCCAGGAGCAAACGCGGCAGGCCATTGCCAGCGTAACGCGCCGCGTGCGATCCAAGCTCGTCAAAGGCATCCCCTTCCCACCAGGCACGGTGCACATTGTGTCCCGTCGCGGACGCCCCAGCACAAAGCCACTGCCCGACGACGACCGCAATGGTCTCGCGGCCGACTTCAACTTTGAGCGCGCCGTCGAGGAAGCTCATGCTCTCGAGCAGCAGCTCAGTCCGCTGCAGCATGCCGTTGCCTTGCTCGAGCGCGAGCGCAAACACGAAGAAGAGGCACTGGCGGCCGACTATGCTGCGTTGCGGCAGCTTGAGACCAACGCGCAGGCCGACCTGCGCACGTGGCGCGATCGAACACGACGGGCGCACGTGCTAGCTCCAGTGGACGTCGGCGACAACAGGTCCCTGAAAGGGGGCAACGACGACAGCCTGCAATTTGTGGAGCTTGCGAAACGAGCGCCTGCCTTGGGTGGCAACGACCATGGCAAGGACGAGAATGAGAATAACGAAAACGGACAGAGCAGGGACAAGAGTCAAAACGGAGGTCTTTTTGAGGTATTTCTTCTTTTTACTCGTGTCTCCCATGTATCGTGTGGGCCCCCACTAACAAATAATACAGCATCTCGACAAGGACCTATCTACAGTGGCAGCGCAACTCAGCAACCACATGGACAGTCTCAAGAGCAACCTTCAGCAGATCGCTGGCGTCCTGCCCGCCATGACCCAGACCAAGGCGGCGTTGCAGCACGTTCTTCACCAGCGGCTTGATCCTGAAAAATATGAGCGTATCATTCTCGGCCCGTAAAGCCCAAAGCATTGGGCCTGATTTTGGGTGCCCTAATTTTTGTACACTATATACTCCAATCTGCTCCGATCCCGCTGTCCCGAGGCTATAATGAATTGAACGATTAATACGGCGCAAGCGTAAGTCTGCAAATCTGCATATTTGATATTGTAACAGTGTTCGTGCTAGCGGCTCAACCGTCTCTGGCGGCACCCGTCCCAAGAGCCAAGATTCTGGCCATCCCATGCTTCCCCCCCCCCCTCCTGTAACCGTGCCATCTGTGCCGTTCTTGCAAGCGAAGCTCTCCCGTCTTCTCCAATTCGAGAAACTGGGAATAGGCTCTGACTCCAAAAAGTGCCCAGTAGATCTTAAGATGTGAAGGAACTGCAACGGGGACGGCAATAAACTCGTAAACGCCAGGACCATGCTGTCGAAACGGTGATCAATTGCAATTAGTGTTCTGCAATTGACCAATTGATCTCTTGGATTGCCCTGGAAACCTCAAATTAATCAACTGGATGTCGCTATGTCGTGCTAGTGGCAACGTCAGCACAAAGAAGCTCCTATACGTCCCGCAACGGAGCTCTGGACCTGCGTTTACAGCGACCGTTAACTGCACAGAGTCAGAAAACCCGGTCTCGCCCACCCGCCCCTCCTTCAGCTTCTTTGCCCCTCCGAATCAGGAGAAGAATCAGACTCCCACATCGCGCCATCAGAATGAGGAAAGAACTACCCCACCATAGAAAGTTTTTTCTCAATTATCGTTTTCTCACCCCAGCCTGACAGTCCAGTCGTTCTTGCCTCTCCTCTGGTTCGTGCTCCTTTTTGTCCACCCCCGCCTTCTCTTTCCGGCGCACATTTGTTGAGTAATTACGACGTATTGTCATACAGAAACTGCAGAAACGGAGAAAGAGTGCTGGAGCTCACCCACTTTTCCCCAACGAGCTCACCGTTCCTGCTCGTGCACTTCCTCCCCTTGTGCCTTCTCACTTCTCGTGGTACCCGTAACTCGCACTACGCAAACTTCCGTATCAAGTAATTGACTCTTAATTTCGCGTCCCTTTGTACCTTCCCGTAGCGCAGCAACCAGTGAGAAAGCATGCACGTTGGAGCATGTGGAAGAGAAGACACAATTGACAGTAACGGCAACCGCGTTGTCCCTCCCACTATCACACCGCCCTGTTAGCCGCTTGCACCTTCTCTGCTCCTGCTATTAAAAAATCTTCGCCTTCCCACATCCCGCCTTTTGATTTCGCCTCCTTTTCTTCTCCTTCTTCTTCTTCTCCCTCCTTTCTTCTTTTCCCCCCTCTCCTTTCACCATACGCTCTCACGTTTCTCTGTTCATCCGACGATTCTCCTCCGGACGGACTTTTCTGTACGTATCACATGCTTCCAGCACAATATCTTCCCATGGCTCGCCTTCTTCCTCTCCATAAGTGTACAGATGCCCGAGTTCTCACGAACTCAGGATCTCACAACCTCACGTTATTTTCTCCTCACCACGCCTCGCTCAATGCTCTCTTCTTCACGTCTTCTCTTCCGCCTGCTAACTCCTGTCTTCAGTCACTTCTCCCCACAGATACCCCCCACACCACACAACAAGATGGTTCAGTCATCGATCCTCGGTTTCCCCCGCATGGGTGTGAACCGTGACCTGAAGAAGGCTACTGAGGCTTGTATGTTCTTTCCGTCCTCGCTCCCTTTGCTCAGGATACGAAGGATGATGGTTAACAATCGCAGACTGGGGCGGCAAGATCTCCCAGGCTGACCTCCTGGCTGAGGCCAAGCGCCTCCGTCTGGCTCACTGGAAGATCCAGAAGGATGCCGGCGTCGATGTTATCCCTAGCAACGACTTTGCCCTGTACGATCAGGTCCTGAGCCACATCCAGGACTTTGGTGTACGTTTCTCTCAGCTCTTCTCTCAGATTTGTTCTCGCTTTGCTCTCAAGCTGCCCTTATATTGGAACCCGCACTAACAACTTGCAGGCCGTCCCTGAGCGGTACACCAGCGCCAAGCTCGATGCCATTGACACCTACTTCGCCCTGGGCCGTGGCCACCAGAAGAACGGCGTCGACCTGCCGTCCCTGGAGATGGTCAAGTGGTTCGACTCCAACTACCACTACGTCAAGCCCACGCTGCAGGACAACCAGACCTTCTCTCTGGTTGAGAAGCCCAAGGCGGTTGCTGAGTTCCTCGAGGCCAAGGAGGCTGGAATTGCCACCCGCCCCGTTCTCGTCGGCCCCGTCACCTTCCTGCACCTGGCCAAGGCCGACCGTGGCCAGTCCGTGGACCCCATTGACCTGCTCGAGAAGCTCCTGCCCGTCTACGACGCCCTCCTGGCCCAGCTGAAGGAGGCTGGCGCCGAGACCGTCCAGATCGACGAGCCCGTCCTGGTCTTCGACCTGCCCGCGAAGACCAAGGCCGCCTTCAAGACCGCCTACGAGCACTTTGCGGCCGAGGCCGCCAAGCTGCCCAAGCTGGTCTTCGCCACCTACTTTGGTGACATTGTCCACAACCTGGAGGCTGTCCCCAAGGACGTCTACGCCGTCCACGTCGACCTGGTCCGCAACCCTGAGCAGCTCGACGCCGTCATTGGTGCCCTGGGCCCCAAGACCGTTCTGTCCGTCGGTGTTGTCGACGGCCGTAACATTTGGAAGACCAACCTGAAGCGCGCTGTTGAGACCGTCGAGGCCGCTATCCAGAAGCTTGGCAAGGACCGCGTCATTGTCGCCACTTCCAGCTCTCTGCTGCATACTCCCCACACGCTGGCCAGCGAGAAGAAGCTGGACCCTGAGATTGCCGACTGGTTCTCCTTCGCCGTCGAGAAAGCCAGCGAGGTCGCCGTCATTGCCAAGGCCGTGACTGATGGCCCCGCCGCCGTCAGCGAGCAGCTCGCTGCCAACGCCAAGTCCATGGAGGCCCGTGCCTCCTCCAGCCGCACCAACGACCCCAAGGTCAAGGAGCGCCAGGCCCAGATCAAGCCCGCCGACTACAACCGCAAGTCGGAGTTCCCTGAGCGTATCTCCCAGCAACAGAAGAAGCTAAACCTGCCCCTGTTCCCCACCACGACCATCGGCTCGTTCCCCCAGACCAAGGAGATCCGTCTGCAGCGCAACAAGCTCACCAAGAACGAGATCACCGAGGCCGAGTACGACCGCTTCATCGAGAAGGAGATTGACGAGAACGTCCGCATCCAGGACGAGCTCGGCCTGGATGTCTACGTCCACGGTGAGCCGGAGCGCAACGACATGGTCCAGTACTTTGGTGAGCGCCTGAACGGCTATGCCTTCACCACGCACGCCTGGGTTCAGAGCTACGGCTCGCGCTGCGTCCGCCCTCCCATCATTGTCGGCGACATCTCGCGCCCTGCCCCCATGACCGTCAAGGAGAGCAAGTACGCTGCCTCGGTCTCCAAGAAGCCGATGAAGGGTATGCTGACGGGCCCCGTCACCTGCCTGCGGTGGTCGTTCCCCCGTGATGACGTTCACCAGTCTGTCCAGGCCGAGCAGCTCGCTCTGGCTCTGCGCGACGAGGTCGTCGACCTGGAGAAGGCCGGCATTGACGTCATCCAGGTGGACGAGCCTGCGCTACGTGAGGGTCTGCCCCTGCGCTCCGGCAAGGAGCGTGAGGCCTACCTCGACTGGGCCGTCAAGGCTTTCCGCCTGTCCACCACCGGTGTTGAGGACTCGACTCAGATCCACTCGCACTTCTGCTACTCTGAGTTCCAGGACTTCTTCCACGCCATTGCTGCCCTGGACGCCGATGTTCTGTCCATTGAGAACAGCAAGTCGGACGCCAAGCTGCTGAAGGTCTTTGTCGACTCGGCCTACCCCCGCCACATCGGCCCCGGTGTCTACGACATCCACTCGCCCCGCATTCCCAGCGAGCAGGAGATCCATGACCGCATTGAGGAGATGCTGCAGTTCCTCAAGCCCGAGCAGCTGTGGATCGACCCCGACTGCGGTCTCAAGACCCGCCAGTGGACCGAGACCAAGGCTGCCCTGGTCAACATGGTCAACGCTGCGAAGGCTTTCCGCGAGAAGTACTCGAAGCAGTAAAGTGCGGCGCTTCTGCTTTCCTCCTTTTGTTCCCCACGATGTTTATTTTTTCAACACTCATCTTGCGCATATTTCATCATTTTGATTTTTCAGTTCCATTTATGTGAGACGACAGTTTTTTCGCTTCATCTTTCCGTGGCACTCTCTCCTGTGTGGCACGGTTCGATTTCAACATCGGCGTTTGGACACGATTGTTTTTCTGTTTCTGGTTTTTATCTTTGCTCCTTTCATTTGACGTCAAAAGCTGGCTGGGACAAAAGCATTCAACATTTTGTTTACACGAAGGGTACTCTAGAGGCAGGGAAGGGCATTATGGAAGGTTTGCAATCAAACGGTGTTATTATTAGGGGACAGTCCTTTTCAACCGGATACCCATATGGAGTGTACTCTTTGTCACGGTCGACAAGAGTGGAAGACGACTCTTAGTCTTAGTTTGATAGCTCAACTCCAATAAGGAGTAAGAATGTAAGACCACTTACAAACGCAACACGGTCGACCAAGCTTGAAAAGTGATACGAATATGCCGTACAAAGTAAACTGCAATAGCGATGTGCACCGCGACCATGCAAGCCGTCTCCTCAACGAGCGACGACTTGGCATGCAGATCCAAAACAAGCACCGCTGCGCAAGACCGGTCTGGGCCAGGCCTAAAATTCGTGTGAACTGGGCCAAGCCGCGCTGCGCATTGCGAGTGGCCGGCAGAGGCCAGACAAGAAAACCAGCAAAGAAAAGAAGGTTATTCGGAATTGGGACGGATTGCATAACACAAAACGACTGGGTACATACAGGCCTTGGCTGGACAGCCACCAATGCTGCTGTCAGGGTCGGCCAGATGGAGGCCATGCAAAGGGGGAGGCCGGGGACAGGTATTTCATGTTTTGTGTTTTGTGTTTTGCATTTTTGTGTTTTCGTGCAGAAGGCCTAATAAGCAGCCCAAGTTGTAAAAAATGCTTGTGGGCTGCGGGTGCCGTAAGAAAGGCTCAATCATGTTGTCGTGTTTGACACACGATACCATGGCGCGACGGCAGACGTTATGGTGGGGATTTCCTTTGCAAGATGCCTTTGGAGGGTGGTGGGTTAAGACGTATCGACCGGGATCCTGGGACAGGGACATTCTTAGGGAAGCAGCAGAGAATATAGAGGCGCAAAAGAGGCGCAAAAGAAGGCCGCCGCTTTTGCGCGTTTCACATACTCCAGGGGCAGGAGACATGAGCCTCATGTCGCCCAATTAGGAAAGACGGCCCCGTCACTAATACCACCAAGACCACGTCTTCACACAAAACCACGAGACCAGGCAAGGGCCACTAGGTCTAGGCCTCAAGAGCGGGATTGAATACTGGTTCTCGTAGAGTTATTGCACCACTTCACGCATCGTTCTTGCTCATTATGCCATTTCCCACTGTCGGAGCCCCTCCTCTCCTTCTCTTTTCTGTTCTTTTCTGTGGAGTCAACAAGCGTGTGAGATACGTTGAGGCAGGAGCGAATGGTTTCAACTGCTGCTCTGAGCAGGTCGCCCGTCAACACTGCCCCGTTCCCTTTCCCCCTTTCTCACCATCAACATCGACTTCTGGGTCCTGCTTCAGACAACACAAACCCAAATCTGCGACCAATTCTCATACCGACACCCTTGCTTCCATTCATTTTGCCCACCGTTTGGCCACTTCTGTTGCACCTTGATTCACAGATTACTATTTGTTTGCCAGTCAAGTGGGTGGCCACAGATAATAGTGGCCAACAACCGACCATTGACCGAAAGATCAGCTGTATTGTTCTGTTCTGTTTGGCCTTTGCTCTCATGTCCTTCGGCCTGTCTTGCTACCTGTCTGGTCCGGCCCCCCAACTCCTGGTGGCTTTGCTCGTCCTCCTAGCTCAGATCATTCATGCCGTCCTGTCATACCTCACATCAGGCCACAGGCGTTCTTGTTTTCTGCCCGAGCGACGAGCCTATCCTCGCGTCGATCCGGCCTCGACCACCGCTCTCATCTAGTACCTTTCCGTCTTTCTGTCTGCTTTGTGCCAGCATTTCCGCGCGCCTTTTCGTTGGACTCCGAAGAGGCGCAGGTGTCCGATCATCCTGACATTGGACGAGGATCGACCCAGCAAGACCAGGTACGGATGGGTATGCACCTAATGATCTGTTCCCAGGGCATCTGTGTACAAGCACACGCAAATCTTCCAAAACCTGTCTGTCAGTGGGCCAAGGACACTCCATGTGCGTCTTTACGTTGTGCCCTGGACTGTATCTAGCCGAGCAGTAAGAGAGGCAAATGTTTGGCCGCAAAAAAATAAAATAAAAAAGGAATACTCACATCAGCAACAGTTACGGAATACGCCATACTTTCACCCCCTTTTTGTCGCACACCTGCATCGTCGTGTCAACACCAGGTGGTTACTTGGCCCTTGTTATTGTCAGTGGTGTTCACACCCCACCACATGGGCCGTGCTGAGCCTCTTCATTGTCAAACAGTTTGAAAACCAGGTCAATGTTTGTCCTCGGATACGCTGGCTTCTGGTGGTCCAATCGGAGCTTGTCAAGGACTACCTTTTATTAAATCACTCACTCATACATTCATCTACTTCACGAGACAGTTTACCGCCAGGACAAAACTCGCCAAAAGCTTGCCAGAGAAAAATTTCATTCCGCGACCCTAGCAATGACGCCTCCCTCACTATTTGCTTTTCCCGTCATTGATGGTTTGCAACATGACCAGACATCCCGTTGCCAGCGTTACCTTTCTCCTCCAGCGTCTACGTGAAGGGTCTCATCCTGTCGCTGTCTGTTCTTCTCGGTGGGCATGGGACATTTCGGGATACCACTTAGCAGCGTAGACTCTATGATGTCTTGAGTCCGAGTCTTAAATTAATGTCTAAAGAGGGTTACGTAACAGTGTTTTACGCCTCTCTGACTTCGCTTCTGGGCCTTCAGGCAGTCCTTGTTGACCTCCATAAACAACCTCTTTTGCGGACAATAAGTTCACACATTCGACACTAAACTCAAGCTCAACGGCAACATGTGCATCGGCATGACGGCGTCTGCCGAGTTGACGGAAGACGACAAAAGTTGTGCGGATGGTGGCAGTGATTTTCGCAGATCATAGTTGGTCAATAAGATCCACCGCGGTTCATGCCTCTGCTGCCCTCCCTCCCCCCTTCTTTCGTTTTTCTTTCTTCGCCTCGGAAATGATCAGCGTGTTAACAGATGCGAACGAACCTTCTTCCTGGCTTTTGCTGGTTCGACAGGTGGCTTAACTCTTTATGTGTCCATGCACGCAAGGGTGGAAGGGTGGTACCTAGATCGTGAACAGGGATCTGGGACGGGTGGATACGCTGGGACGGCCTTGACCCAGGGGTTTGTGTCCCAGATGTACCCCCAGCATATCCCAGACAGGAGAGGCTTCGCCTCGGCTGGACCAGGGCGGCGGCTAGCATGGTGTCCAAGTTAACACCGCCTTCCGCTTGAACAAGGATGCGTGTAAGAGAAGAGGGGCTGCATCAACGACATCAATGACATTCATATCGTCGACATGGCGCCAAGATATCCAACTTCAAATACTCCTCGATCTCTCCCTCTTGTCTTCAGTTTTTTTCTTCTCCTTTCCTCGTCATCCTTTTCACACTCTTTCTTCACTTTCCGCACCTTGTCCAGTCTTAACGACTCTCTTTTATTTTCACTTTCACTTCTTTTTCAAAGCTTCTAGCTAAGCTATTCCATTCTCTTCTGCAAGACAGTTTTCTTCCAAACAAAACGTTACAACCCTTTTCTCTCATTTTGAGCTCGGTATCAAACTTTTTTAACTACTTTCTTCTATTCGTGGAATTGACTTTCACTCTTTTTTTTTCAAAGCCAAAGATACCCTCGTACAGAAACCTTTCTCTTCTTGCCAGCTGGATATTTATCGCTCTCTACACATCACCAACATCATCCAAGAAAACACTTCAGTCTCGTTTTATTTACATCGTCGAAATGCAGCTCACCAACGCCCTTCTTGTCGGCCTCTACGCCCTGGCCTCCTCGGCCCACTATGTGCCCAACCTCAAGAGCCACAACATTGTCTTTGCCCGTGGTGACAAGCACCACGGTGGTGGCAAGAATGGCGGCGGCAAGATCGTCAGCAACAGCACTACCAACGCCGTGTCTTCGGTTGTGTCTTCGGTCGTTTCTTCGGCCATTTCTTCAGCCGCCTCTGAGGCTGTGTCTTCTTCCTCGGTCCTGCCAATCTCGTCATCTGCCCCCCCTCCTGTCAACAACGCGGCTTCCAGCTCGGTTGCTGCTGTGAACGCGTCCAGCGTTGCCAACTTTGCCAACACCACATCCTCTGCTGCTCTTATCTCGACGTCTGCCGTGGCTGCAGCTTCCGGCGGACTGACCACTCTGACGGTCCAAACCACCAACGTCGTCACCGTCATTTCGTGCGCCGCCACCATTACCAACTGCCCTGCTGCCACGAACACGGCGGCCCTGTCTTCGCTCCCTGCCGAGGCCCTGACTACAGTCCTCGTGACGAACACGGTCGTGCTCACTACCACCGTCTGCCCCATCACTGCTGTCGGCTCCATCTCCTCGAGCGTTATCAGCGCTTTCAGCACTGGTGCCATCACTGGCTCCACTCTGACTTCGTCGGCTGTTGCCACTGACGCCGCTTCATCGTTCACCACCACCAAGACTCAGGTTGTGACCTCCACCGTCACGTCCGAGATAGTCGTTACGACGCAGAAGGTTGTGACCGTGACACTTGGCGGCGGTAACGGCCACGGTAACGGCAACGGTGGCGAAGGCACCCGCGTCGTCACCAGCACCATCACGTCGACCTTCACCTCGACCATGACAACCGAGGTTGTCCAGACCACCACGGTTGTCAGCTCTGGTTCCAGCTCTGGTTCAGGCTCCAGCTCTGGCTCTAGCAGCAGCTCTTCCAGCTCGAGCTCGTCCGGCTCTAGCTCCGATTCTAGCTCCGGTTCTAGCTCCGGCAGCTCCTCTAGCTCCAGCTCGTCGTCCTCCTCGGGCTCGTCTTCCGGCTCGTCTTCGGGATCTTCGTCTGGCTCGTCCGGTTCTTCAGGCTCGGGCATCGATTCTCAGGGGCAGTGCTCAATCATTGCCACGGTCACCGTGACCCAGGCTCCTACTACTGTCTACGTGACCGTGACCGGCGCTGCCGGCAACAACAACGCTGCCGCCACCACAACTGCGGCTGCTGGTTCCGGCAGCTCCTCCAGCTCGAGTTCGTCCAGCTCGAGTTCATCCGGCTCAAGTTCGTCCGGCTCTAGCTCTGGCAGCTCCTCTAGCTCCTCAGGCTCGTCCTCGTCTTCTGGTAGCGATAGCTCCAGCAACAATGCCAGCGACGGGTCTGGCGCCGACGAGTGTTCGGCTGACTCGGTCGTCTCATCCACCATCACCGTGGCTGCCACCACTGCTGCTAGCTCGGCTGCCATCACTGCTGCGCCCTCCGCCAGCGAGTCGGAGTGCTCTGCAGATGTTGTTGTCACCCTGACCACCACTGTGTCTGCATAAACGGTTTTCGTCGTTCCTGTTTCTTTCTGGCCGCTGTTGTGTGTGACGAACGAACAACTGCGCCTCGTCTTTTGATTCGAACGAACGCCTTATGATTCTGATTTTTCTATTTTCTTTGGATTTCGTTTTAACATTCCATGTGTACCATATTCTCTTCAACCCTTTTTCTTCTCTTGTACAAACCAATCTCTCATGGTGGGGCCACCATTTCATGTGCCCACAATTCTCAGAACAAAAGACGTATATACATACACAAACCAGTTAACAAAAACCCACACGCTGATGTCAAGGCCACAGTCTTTGACGAGCATGTATTCTCTTCAAACCTATGTATAAATACAATTATTGAACAGTTTACCCATGTGCACGCTTTGTAACTTGGTTTTTTTTTTAGAAAAGAATAAAACAGTTGTTTTAAGTAATTGTTTTTTCCTATCCATAGTAATGTCCCATTATCCATCCCCCGCGGATATTAGACATGCCTACGATGTACCTTTATTCTTCCTGACATCGCTATTCACTAACATGAGATGGCCGCGACGCAAAGTAGCCAATCCCCGCTTAACCAAATTACCAAATTAAATGTAAACGAAATATTATTGTTGACCATTTATTTACAGTTATGCATTTTTTATTTTTTGATCACTGACGCGCAGCTTGTCTTTCTTTCTCTCTTCTCTCACTATGCTTCCCTTCGCTCTGGGCTTCTTTAAGACACAGCAAACGGGCATATAGTGCCTTTATTCACGTCGACGGCTGCCAGAAAAAACTTTCTGTTACCGACCCAAAAGTTTTCGAGTTTGTCATATATATGTGTACAATTTCACCTCCTCCATGCTTCCGGAGGCCTGTGTTTCTTTGACAAGTTCCTGCACAGATCTTTTCACCTTTTACCTTGGTTCCTTTTTCTGGACGGTCTTTTGGTCTTTCACATTATCAATCTTTGCGTATCGTTGTTTCTGAACGAATGCTCGCGATGATGGTCAAGAGCAAATCATACGGCATGTTTAAAGAATGGGCTTTATCCGTGATGGCGCCCTTACGCCGCTTCCTTTCCTGGTTGCAGGTGGTCTGCATTCTCACTGCCGACCTTCTTCTCACCGTCATTGCCAAGGTGTTTTATGGCTTCTGCGGTCCATTTGTCACTACCTTTGGGCTCATGGATACGAAGTCGAGGCCAACGAGATTTATGACATGCGAAGCTACCCACGAATCGAAGGCTTCTGTACAAACCACCAACAGCATCGACATCCCCAAACATAGCGGTGTATGCTACTGGACGCGTCCAGGAGAGTTATCAACGGGCGGACAAGGCCAAGCCAACTACGGTGACTTGTGGCATGAAGAGCCGGCCATCTTCTCTCTCGATGAAGAGTTGGACCAAGGCCCGAGAAAAGATGAGGCCGAAACGGTCCAAGACGAGACTGCCGGCGAGAAACGCAAGACGACCATGGCATATCGTAGCGGCGGCTACGGCGACGGGGGAAACAAGGACAAGTTTACGTGCAAAACACTGAATATGGCCAAGACAATGCAGCTTCGAAACACGCTACGACAACGAGCGGCGTTTGCGCAGGTGCTGAAGCAGTGCAGTCTGCGCACACAGCGGATCTTGTTCACGTACAGCACGGGATCGTTACTTTTGACCACACCCAGCAAGTTGCGACATGAGATTTGCCTTTTCATGGATGATGAGGACATCAAAGAGAACATTGAAGAGGACATCGAAGAGAACTTCAAAGAGGATATGGAATGTGCAGCAGCCGGAGTTGTGGACAAAGAGGATGGGAAGATGGATGATGGCCCTCTTGTCGACACCGGTGTCTCAGAGGAGACGATTCTCACGGCAGCCTCGCCCCCACCGTCGCGTCCTATGAATATTGGCAAGTCTGAAAATACAATCCTCAGGCCAGATCAAGGACAAGCATGCAAGACTCTCCAACTCGTCGATACAGCACGCACTACGAATCTCTGCGGCGGCGGCGAGCTGTCATGTTTTACGTTGTCTCGCATGGACATTATGGCCTGGGGCAGGATTGACCCGTACTCTTACACCGCCCCCATATAATCTAACGTCGGTTCTGAAGCGGACATTATGCAGATGGACCACATCGAAAATGAGTTTGACGCGGGCATATCCAGCATCGGTAATATTACGTACGATAACAACGACAACGTAAGTGACACTAGTGTTTATATGGAGGACATTTTGGCCGAGACGGATCTTTCCATTCAGATTGATACGATGATGTGTGATGGCGATGACGAGAACGACGACGATGACGACGACGATGACAACAGTTCGGTCTTTATCACTCGGTTTCCCTCGCCCGATGCATTGATATCGTATGGATGGGGCTACAACGTCGACGACGAATCCGACACCATGAGCGATACGAGCGACGATTCGTTGTTTTCGGACCTCTCCGACTCGTTCTCCCTCTTGCGGCTCGACATCGACATGGAGATCGTGGACGTCCCTACACCATCGCCGCCAATTCTCTCCAAAGCCTCGCGCGTGACCAAAGTGCGTGCACGGATGGGCGGGTGGTGGAACCGAGATGCTTGCCAGACACGTCGACAGCGGGCGCAGCACGGTACGGAACACAAGGGTCTGCTGAGAGCATTCAAGTCCAAGTTGTTGGCGGAGACGAGCAAACCGTCCATGAAGGACACGCTTTTCAGGGTGGAGACCAGAAGCACATTTGCAAATAAGAAAAGTACGAGGATGATGACGGGCCTCGCTTCGACAGTGAGGATGCTGTCGCCAAGAAAGATTAAACTTCCGAGAACGATGGAGAGGGCGCTGGTAGGCTTGACCATGGGACAAGGCCCTACAGCGTCCATCGACAATGAAGTCAGTGACACATTGATGTGTGTGGCCCATGCAAGCCATCTAGGATATGGACGCACTTTGTATGAGCACGACGTAACAGCGGCACGATCGGATGCATTTTGAGGATACGACAGCAAGGGCACACTGCTGGGCCTTATTTTCAAAGATATGTGAAACCTGTCAGGTATATTTTGAATTCTTTCAAAATACTTTGTATTCGTATCTCGTAGAGGAGAGAGCCTATGTAGTTGCTACGCTTATCCTGCCCTCCCCGTGTGTATCCCGTTTGTGAAACCCATTTTCCAATGCTGTGTGTCCGGTCCCAGTCCATCGTTGTTACCCGAGATATATGCCCTTAACTCCAAGTATAAAATAAGCACAATTACAGAAACTCAAAAAAGAGACAGAAAACAAACCAACAACATGGACGGCTGGCGGGCAGCAGAGACCCTCGTCGGGATGCCCTTCTTCTACGGCCGATTGCGAAGCTTCGTCCATCCGCTCGTGCCCGTGTTGCGTGGTCGGTCCGACGGTGTCCGGCCGCCATTACCGCGCGGGCTCTGGTTCTCAAGATCGAGATTCGCCAGCGTCTCGTCCAGCGCCGATGACATCACGGTCGCCACGCTCTCGACGCCAAACAGCCGCTGCTCGGGCACGCGACTGCCGACGACGACGGCACTGGGGTTTCCCGCACTGGCGCCGCCAGCCTTCTTCGAGGGTGGCGTACCGCCGCGTGCTGTACTCTTGCTGCCCCGGCCGTTGCCGTTGCCGTTGCCATTGCCATTCCCGTTCGGTGGCGGCGACACTACAACGCGGTTCAGCACACCGTCTTCCATGTTGTTGTGGTCCTCGTCCTCAACGGCCCAGGCATCGTCTTCGAGCACCTCCCAGTCTGGCATCATGCTCTCGCTGCTCAGCTTGGCCTTGAGCCGGTCGGCCAGCCGGTTGGGCCCCAGCAGCTTGAATGTCTGGACCGTGTCGTCGCCCAAAAACGTGTGCGTCGTGCCGTGTGCGTAGCGGCCCATGGATGGCACGGGGGCTTTGTCCGCGGCGCTGGCGCCGCCAGAATTGTCGCTGGCGCCGTTGCTCGTCGCCTTGGATGGCGTGGGTGACGGTGCCGCCGGCGTCACCGACGGCCCCGTCCCGGCCGTCGAAAAGATGCGTCCTGCCGGGTTGTTCAGCAGCTGGTTGCCAATCAGCAGGTAGTACAGGTTGCGGCCGATGCTAAAGGTGTCGTCAAACGATGTGCGGTCGCCGATCGACACGCCCTGTGAGCAGCACGCCCACGCGATGTTGTAGGCCAGCAGAGCAATGCCCTCCAAAAACATGGCATGGCCCTGGCTGTCTTCCTTGGACAGCAGCGGGAGCGCCTTGTCGAGGTAGAGCGGGCGGGCACGGGGGATGCGCTGGAAGAGGTCGCGGTTGCTATGGGGCTTGGTGGACGCCGCTGCCGCCGCTGCAGCGGCGGCTGCTGCGGTGACGGTATTTGACGACGGGCTTGCCGAGCCCGGAAATGGCACTTCGCCGTGTGAGTATGACGAAGCGAGTGAGAAGATGGTCGGACGGGGATAGTCGCGATGGGGGAGGGTGATCTCGGCCGGCAGCCGTATGGAGAGATAGTGGCAGGCAAGCACCAGGATGTGGGTGATGTGGGCGAGGCTTGTTGATATGACTTCGGCGGGGAGATCTATATTTGTTAGCTGCATGCGACAAAGTGCAAGGGGGGGCACAATATGCACGTGGAGGCTTACTGTTCATGTTGTACGGGTCCACGACCTCGAAGCCGCCAATCTCGTAGCGCATGGCGCTGCCCTTCTTGACCCGCCGCAGGCCGTACAGCTTCGACGCCTCCATGCAGAGGAAGCCGCGGGTGGCTGCCATGGCCTCGTAGCTCTGGTTCCACTTGAAGCGAGTCATTGCAATCGACCGCTCGACGTCCGCCTGCACCCGCGCTCGCCGAGCGGCCGTGCCGTTGGATGCCGCGGCGAGGTCCGACCGGCGCTGTTTCAGCTGGTCTCGCCGCCGGTCCAGCTCTGCGCGTGTGTCCTCCATCTCCCGCCGCAGCCTGGCAGCTCGTGCAGCCGTCTCGCGGGCACGGTCGAGTGCATCCTGCTGCTCGGCCGCCCATGTCTCGGCCTGCACTTTCGGTGACGGCTGGTGTTCGCCCGTCGATGGTGAACCGCTGGACGGCTCGCCGAGTGCCTTGTTCACTTGCGCCTCGAGCTGTTCGTTGTGTATTAAGGCGACAGTGTGGGCAATCCGTGGCTCGTACAGCTGGTTGCGGGCGTCGACGGCGCAGAGGAACGGGAGCCGCTGGGGGTGATAGTGCCGCCCGCAGATGTCGCAGCTCATTGTATGATTGAGGATGTGGGATTAAAGAGAATGGAGTATCGAAAGGAAGAACAGGGAAAAGAGCAAAAAGAAAAATAGAAGAAAAAAAAAGAAAAGGTCGATCAAGGGACGCCGATGGCAGTTCCGCCGCGGGTTGGTCGCAAACGTCGCCGGTCGCAAAGCATATCCAATCGAAATGGTCACCGGGCTGTGTATGGTGAATCCATGGACTGTGTTCGTTGCCGGTGAATCGAGGATCGTGGTCTGTGGTCTGTGGTTGGATGGAAAGTGTGTGCGACTGGTCGGTGGACAAAATATATTGGTTGCACGGAATGCTTCCTGCTTCCTAATCGCCAAAGGCACTTGTAGTTTCTGTTGGTTGTGTGCTTTTGGGAAGGCGCTCATTGTGTGAGAGGTTCTTGCTTATTTTGCGGTCACGTCACGGCGAGTCACAGGCTCTTTATCAGATGATGGGCAGGCGCTATCGAGCCAATCATAGGCACCTGCCCGCCTTGTGGGTTAGGCAGGAGGCACACAAGACGGCGGGCGCCTGCCTGCGTTTGGGCTAACTGCGTTCCGTTCTTGCCCCACTGTGCATCTGGGGTTCTTGCCTTGTCTAAAGTGCCAGGGCGCGGTGATCTGACAGCGCGTTTACATCCACTTTCGAGCTTTGCGATCGTCTTGGGAAGGCTCGGGCAGCAATGCGACTTCGCTCGACCGGCCAAGCACCGTCCAATCGCACCTTCCACTGAAACGTTGCCAACTCATTGTGCTCCTTCTTCTTCTTGCTTTGAACGATTATATCATCAGACGTTCGTCCCATCTGTATTTTCCCTATATCTAGGGCTAAACCTCTTATTTTGTCAAGGCGGCGTTCTGGCTTGCTGATCCCCTGTACGACGCGGTTACTAATTTTTGTCAGCCTCGCGCTGGTGTGCTTTTGGAGGCCCATTCGCTGTAACGCGCCATATTCGCGTGGTTCTTTTGTGCGTGTACTTTTGCAGCTGAACATGTCTCCCGGATCGCCCTCACTCGCACCTCATCATTCTCCCACCCGAAAATCGTCTGATGAGCTGTCCTTATTTCCTGTTCCCACGCGATCAAACGACGGGCCACCGTTGAGGAGTCATCGGAAACAGAACAGCGGCACCAACGAGTTTCACGGGACAAGCTTGATGGCTATACCCGAGCCGGAGCCTGCGCATGAGACGGCCGACTTCACGGCCTCATTCATCGCGGACGAGATGGATGTCGACAGCGGCACTACGCCGGTGAACGAAGCGGCCGCCGCACAACAGCAGCAGCAGCAGCAGCAGCAGCCGGCTCTCGAAGCGCCACAGCCGACACAGACGTCTCAGCTTCGGGCAGTACGGTCACCCGTGCGGACACCCGAGCTGCAGACGACTCTGCCTCAGCGGCAGGCTCCGAACGGGACTGCCCAGAGCTATCAGCAGCCAACGCAGCCAACGCAGCCACCGCAGCCACCGCAACTGCCGCAACCGAAACAGACGCAGCGCGGCGCCAGCCAGGCACGCGAGTCGTCGCCTGGCACGCCGGGCCACATCCCGCCGTTTGACTGGGAAGAGTTTGAAGCGCGCTATGAGCACGCGCTGGCGGAGATGAACGGCGAGGAGAAGGAGCTGCTGGAGGAGTTTGACCGTCTGGTGAATGTGTGTGCTCTCACTCATGCATTGAAAGTCGCACGTCAAACTGTCGCTGACATATTTCTAGTACTTTAACGTCTGGGCCTCCGCTGCCACTGCCCACGACGACGAGCGTGCAGTGAAGAGGTAAGCGCATTGGGCCCGGTACCTTTTCTCTCACACACACACTGTTTTCCTTTCTTGACGCTGACATTGATAGACTACAAACTAGGGAACGCTACGTCAAGATTGCTGAGCAGAGCCTTGGCCAGAGAAAGCAGCACTGTGAGTACCAATCACGTTTCATGCGACTGGCCTCCACGTCTTAGCTAACCATTCCCAGTAACGGAGGTTGTTCGTGCGTTCCAAAGCGCCTTGGCTCTGCTGAGCCAGACGTAACGACCGGCATAATGATTGTGTCTCGACTTTGCTCTTTCGCTTTACAGAGGCTATTATTGCTTTGGGAACAGCATGGCGGGTCTATCTTGTTGCTTTGGTGGATTTCCCCTCACGATGTTATGGATGCTTATGATACAAAACGAACAGTTATAAATCCGATTTTCTCACGTAAACTTCTGTCCAGTCAGTCCAATCACTTGAACTGTAAGATATAAGACGTACTGCTCGGATGATTGTGAAGATGGAGAAGTGTAGGTGCATTGAGGCCAACCGTGTAGGGCAGGCACGTGACCGCGTGATAGCTACAGAAACTGCTCCAGCAACGTGCCTAATTAGGTCGCGTTTTCTTCCTTGTCCTCGTTCCCATTCAACGTCAGCAACGGCAACGATGGCAGCACTTGCGGCTCTCCACGTACCGCAAATTTCACATGTATGTCTGTCTGTTCTTCCTACCTTCATCATCTTCCGGTTTACTGACCTCCGTTTCTACAGGAAGAGCTCTTCGCATTCCACGAATCGCACTTCTCGCATCTCTCGACGGCCGACTTTGGAGCCAGATTTACCAGTTTGCCCGAGCCGGCAAGCGAGGAACCGCAGGAAGATGGCATTGAAGCACAGGAGGTAGAGCGTCAGGCTGCGACAGAGGTGGTTGACGGCGACGAGTACGACCCCGAGGCCACTTTTGACCTGCACTTTACACACGCGGACTTTGCAGCCACCTGCGAAGATGGCGAGATTCCCAACGATGGAATCGAAAACGGAATGGAAAGCGAAAAGGAACAAGACAAGACGCGCAAGAAACGGCGACGGAGGAAGAACAACACCGGCAACAGCAAGGCGCGGCGCCATCTTGGCCTCGGCAGCAACGGCAGCAACGGCGGCAACGGCGAACCCAAACACCCAAAGCCGGATCTGCGCAAACGCACTTGGGACGTTGTCGACACCGGCCTTGGTAGTCTTGACTATGACGGCGCCGAGCGCGGAGGCGATGCGATGCAGTCTGCGCCGCAACGGCGTCGTGTGCAGTATGGCGATGAGTGTAAGTGATTTTTAACTGCCATTTTGTCTTCTCGTTTTGGCGTCCCCTCCCGCAGCTTCTACCTGCTTCATTGCATGATGAGAACCAATATCGTATCGTCATCCTTAGGCGGAAATCCTTTTTATCTGCTGTCAGATGGGACTTTGGATGGCCTCACGGCTGTTCTTTATGGACGCCGATGTTCATGGTTCCCTTTGGCATCGGAGAAAACGACCAAGGAACATGTCGAGATAAATAATCTTCTCTCTGACAAACAGTCGAACGCAGAAGGAGCTTAGGGACCTGGGCAGGAAAGCCAATGACGTTTTGGTTCATTTGCAAAGCTAACACCGGCTTCAGGATTGTTCCATCTACGGAGACCAGTTTCTTTCTGTCTGATACCCATCTTTTTGATTTATGATTTATGACTGATGACCGTTGATCGCGCGTTACGCACCTGGCTATTTCATGGCCAACAATCGCAATCAGCACTCATATAAACCCGAATAGACTTGAATGCGCTTGATCTTGAGCTTCATCACAATATAACAAAACAGAAAACCAAAACGTGATTGTTGTGACGATGTCAATGTCCTGGTAAATATACCGATAGATGCATATTGTAGTACAATATTGATTTATGCAATGCTAGGCTAGGCGATATTCGCTTATCCGCCTGCGCAGCCTTTCCCCTCACCAAACTAGGCTGGGCGCTGGCCCACCGACCTTCCCTTGGTGACACCAACCGCCCGTAATTTTTCGACCAAAACTTCACCTCTGCTGCCCCTCTACGTCAACACGTACTTTGCTGGCCGCCCACCCTCTCTCGCCAGTTCGCCCACCACCGCCCTGCCGCCCTCGTTTTGCGACCGACCAGTGTCCTGGACAGATCAATTCCGCTGGCAGCTCACCGCCATTCATATTTTATCACCAGCATCGCTCAAAACGAGCAGATCCAAAGGAAACGTGAGAGCTTTAGGAAGCCATTTCTGACTGACGACGACGACGACGACGAAAAGGACTCGCTGCGGACATATATATTTATATATATATATCACAAATCTGGTTCTCCCGGAGCAAAAACACGATTGTGTTGACCTTTGCGACAAAAGACGGCAACACAAAGCACGCCACCCCCTCGTATGCGTCGGAAAATACCATAAGGGCGCAGTGCACACGAGACAATACTGATTCGCATATATCCATATATCCGCCTATCTACACCACATATTCGCATATAGTGCACAGCGCAGACGTTGGCAGGCTCAGTACGCGACACCAAAACGCCCAAAAAGGCGCAAGACGCTCGACGATCTCGCCACGCCAAGCTTCGGAACTGGCCGCTCAAGCCCAGCCGACCGAGGAGGACGTTCGCCAAGGACTCGACAACGCGCTGCAACATTGTATTGCCAGCCCTGGGGCCCAGTTGTCTGCCGAGCTCGAGGCCCACGGCGACGAGACGTTCAGTATGGCGCGGGTCTACGCCGACGTCAACCAGAACATGCCACGGGCATACTGGGACTATGACAGCGTTAACATCAGTGAGCAGCCGCGCTGAGCAGCCCCATTTGCCTGGAAAGAAGAGACGTCGAGAGAACACCAAGACTAACCATGGCAGGCTGGGGTGTCCTGGAAAACTACGAAGTGGTTCGCAAAATCGGTACGTTGGGCTGGGCAGCAGCGCAAAGAACACATGCGGGCCGACGGAGCACACAGCTAACAGCACAGGCCGGGGAAAGTACTCTGAAGTCTTCGAGGGCGTTAACGTCGTCAACTATCAGAAGTGTGTGATCAAGGTGCTGAAGCCCGTGAAGAAGAAGAAGATCAAGCGCGAGATCAAGATCCTGCAGAACCTGTCGGGCGGCCCCAATATCGTGGCGCTGCTGGACGTGGTACGCGACTCGCAGAGCAAAACGCCGTCCCTCATCTTCGAGTACATCAACAACACCGACTTCCGGTCGCTGTACCCCAAGTTCGCCGACATTGACGTGCGCTTCTACATCCTGGAGCTGCTCAAGGCTCTTGACTACTGCCACAGCAAGGGCATCATGCATCGTGATGTGAAGCCTCATAACGTTATGATTGATCATGAGAACCGCAAGGTGAGTTGTTTCGTCCCGAGGGGGGTGGTGCATGCACATTCGGCAGTACAAATGCCCTGCTAACACGAACGCCGGGTAGCTCCGCCTGATCGACTGGGGCTTGGCCGAGTTCTATCACCCCGGCACCGAGTACAACGTGCGCGTGGCGTCACGCTACTTCAAGGGCCCCGAGCTGCTGGTTGATTTCCAGGACTACGACTACAGCCTAGACATGTGGAGCCTGGGCGCCATGTTTGCCTCAATGATCTTCCGCAAAGAGCCCTTCTTCCACGGCAACTCCAACTCGGACCAGCTGGTGAAGATTGCCAAGGTGCTGGGCACGGACGACCTGTTTGACTATCTCGACAAGTACGAGATCGAGCTCGACACGCAGTACGACGACATTCTAGGCCGCTTCCAGAAGAAGCCGTGGCACAGCTTTGTCAACTCGGACAACCAGCGCTTTGTGACCAGCGAGGCCATCGACTTTCTTGACAAGCTTCTGCGATACGACCATGCGGTATGTCGACTCATTATGTCTAGATTCTTTTTTTCCTTTCTTTTTTTTATTATTCTTACCGTCCCTAACACTCCCAGGACCGCCTAACGGCGCAAGAGGCCATGGCACACCCGTACTTTGACCCTGTGCGGGAACCAGACACGAGAGAGCGTCTGATGGCCAACCCACCCACCAATGGCACTCCCGCATAGGCCACGGACTGCATGTCTTGACACGAAGTCATACACGCAACCCTTTCCAAAATACAAAACAAACCAGGCTACACGAAATTCAACGAGAAAAACGCACCACACTCGCAAAAGGAGACGAGTTCTGCAGAAGTTTTACGGAGCAAAAAGGAGCAGCCCATTTTTCGATAACAATACCACACGTCGAGTTCATCATGGCGAGAAATCTCCAGTGAATTATTGTATTTTGTCCGCTCGTCTCTTTACCGTCCCCTACCCAAATTCTTGTACGCGTCAGCGCTTGTTTTGTCTCATGGCAGGACTATCTCCAGATACCCATCACGCCATCACGACATCACGCCATTATTGTCACCGTTTTACTCTTCACACATCTCCTAATAGTTGTCCTTGTCGCTACTCCTTATCGTTCGCTCTATACATTGTTTTGTCATTGTTTTGTCACTGTTTCGTCATCCTTTTTGTCAACGCTTTGTTCTTTGGTTTTCGGTCATCGGTACTGTTTCCCTTCTCTCTGGCTATATAGGCGTACTCGAGCGGCGTTTGTTTGCACTTAGTAGAGTAGTCAATGAAAAAAAATAAAAAATAACATAAAATTTTATTCACAGGGCCTCCTTTACGGAGTATATTATGCAGCTATGTACACCGGAAACAGAACTCGCGCTCGCAGCGGAACCCGTCCTTGCCGCACCGCCGTAGCGTACCTCCGGGCGTCCGGATCGGTGACCCGCCCGGACTCGAGGCGGCGCTGCCCGGCCCGACCGCCCCTGTCTGGTGTTGCCGACGAGCCAGCGGCGACAGTGCCAGCGGTCGGCTCGCAGTCGGCGTGAGCCAGATGGCTGCTCCTGCTTTCTTTGTATGGCTTTGGTGCCGGCTCGGCGTCGTCATGTGTCGCCGCGACGAGGGTGTCGGCTGCTTACGGTTGGTCGTCGGTGTTGTTTGTACGGAGGAGCCGCGCGATGCAGACAAGGACGACACCGGCTGCCGTCCGCCATTCCGGGGGACAAACGGCCGCGGCGAGGCTTCGGCAGTTGCGTCGACGTCAGCCTCGTCGGCCGAGCCGTCCGACACCAGCGAGATGATGGCGCTGCTGCCGAGGCTCTGGCTGTCGGGAATCCCGCGCGAGCGGGGACGGCCGCGGCCGCGGTGCGGGTGCGTTTTGGGTTGGGCCGACGAGGCTGATTTTTGTGACGACTTGAGAGACGATGCCTTGCTCGATTTCTGCGACGACGGCATCAGGGGCGAGTCCTCGGTCTGCCGACGGCGCTTTCGTTTCCGTGGGGACTCGCCGGATTCTGTTCCTGGTGGCGGCGACAACGCAGCGGCGTTCACTTCAACCGTGTCTTCGAAACCGGGCCTAGGATCGGGATCGGGATCGGGCTCAGACTCGGGCGTGTACTCACTTGCTGACTCAGGTTCATCGTCAATCTCTACCGGAGCAGCAACTTCAGCAGCTGTATCGACGTCCTCTGCCCTTGCGGCTGTTATTGGAGCAGTGGTCGAAGCGGCAGCAAAATCTGCAGATGGCTGTACGCCCGTTTCCATGATGATGATGGACAGCGACTGTGCGTCTCGTCTGTGTGCTGCGTCGAGATGGGTTGTCTCAGCCACTTCAGTTGTGCTGTCCGCGCCCACGCTCGCTGCTGCAACAACGTCACCTTTCCTTGGCCTCCCAGGCCGTCTCTTTTCCCTGTTCTCAACGTCTGGCGCCTCAAGTGGTGCGTTATTCTCGCTCTCATCCACTGCGGAAAACTTCTGGATGGGCTTATTTCCGACAATCTGCACTGCCTCCTGAGGTTCAGTAGCAAGACGAGACGCGACAGTAGGTTCCGGCTGCGTCCGTTTCCGCCTCTTCAGACCAAAATCCTCTTCGTCAGAAAAGACGAACGCCGGATCGAGTGTATTCCGCCTAAATGTCTCTTTTGGTTTCGACTCGGTGCTGTTTACAACAAGCCGGTCCTTGGAGACGCCGTTCTCGTGTGGCGGCGTAGGTAGTGTCGCTGATGATTGGCGGTTTGGCTGTTCTGTCTCGCCAAGCGCACGTGCTACTGGTGACGAGCTCTGCACGTCCGAAAGAGGCGGTGGTGGTGATGTGGAGTCGGGCACCGACGCCCGTTCTGCTGTTGACGTCGCTTGCTGTAGACTGCGCCGACCCCTCTTCCAGGGGCGCTTTGGCGACGCATCTTCTTGGTTGTTTTGCCCTACTGTGGCAGCCGCACCAGACAACTCCTTTGGTTCATCTGACATGCTCGGCTTGCGTGATGTCCTCTTTTGTCGTTTCCTCGTTAACTGGCCCTCCGTAGCCCTTGCAGACCTTGGAGTGGCACTGCTGGATGACTCCAGCACCGGCTTGGCCGAGTCAAGAATGAGGTCGTCGTCGTCGCCCTCGCCGTAGCTTGTCGGCAGCGCCTTTGTAAAGACACTGCGCTGGGGTGCAGCATACATAGCCCTAGGCGGTGGCGGAGGCGGCACATTGGTAAACCTGCCTTCTGGCCCGCCGAAAGCCGCGTCCGGAAGGTCGGGTGCGGCCCATGTCGGATCGACCTCGCCGGGCGCTGATCCGTGTGCGGCTGGGCCGTTGCCGCCCATGACCACTGTGCCGCCGGGCCCAAAGCGTGAAGGCAAGAGACTCGCCACCAGACGGGATGACGCCGCTTTTGCAGCTGCAGATAGTTCTGGCGGTCGGTCGGCAGGGCCGTTCTTGCTGCTGTCTTCGTCCGAGTCATGACTGTCGCCCTGCGTGGACGGATGCTCCACGGGCAGCGACGCAATGTGGCCATTGTCGATTTCGATTTCGTCGGTGTAAAAGTTGATCTCGTCGCCCGTGTCGCCAAAATCTTGGCTGTATTTTTCAAACAGCAGCTCAAAGGCCGACTTGAGCTTGTGGTCGGCCACCGCCCGGTTCCGGTCCAGCCGGTACTCGGGGTCAACCTTCATGGCGTAGTCTTCTGGGTCCATGGCAATCTCGTCGTCGTCGTCGTCATTGTCTTCGGCCTTCTTTGGCTTGCTGTGCATCCTGTTTTTGCTGTTGACGGTGCTGTTGACGTCGCTGTTGACTTTGTTCTCAGTGGGCGCATCGCGCGGCGGGCGGCCGACTTTGACGCGCTTTGCTGGCGGTTCCATGCTGGCCCCATTGATATGCGTAGTATTGGATTTTTGAGGAACACCCAAACAACTGAATCCGGTGACTTTTCACGGTGCTGCTTTGCCGAAACGCTGCACCTAGCGTTCGCTGACGGCGCGCATCGAAGCTGTTGGATGTATTAATTTAGTGAAGTTGTCGATTGACAGGAATAGCCTCGCGCTTTCACGTGTTAAACCACGTGCCGTTCTTTCTCTTTTTGTCAGCCGGGGGCATTGTGGAGCTGTTCTCCAAGGTCAAGCGCACTTGCCACTGCTAGCGGTAGCTTGGAGCCTGGATACAGAAACAGCGCTTCTTGAACCGACTTATTTGCAACATCAATTTGGGCGCCAAACTCGACCTCGACCACACCTTTGCACTCAACACCACGAGCAAAGCCATGCCTCAGAGACCGATGCGCGCATCCGTCCAGCAATAATGTATTGCCAAAAATGCCGAACACCGCTCAAACTCGACAGCTCTCTGGAGGACCTCAACCCAGCGGCGTATGATCTTCTTGTCGGTAAGTTTACCTCTTTATTGTTAGGGTTCGCGATAGCGTCAACTCTCTGCCGCGGTTCCTAACATGACATCCGTCAAGCCACCGCATCTCAGTCTCCACACAGAAAACGACAGCAGATACGGCCAGCCAACGCCCCCGATGCGGACCGACGAGCCCTCTACGACCACGTCTCGAAACATGCTGGACCCTCGTCGTTTAAGCGGTATAGCGGCGGTGGAAGCGGAGGCAGCGCCGGAAGCAGCGGAGGATCGATGCGTGACAGCTCGGCCATGTCGTTCGTGCTTCTGTCGGACTCGACGTTTGCGGGCGGCCCAGGCCACGGCGGCAGTGCGGGACCGGGCGCAGGCTTCGGCGGGACTGCCCCGGCGCGGTATGGCAGCGGCGCATTCGACGGGGACAAGAACAAGAATTTTGGGACGGGGGATCTTGCCGGCGCAGACGATGAGGATGCATCCAAAGCGCAGGGCATGGAGCGCATCACCAAGCTGTTTGAGATCATGTCGGCACGGTCCGACGTGGACCACCCGGTCTGTGTCGAATGCACGGAGCTGCTTGTCGAGGGGCTGCAGCAGCGACTGGATGCCGCCTCACGGGAGCGCGACGCCTATGTGTCCTTTTTAAAGACACAGCAGACGGACGTGCCGACGGCGGACGAGCTGCAGGCGCAGGCCGCGGCGCTGGCCAAGGCCCGGCAGCAAGAGGCCGACGCCATGGCGGAGCTGCTGCAGCTGGAGGCGGAAAAGGGCCAGCTGGACGAGGAGATCCGCGCGCTCGAGCGCGAGGCGCAGACGCTGGACCGCGATGAAGAGCAGTTTTGGCGCGAGCGCAACGCGTTTGCCTCGAAGCTGGCCGACTTCCAAAACGAGCGCGACAGCATCAACGCCAAGTACGACCACGACGCGCGGCTGCTGGAGAGGCTGCAGCGGTCCAACGTGTACAACGACACCTTTTGTATCAGCCACGACGGCACGTTTGCGACCATCAACGGCCTGCGGCTGGGCCGCTTGTCGTCGCGGCCGGTCGACTGGCCCGAGATCAACGCCGCATGGGGCCACGCGCTGCTGCTGCTCGTCACCGTTGCCGACAAGCTCAATTTCCGTTTCGAAAATTACGAGCCGCTGCCGATGGGGTCGACGTCGCGGATTGTGCGCTACGAGCCGCTGCCGTCTCCCGCATCGAGCCGGCTGGGCGGAGGTGACGCCCGCGGCGGGAGTGGGAGTGGGAGTGGCGGCGCGAGTGGCGGGAGTGGTGGCGGCTTTGGCGCGGCCAGCATCCTGTCGCAGCGGCTGAGCGCACCTCCGCAAGCGCCCAAGAAGCACGTCCTGGAGCTCTATTCATCCGGCGACATGCCTCTCGGCCTGACGTTTATGCACCGGCGCTTCGACAACGCCATGGTGGCGTTTCTGGAGCTGGTCCGGCAGCTGGGCGTGTTTGTGCACCAGCAGACGTCTGCAGCCGGCGCCGGCGAGCGCCAGCACCCGCTGAGCCTGCCGTATCGCATCGAGGGCGACAGGATTGGCGACGTGAGCATCAAGCTGGGCATTGCGCAGGACGACGGCTGGACGAAGGCGTGCAAGCTGACGCTGACGTGCTGCAAGTTCTTGCTGGCGCATGCGAGCAACGTGAACTCGTCGGGGAGGGGCTAATGAGGGCATTACGACCAAAGCACCACGACGGTACGAATATGGGCCATGGCGCAAATGGATGGGACGGCTGCGACGTATCGCTACGAACTATCACCCTTTTCTGTTTTCGTTTTCTTTTTATGATTATTGTTGTTGCGCGGCGTTTCGGCTGGGGATATGGGGTTGCCTTGCTGTCTTCTTTCTTCCGTCTTCTTTCAATCCAATATTTCTTCTTCCCGTGTATGCCTCCTGTTTTCGAGCTCAAGATGGAAACATCTACAACATAGGAATGCTCTTGAGAAAACGCAGAGACTTTGAAAGGACTGGTGACGCGCGCTTGCCAATGGCATGCACAATATGCAAGTTTCAAGGCTATTGCCAGGAATGGAAGCGATAGGCTGTCCTCAGCTGGGGCTTCTCGGCTTTTGCTTTCTCTGAATCTGGGCTGTGACCGTTTCGATTCGTCATGCCGTGGCTTGCGGTTTCACAGTCTGCAGTTTTATCCCGATCTGTGATGTAACCCACCCTAACAGTGCATTGGGCCCAGCCGTGGACCGTACAAAAAGATAATGAAACAAAATGTGAGTAGACAAATGGTATGTATTTCGTACTCTCGATTCGACTTTGGAGTCTTTGGTTTTCCTTTCTTGTGACTTGTGACTTGTGACTTGTGACTTGTGACTTGTGACTTGTGTTTTTACTTTTCTTTCTTAAAACTTTTCCGAATGTACTTTCCGATTGCCTGATCATGGCCAAGGCCCAAAGAAAGCCGCCCGATCACCTGCATGGATGCCGATCCTCCACAGGCATCTAACGAAGACAAGAGTACATCACACATCGGCAGCGAGGAGAGTGGAAAAAGTGGTGTCCTCGCCGGGTCGTTTTGCATTGTATTCACGTCACAGGCCAATTTCTGCATTAAAAATCAATGTGTCAGGAGGCCCAGACGAACAGCACTGCACCAGCACCGGAAAAGGCCGGCAAGGCGGGCCAAAGTCAAGTCCGCCAGGGTTATCGAAAGCGCGGCGATGGCGCTCGTGAACTCAGACTAAGAAGAAGCCCGGAGTAATACGTCGTCGAGGTACTTTCCTGATTTGGAGGGGCTCTCATCGGCCGGCGCGCCACGACATAAGAGACGCATCAGGGAAAGACCAAGCTCTAGACTGCTCTTTCTGTCTTTTGGCGCTTTTCTTGACATCACCAACAAGGAAAGAGCGACTCTACATCTGAGACAGGCCGGGGCAAGAAAGAACAACAGCGAGAGAGTGGCAAATACGAAGACAGCCGAATGAAGCAAGCGCTGCCGCGTAGTAATAAGAAGGAGCGGTGCGCAACGAACGATGAACGGTGCAAGAAGCTGTATGCTGGCAAGCATGCTCTTTCTCAATCTGTTCGTTGTTCCCACTTTCTGCAGAAGAGCAACATTAAATAATTCATTGGCTACGGTGCGCCGATGCTGGCACACAGGGCGAAGGTGAATCCACAGCGCCACCGGCCGTGCGAGTCGTGCATTAAGGGTGGGTTGGGGTGGGTGTGGTCGATGTGCATGTGCCCGTTTTGCAGTTTGAAGACCATCACTCCTTTTTCGCAAACAGTCTTTTTGCACAGATCAAATAGACGTCAGCTTCGGGGCCTTTTCGCATTCGGTTTCAAATCCTTTCGCTCCTGCCCTGTAACACGCGCAATTCGCGTTTGAGATTGCCGCCCGTTGGGGAAGGAAGGACCCTTGGTAGTGAGATTTCGCAATCGAGAGGCACCGGAATGGCCAACGACGATCGGCTCCTTACAGTCGTTCCTGCCCTTGTATCAACGCATATGTATGTGTCTCTGTGTAGCACGGCGGCCGAAAGATGACTGGCTCGCAGCTTCCCTTGCAGAATTGCAGAATTGCAGATCCGCAGACGACTCGTGAGAACGAATATGGCAAGAACAAAGCGCTTGGCTCCTGCCTCCAAGCTGAATCAGGCTCAAGGATCTTTGAACCCGCAATTACATTGGGCAAGAACAGTAATTTCACACAGGTCCAATCTGGACGGTTGCTGATTCACGGGACCCGATGGCCCGGCTTTGGTGAGCGCTGTGGTGCCGCTGGTTCGTTTTGTTTTGTTTGTCCTCTTGCCGTTGGTCAGTAATGCGCCCCTACACGCAAGGCCAGGCCCCACTGGAACTTCGTCCGACTCGGGCCTGGTGGCTCCACGCTTTTTCGTTTCGATGATGTGCGGTCAGCGAAATCAGGTAACTTGCATGTACCCTTCTACCGTATTTCCGTGCAGCCGGTACAGTAAGACCGCTGATTTTCGATCCACTAAACAACCGCCGCGGGAAACAACGATTTACAGGTGTCCGTCACCAGTGGGAAGCTGCGACTTAGCTGGGGAGGGTCAACGTCATAGAACCATTAGCGGCTTGGAAAAGAGCGACGGAGCTAGCTACCAGAAGCTGTGAGAAACCCGCATCTGCCGGAACGCGCAGGCGCTAGTGGCCCCTAGCAGACAAAGCAAACCAAACAAACAGGCAGGAGCTCGTGGTGTGTTGGTTACTTTCGGTGTAATTTTGGGCCTTTGGGTACTTTTCCTTTTTTTTTTTCTTTGGGCTGGCCCGCGCGCACCTGCCTGAGCTGCTGCGCGTGCAAAGCAGATCCTTACCAATTCGTTTTTTGTTGCTGCTTGCTCTTGTCGCCGCTTTGTCGGTCGCTCCTGACGCTTTTGTTTGCGTTTCGCTGCTTCTCGCTTTTTCGCTTTTCCTTTTAAATTGCGACGCTGCACCTCCTCTTTTGCCGGGCCCTCCTCCATCCATTCCCCTTCTTTCTTTTCCCTCCCTCTCTTCTTCTCTCTTCCATCTCCCGCACAGCAACATCCCGCATCCCGCCGCCCAGAGCTTTCATTGCTCTGTACATATAGCAGAGACATCCCTGCATAATAGGACCTCCACCGTCCGGACGACCAGCATAATAATCTTTGTGTATCCTCGTCACCCCGTCGAGTCCATTCGCAACGACAGCATCAACAAATCGCATTTACCGCATTTACCGCATCAACCGCATCCCACATAAAGGCTCCGTCGCCATTCTTTGTTTTGCCACAGACGCCTGTCAAGAGCAAAACAATTGTGCAAACCTCTCTCCTATACATCTTCTAAAGCACATCCCGCAAGTCACAAAACCATACCAGTCATCATGGCCGCTGCTCAGATCATCATTCGGGGCGTCCAGCTCCTCTTTGTTGTTATTATCGTTGCCCTCATCGGCAACGTCATCAACAACAACATCAACGGCAACATGTCCGCCATCAACTATGCGCTTTTCGCAACCATTATTGCCTGGCTGGCCTGTCTGCTGGGCCTGGCCGGCGCTTTCGTCTCCATGCTCACGGAGGGCATCTTCCTGTACGCCCTGCTCGCCCTCGATGTTTTGGCCATCGTCTTCACGTTCATTGCCGCCATTGTCATCCCCGCCAAGCTGCACGCCGTCAACTGCGGCGGAGACCTGTCCGTCGAAAATCGCGGCGCCGGTTGGATCGGCTTTGGCAGCTTGGACACCGAGCAGCGCTGCCGTGAGCTGCAGGCCAGCACCGCGTTCCTGTGGTTCCTGTGGGTCGCCCTCATTGCATCGCTCTTGCTGGGCCTCTTCAACCTCCGCCGCGGCGGTGGCGGTTCGTCGCGCGCCTCCAGCGCACCGCACATGTCGCAAGTGCGCGTGTAAGCGGCCGCGCGCCACGAGCTGGTTTCTTTTGCCGTTCGTTGCATCGCCCTCGACCAGCTCACGTGTCCATGGTACACGTACACGCGACGGCTGAGCCGCGGGCTAGGTCGGAGCCGGTGAGAAACAATCACCGCTTTGTCTCGATATCGAGTCTCGTGTGCCACACGTCCAACTCTGTGGCCATATAATCGCATCTAGCCTCGCTTATGTTTTTGGGATACGAGATGAGGGACCGATGCACGCGACATTTCGAGGCACAGCAAGCATTATGCGTCATCAAAATACAAAACTTGCACCAAAACTACACCGACGACAGACGAGGACAGCGCTCGGCTGTGCCAGTTGCCCCGAATTAATGGAAGATGTCGACCGGCGCTCTTGACGAGTTGAGAAAGATGAGAGAGGTGTTGGGGGGGGGACCAACCGGATAAAAATTCACAGCTGGGGGCTGCGCCTTGCCTTGACACATATTGTTATATATTTTGAACATCTGCATTTTTGGTTTCTTTTTTTGGGTTGTATTTATGGGGTTTCTTGGTTCAGGGCGGTTTTTGGTTTAAACCGGGAAAAGGACGTGATACCTTTTCAGCGCTCGTTTTGTTTATTTTGTTCATCGCCGTGGAGGCCGAGCCTCTGATTGCGTCGCTCATGTCGCACTCAGAACAAGCAACGACGGCGGTACCGACACTTTGTATTTTATATTGGATAGCCGTTGGATAACTTGTTATGTACACGACAGGTCTTTGTGGGAATCTGCTATGCCTACGGGTTGACATCTACGTCCATTAAATCTTGTCATATTGTATTTTTAATTTCACTTTGCCCCTTTGCGGAAGAGCACCACAGCAACGATGACAAAGTCTTAACACTAACGAACACAATGTACGGCGTCCAATTCTACACACATATCACCCATATGCAGGCACCCGTTTCGTGCAGCCTAGCAAAGCGACATGGCGACACCACACCTTACACGCAAGTGGTGGACAGGCACAAGCAACGGGCAAGCCATGTGGCATAGAATATCCACTTTGTTTTCGGCCGGGACGGAGCGAGTGAGCTTTCTCTAATCCATCTCCCCCGGTATGGCCGATCTCCAGGTCCTCCCCAGTCGAGACTTTCCCGTCGACGACCCCCACGGTCATCGAGAAATTTGGCGAACGTGCTGGGCCAGGCTCTCCCAAATGTGTTTGGCTTCAGCTGCCAGGTCGCCACCATACTCCACCCAGTCGTATGCAAGTTTGGTGAAGCACAGTGCACCTACAGGATAAAGAACGAAGGGCGCGCCAAGGTGCGGCTGGCATTTTCGACAGGGTTGTGTGTTGGTCGAACGTAACGGTCGAAACGAAACTTCCACTTGTCGACAGTGGACGTCTCCCCACGAGACTCGAAAGCATCAATGAGGTGGCAGCGCACGCCATCGAAGCTAGCAAACAATGTTTTGTTTTTCAAACGTCGTGCGATGTCGACGCCTATGACCGTTTCCGCGCTCTGGACGAAGTACGGAGTAATACAGCCATGAGACAGACCTAGATCACCGTCGACAACCTCACAAGCTTTTTGGTCGTGGCTCGGGCAAAGGATTCTTGGACGAGCAATCTTGGGGCCGCCTTGCTCTTCTTGGTCTGATGAGTGGCCTTGGTGTCCCCCATTGCCGGGACGGCCCTCATCCTTTCCTATCCACTCTGACGGCTCTGTTTACTCCGTACTTGGCTACATTGACAGTCCTGAGGTGGTGTCTTAACCCCAGCGAAAGGGGGGTGCAGATTTCGAGTCCTTTCAGGAGGGCAGATAAAATGGCAGAATTGCACCCTCGACTTACGCCTTTTTTGCTTGCTTTTTCCTTGTCGGCCCATCTCAAAAGTTCATTTGCTACCTGTGCACTCTTTGCTTTTTCCCACCTTCGAACGTCTTGAGTACCTCCACCGCTTCCCCTAATTGAAAACCCGACAGAACGAATCAGACAATTAAACCCCCACGTTGGACGACGCAGTGATGGATTTTTTGCTCGTAAGAGTAATCCTGACGATCCAAGGGAGACAGGGGGGATGGCAGCTGGAACCGCACAGAGGTTGGTAGGGTACCACAAAAGCACATCAGCAACGTCCCGTTCGACCAGTGACAGCCTTGCGATGCAGAGCACGTCATTCGTCGCGAAAAAGGTTCATCGACTATTTAGGGGTGGACCACGCAAATCAACACGTTTTGGAACCCCCTCTCTGCGGCACATTGAACAATGGCGACGTCCAGCTGTACGGTTCTGAGTTTTTAAAATGGATTTTGACTCAGTTCAGGCAGGGCCGTTTGGCCATGAAATCCGCATCTCCGTCTTCTGCTTGCTCTCTTCATTTTATTTTCATGTTAGAGTCCCCATTTCTCAGTTTATGTGTGCTCGCTACCCTCGTCTCTCGCTGTCGACATCCTCCATATGCAACGCACGCAATATGTTGAGCATGTATTAATATATGCGGCTTGCTCCCCGGTCGCCGGGTCGTCTTTTGAGCTTCTCGGATCCGACTGCCTTTGGCGGATGTTGGCTGTGTTTATACATGAACAAGACCTACCTGTTCGACATCCTCCATAAGAGAGACAACAAGAAAACGGCAATAATTCGAACTTATCATACGGTAGGGCCTGTACTACTTGTGCTCGACCGTTTCCGACTTGTCCCTCGCTCGTCGACATAACCACATAAAAACATCAACATATCGACAATCGACAATCGACAATCCATATAGCCCGCCATGACTATATCGGCGGACCAGCTTCGCGCGCTCCAGATCGTCGAGCGAACTGCGTCGTCGCTCTCGGTCGTGGGCATCGCGACGATTATAATCACCTTCTTCTCCTCCCGATACTTCCGCAACCCCATCGACCGGCTGATCCTGATCAATGCCTTTTACAACGCCTTCGACGTCACAGCCACGTTGATCTCGCTGAGCGGGCCGGCAGCAGGCAACGGCTCGGCCCTGTGCCAGTTCCAGGGATTCCTGATGCAAATGTTCCCGCTGGCCGACGTGCTGTGGACGCTGGCCATGGCCATCGATGTCTTTTTGATTGTATATTACCAGTACGATGCCAACGCTCTGCGGCGGCTGGAGATTAAGTACATTGGCGCCATCACGGCCATCACCTTCACGCCCGCGTTTGTGTTTCTGTTTATCCACACCGCCGAGAAGGGGCACATGTACGGTAGTGTGACGGTACGTACTGACCACTTGTTCTCTTTTTTGCCTCTCTCATCTCTCACAATACATGAACGCCCCTTCTAACAGACATAGCTGTGGTGTGCCATTGCGCCGAAATGGGTAATGTTCCGCATCATATTTTATTATGCGCCAATATGGTACGTGTTCTAAGGCGCCAAGCAGATCAGGAGAACGTCGCCTTCGTCTGACAACGTACAGGATCATTATAGGTATCGTCTTCATCCTCTACTGCATGGTCGGTTGGAAAATTGTCAAAGGCAAACGGGCCCTCCGGTCAATCGAGAGCGACATCATCCCACTCGACCTGCAACAAACAGCCGAGAAAGACGACGACGACAACACCACCGAGAGCACTCAGAACACCAAGAGCACGGAGGGCGCAGAGGGCACTACCAGAAACGCCATTGGCCTCGCCGTATCGTCGTCCACGCGAACCCTAGGCCCACACACGAGCATGCACGGCGGCATGGCTGCCTCGGCACCAACGACCAAAGGACACACTGCCAAGGCGTGGTCCCGCGACGGCACGGAGTCCATATCGCCGCTGCGGCCAGTCGACGATTTTGGCAGCAGCCCAGACCAGTCGGGCAGCGCCAGTTTCAGCATGAGCCCGAGCCTTAGTAGCCACAAGTGGCAGGCCAACCGGTCGGCCCTGTCGCTGCGGCAGTACCTGCTGATGCCCGTCATGTTCTTTGTGGTGCTCATGGTCATCTGGGTCGCGCCCACGACGAACCGCCTGCTGTCGTTTGTGGAGCCCTCGTTTGTGTCGTTCCCGCTATACATTGCCGTCGGCGCAACGGGGTCGCTGCGCGGGTTCTGGAACGGCTGCGTGTTTTTGGCCGTGGGGTTACGGTCGCGGCAGAGCCAGCGCCGGCTCGAGGCCGTGCGGCCAGGGCATTATAGATGACTCTCTGTCATTTCTCTCCTTTTAATGACGTTTGGATATTGGGATTGTTTTCGTGGGTGTCGGGTTATTGGACATTTTGCATTTGTTTGCATGCTCGGCGCCAGGAATAATATATATATGTGTGTATAGAGATATCCCCTTTATTTATTTTGGTTATGGTTTGGTATAGACTTTATATTCGGGTTTCCCTCCCACACGATTTATTTACACTAGTTGACCTTTAGGTCTTTTACTTCTTGGCTAGACGCTCCAATACCGTCTTAATATTCTTACACAGTGACATCTTGGCACCAAATGACTAATATCATTTCAACAAAGGCTATCTGTTGTACAAAGCAAACCCTGAACACAAACCAACAATAATAATGACAACGACAATGCAATCATCCATCACCCACCGACTGCAGAGGTAGTCGCTGTAATCGCAGCAACATTGCGTCTTCGCCGCCGCCGCCGCCACTGCTCCTGTTGGTAGTTGTCGTAGACGGGCATGCCGTTGGGACCGTTGGGGCCGCTGTAGTAGCCGTTCCGGCGGCCACGCCCATTGTAATAACCGGCCGGGGGCATGCCCGTGCGGCGGTCGTAGCCGTCAAGGTTGCGAGACTGAGCTGTTAGCAGGCGATGACAATGGCAAAGGGTGTGAAGCATCGGACATGCACTTACGAAGCAGCTGCCCATTGTTGTACGAAATGGAGCTTTGTTCAAGTGTAAAGGGTTTGCTCCGTATGTTGTTTGAGAGTGCTCGGTGCCTTGTCTTTGCAAGATATAACGTCGAAGATTGGCTCCATCCAAGTCCACAGAGGGTCTGATCAATTGGATGTCTTTGGCTTCTTATACCAGTGTTTTTTTTTCCTTTCTCCCCTCTCAGGTTTATCTGAGAGTGAACCGGGATCATCGTTTTCTTACATTCGCATTGCCCCGTCCTCGTGTCGTTTCCGTCTTCTCACTCGCGTTCGTTCAGGGCAAAAGTGCATCCCCACATTAAATAGGTAAAAAGGCACTCCACACGCACCGTGCGAAGTGTGGGATGACGTCAAGCCACAGAAGGCTGCAGCCGTTTTCAAGCCTCTGGAGAAGATGTGCCTCGTACGGCATAAACACTGCCCCCAAGACAGCCTCGACTGGTCGTGCCACCGCACCGTTAAGTCGTTCCGTGTTTCCGTGTGGTAGGACCTAGATAAAAAAAATAAGACGCTGCATTCGATAGTCAGCTGAAACGAATGTTTTGTGGCACCGAACGACGCAAGAGGCACGTCACAGGACTAGGCAGAAACGTTTGTTTTCAGAGAATATATCCAAATATCTTTTCCTAGAAACGTACGCCAAGCCTATGGCAAAATTCGAAAAAAAGAAAGCGTATCAAGTTTGCAGCGTGCTCCCAAAACGGACTACCCTGACATGCAACGCGATGCTTGCAAAAGAAACAAGAAATCAATGCAAATCAAGACGCAGAGAATCAACAACATATGAGGGTATTCTAAGATGCAAGAGCAGGAGAAAGGAGTAAACCAAATGCAAATCCAAAAAAAAAAAAAAAATAGCTTCCAACCTTTTGTCGTGCAATTTTGTTACGTGGTTTCAAATTGTCACCAATATACTCGACACAACTTTTACTCGTCACGCACGGCATTCGAAGCCGACGGGGCAACAGGTGACAGGGGCACAGATGCACCGTTACCTTCACGGCTACGGCGAGACAGCGTACTGGTGCTCCGGAACCGGCGCGTCCGCACTGGCGACGGTTGGGTGGAGTCGTCAACTACCTCGAGGCCCAGACCTGCAGCCCGAGCACCCTCCGAGTCGTCCGACTCAGGGTCCTCGGGTTCGCGCAACTCACCCAGCTTCGGTTGGACCGTCGTCGTAGTAGTTGTTGTCGATGCCACAGTTCCATCCACCAGTGTTTCGTTAAACCGTGAAGCTACCGGCGCTGGCAAGGGCGAGTCGTTGGGCGGTACCGTCCAGTGCCGGCTGCTGGCGCGGGACTGGTTGCTCCTGTCACCGGTGGCAGTGCCACTCGAGTGCGGGCGGCGGCTGATGTTGTTGATGTAGTAGTCGTCGTCGTCCTGAGCAACGTCACGAAGAAGCGACTCTTCGTAGGCGCCCTCGTCATCGTCCTCGTCGTCCGTGGTCGCGTAGCTGTACGAGGCCGGGTCGCCGCCGCTCTCGCTACCAAAGCCATCTCCCTCGAGCTCCTCCTCGCCGCCGGCCACTTGTGCCGGAATCTCGATGCCATCTCCCTCCTGCAAGAAGAAGGTGGAGATGGCGCCGAGAACTGCCACCACGGCAAGGAGCGCCCAACCAGTAATAATATAGCCCTGCTGCACACCCCACGAGAACGCGGCACCCGTCATGGCCGGGCCCACTGCACGACCCATGCCGCTAAACAGTGTTGCGTATCCGTTTAGCGTGCCGAGAACCTTGACCGAGGGCGCCGAGTTGGTGAGGATAATCGTCACGCACGGGAAGACGATCATGGTAAAAACGCCCTTGAGCACAAACATCAACATGAACGCCGCATACCGCAGACGCTCGTTGTCAAGAAGAACCGAATACGGTGTCAGGATGTACACGAACGGAAGAAGTACGCCTACAACCTGTTAGCTGGAGAAACAACATGCAAGTTTTGAAAAAACCGGTCGATAAGAACACGTACAGGAATAACGGTAGCAGCGCAGGGCCCCAAAGCGGGAGCACAGGGGCGGAAAGGCAGCAAACTGAGCAAATCCAGAGATGAGCGCATTTACTGTAAAGATTGTGCCAATGGAACCCGAGGACAGACCGAAGCCACCCGAGAATTTGAAGGGCAGATTCGTGTTGCTCGAATCGTGCTTCTCGTAGGGATAGTTGAGGAACACAGGTAGGACCTGGTCGTAGGCAACCGAGTGCAGTGCCAGCATCGTATAGCAGAGCAGGGCCATGGATGTCTGGTACGTAAAGATGCTTGGTGTCTGGGCCGACGAGTGCGTCGACGTGAGGCGCGCTTCGCCCAGAACCTCGGGAGCGCCCGACGAGACAGCAGCTGCGGCCACCTTGGCTAGCTGGGTCGAGTCGTCGACAGCGGTCGGCGGCTTCGAGGCACCGAGCGTCAGATCGGATTCATTGCGTATTGCTGCCGACGACAACAGAGGCGCACTGGCCTCGTCGTCGATGAACGACAGGCGGCGACCGCGGGCTTCTGCCCGGGCTTCAGCACGCGCACGAGTCCGGGCGCGGAGAGCACTTCTCTTGGACGGCCGGCCGCCGCGGAAGATACGGGTGATGCGCTCGCCCAGTTCAATACCCCAGTCCGTCTTGTGCTTTCTCGACTCGAGGGTCTCTTCCAGGAAGAGGAAGGCGTTCACGGTCGAGAAGATAAAGAAGACGCAGGCGATCAGGTTGGGCAGCAGGAACGGGTACTTCTTGAAAAACTCAAATTGACCAAACAGTCCAGGGAACTGCTCGGCCGGACGAGCAAAGAAACCACCAAACGATGGACCAAAAACAGAGCCAATACTCCAAACCATGGGCATGATGGAGAAGGCTCGGGGTTGCAGCGCTTTCTGCGGCACCATCTCAGCCACCATGGTACGGATTGTCCCGACTGCGGCAGTTAGACTAGCTGAAGAGACCCGTGGTTAAGAAACACATACAATAGAAGTGACTTACCATTGCCGTTGCTGGCGCCTTGGATGCCGCGGACCGCGATAGCCATGTGTAAGCTCGTGGATGCCCCCCAGAAGATAAAACAAGTCATGGTAGATATCAATCCAATGATGATTGTCGTCTTCCGTCCTATTCTGTCGGACGCCCAGCCCCAGGGAACGGCGGTTAGGCTTTGGGCTACCGAAAAGACAGCGCCGGTCATACCGGCCCACTTGGCAACCTCCTCTTTGGGGACGCCGAAACTTTTGATCATCTCGGGCAAGTAGGGAAAGACTGATGTCAGGGCAAGAGGTTCGGCAAATCGGACCATAGCTGCAAAAGTGCTGTTAGATAATGTTTCGTACAAAATTGGGGCGTTTGTCGTTATGTGCACCGTCGTTGCCGATCTCGCATTGTCCTCCATTCCCTCGACATCCTCCATGTACCGTCGTTCCTGTTCCGCATATATCGCGATCAACAAGATGGTGCCAACAGTGTCACTTACAGCACTTGCAACAGGACCAGGAACAACGCAGACTGCAAACACCACCACTCAACGACGTTATATCGAAATAGAAAAACAGAAATATGTTGGGAAGTCTTACCCAAGATGACCAGCTGCTGGACAGGCAGCTTTGGTCCTCTCTTCTTTTCTCTCGCCATATTGAAGTCGGAGGGAGTTGGGAGAAAAAAAGAGTAGGAGGAGAGTGCAGTGAAGAAGAGACCGAAAGGGAGGCGCGGTAGGTTGTGCGCCTGGGGGCTTCGTATGCAACGGCCGGTTCGGTATTTACATGGAGAGCTTTGGCGGGTTGTTTCGATGAGACAGTGGTCGGAGAACAGACGCCTCAGGCGAACAACGTCCGAGTTGGTTGAGAAAGCTTAGGATGGGCCACGTTGAGGCGTGGAAACGTGCCTATTTGGTGGTGTGAGATGTGACGTCTTGATGTGTGTTGGAAAGGCTGCTCGACGAAAACTGGCAAATAACGGGAGACGGGTATGTCGTCGAGGCTGCGTTTCATCGCAAGGCCAGCGCTGTGAGCCAATGAATATGAGCGTTGGAGAAGAGGGTAGAGGATTTCGAAAATCTGGAACAGAGGGAAAAGAATACAAGAGATTTAAGAAGCCAAGTAAAATAGGAATCAAAATAAGTCAGAACAGGAAATGGATAACGGTTGAACGAATATGCAGGCCCGGCATAAAATAGACCGGAGTCGTAGGCTGCGAGTCACAGGATGGCGAAAAAATAAAACTGGCGGGCAGTTGAGAAAATTCAAACAAACCACCCTGCAGGTCATCAACTTGCGAATCCTGCTGGGGGAAAGAGGGGATCTTGACCCATATGGGCGGTCTTCGGGGCACGCTAACAAATAGAATTGGGCCTCGTCGGCTGTGTGTTAGTGCCGCTTTCGCCTTCGTTCTGGGCATGCAGGCGTGGAGTTTTGCAGAACAGCCAGACGCGAGCACCGCGAGGCAACGACTCAGGTCTGGCCTTGGCCATCAAAGAAAACGAAAAGGCAGCACTTGGAATCCACTCCCCACAACATGTCGTGCTTTGGGGGTCAAAGCCGGAGGGAAGTCTCCTCAAAAGGTAGTACAAGGACAAGTCCAAAGGTCTTGTCTGTTGAATGTGACTCTTGTCCATATTGTAAAACATTGTCTCGCAGCTAGACTTGCACTCCCTGCGCACACTCGCCCTCGCAAAGAGCGGCAACTGGATTCCGGCCATGGTGTGTCCGTGAGTTGCAAAGGAGGTGCGGCAACGGCACGAAAAATGCCCTTGATCGGCCTGGGCTGACCGGGTATTGATGTGTCTCATGGACGCCTGCATAGCCGTCCTTGAGTTCTCTTCGTTTCGTTCTAATACCTCCTGAGCAACAACGATACGAGAGTGAGTGGGGGCATGGAGAAGAGGACTGGGTGGAGTTGCACAGTGGAGAGCGCCGTTCAAGGAGAGAGGCTGGATTGTACTTTTTGGCAGCCCTGCATCCATCGGCAACGAACCCGTACCCGCACCCGTTGCTATTGCTGCTTTGGGGTTTCCGCCGCTTGTAATTCGTCTCTTCACGCGCCGTGCTTGCTTTCTTCCGCCGTGTCATTGTCTATTAATATGTCATTTCTCTCATGTTTTAATCTGTCAAGTATCTCTACTCACCTGGCTTCTCTCCGAGCTGTTTCTGCAGAGCCAGGAATGAAATCGTGTTGATCTATCCGATGACACCTGCAAGGAGTTGTGAAAGGCTGTGGGGAGGGAGGGGAGGGGGCTGATGTTGGACATCGCCTTGTGTTCCGGATCCTTGTAGACGCTGTGCTTTGACATTGGACAAGATGAGGATGAAGGTTGAAGGGGAAAGGGGGGGGAAGGGGAGGGTCCATACGACGAAGAATCCTAGCAAACTGACACGAGGCAAGCGCGTCGTACTTGCTACCTGGGCAGCTGGGATGTCACAAAATGCAGTCACGACCGGCTTGGTTACGCCGCATTACCACCATGCTGGCCTGTCATGCCTGCCATGCCAGCGTTCATGGCAAAGGCAGAAAGTGCAAGGGAGGTGCACGGGCGAGTGTCTCTTGCCTGCAAAAACCAGACGTTGTTTCTGCGCTTTCGGCGGTGGCTGCAATTTTCAGCGGCCGGTCGTCGGCGTGGGCAGGTGCGAAACGGGGCAATATACACCGGGAAAGAGCGAGCGTCGTTCCTGGGGTGGAGTGGGGGAACACTGAACACCAGCATACTCACAGTTGCACCAGTGTTGGCGGCGCCAAGCCAACCGAGGAAGGAGCAACCGTCAGTAGTTGAGGGGGCCATCCTGGACGATTGAGACACGGCGCATTTTGCAGTCTTGCAAAACCGATATTTCAGCCTGTTCTTCCGGTCGTGTCGTGCGTGCTTTTATTCACACACAGGTCGGCGGTTTTGTAGTGACGTCCTGTGCACTGCAGAGATTCTGACGGACAGTGCAGCCCAAACACAAAGTTCTGACGGTTTCCCGAAAAGGCAGGCACAGGCCTTGTTCACACTCACGTCGCATTTGTCAGTCTTGGTGACCATGCGGACTGTGATTGGCCACATGTCAAAGACCCGCTTTTCTACCCGCTCTCTCATTATGTCGGCGCCGAAGCCGCACACTTTGCCCAATACTAGAGAGTTGAAAACAGGTTAACGACGGTTGAAACAGATCAAAACAGCGAACTTGAAGCGCTGTAGCCAGTGAGAGAATGGACTTGGAATCCGCACAACATCCAAACAGCAGCTGTGAGATACAAAGACATCATATAGCCACAAACTTGTGAATACAAAAACGGACGAATTCTTTGTCCGCAAAGATATCCAGAGTATTCATATTGTATTTGGAGAGAGGCATGGTTATGGGAACTGTTGTGCCGACGACATTGACTGCTTCTCACAATGCTCCCCACCATTTGTGGTGTCTGATGCGGCACTGATATTGCCGTGGCTTGACATCCGGCTGTTTTCGAGATACAGCACATCCCCGGTTTTCTTGTTTCCCCTCCCACGTCCATCATATTTACAAGGATCGCAAGTGTAAGACGAGATGGCAGGGCGTGGCGGTCATAGATGATACTGTGCTACATATACAGTGTGTATTGTATACACTGTACGGCGGTGTTGGCCGCCAGCCACCTCGCTGATCACGCAAAGCCCGCCTGTGCTGGGCCTCTTTCCTGTTGCGGATCGCCCGGCCATTTGCAATCAGTGCATGTTTCGACGTCAAGCTCAACCAGGAAGGTGCGACATGGACGGAGCTTTCGCAATCGCCGAGGCGGTCCTTCCTGTTTCTCCAGTCTTACGGAGAGCGCCTGCTTCTTGTCACCTTTGTTGATTCTTTTCCATGTTTTCTTTTTTTTCAGTTTCCTCCACCTTCATCTCAATTGAGATGCTTGCGAAGCTCTCCAAACTCGTTAAGCTTCCAGCTGTTTTCGCCAAAGGTTCCTGCTTGATTGATTAGTGTGCGACACTTACAAGCGGAAACTCGACAGACCATCTGAACGAGCAACAATAACAGAAGCAAAAACAAATAAAAGCTGCAACCTGCAACCTGCAACCTGCAACGCGAATTGCATCATTTGCCATTACCGCCAATGGCCGACGAAAAGACGCCAGTGCTCCCGGTGACGGCGTCGGCGACGCTGGACAAGCTGGCCGCCGAGGACAGCCGGCGCCATGGGAAGCGGGTATTCAAGAAGAAAACGAGCGCCGACGACGGCAGCATTAGTCAGCAGATTGTGCTCCCCGTGGCGCTGACGCTCGTGATCCTGGGCACGGTGCTGCTGCTGCCGTACCTGCTCGAGGTCCGCAGGGCACTCGCCGTGGCCGGCACGATCTCGCTCTACTCGCAGAGGTACAAGCCGCACTTTAGCAACGCCGCACTCAAGGACATTCTGCTCAACACGCCGTCCAACGACTCGGTGGCCGAGTGGTTGCGGTACTACACGGCCGGTCCCCACCTGGCGGGACAGAACTACTCGCAGGCGGCGTGGACGCGCGACCGGTGGGCCGAATGGGGTGCCGTGTCGCACATCACGGCGTACGACCTATACCTCAACAGGCCGGTCGACCACAAGGTGTCTCTGCTCAGGGCCAAGGGCGAGAAGGAGGACGGCGACGACGGCGATGCAGGCGCCATCACCTGGGAGGTGGCGTTTGAAGCGTCTCTGGTCGAGGATGTGATCGAGGAGGACCCGACGACAGGCCTCAAGGACAGCGTGCCGACGTTCCACGGCTACTCGGCCAGTGGCAACGTGACGGGACCGGTGGTGTACGTCAACTACGGCACGTACCAGGACTACGCGGACCTCGAGGCGGCCAACGTGTCTCTCAAGGGCGCGGTGGTGATTGCGCGGTACGGCGGCATTCTCCGCGGCCTCAAGGTGAAGCGGGCACAGGAGCTCGGCGCGGTCGGCGCTTTGCTGTACAGCGACCCGGGCGACGACGGCGAGGCCACCGAGGCCAACGGCTACAAGCCATATCCGGACGGCCCCGCGCGGCAACCAAGCTCCGTGCAGCGAGGCAGCGTGCAGTTTCTGAGCGTCGGCCCCGGCGACCCTACGACGCCTGGCTACCCTTCCAAGCCGGGCGCGCCGCGTGGCTCGCCCGACCAATACATCCCATCGATCCCGTCGATCCCCATCTCGTACGTGGACGCGCTGCCGATCCTCCAGGCGCTCAACGGCCACGGCTTACGCTCCAAGGACCTGGGCAAGTGGTGGACGCGCAACGAGGGTCTGGGCCACAAGGGCGTTGAGTACAACATTGGCCCGACGCCGGCCGACAAGGTGCAGGTCAACCTGTACAACGAGCAGGACTACACGACAACGCCGATCTGGAACGTTCTGGGTGTCTTCAATGGCTCGGTGCTGCCCAACGAGGTCGTCGTGGTGGGCAACCACCGGGACGCGTGGATTGCGGGCGGCGCGGTCGACCCCAACGGCGCATCGGCGATTCTTAACGAGGTGGTGCGGGCGTTTGGCGTCGCGGCAGCGCAAGGGTGGCGGCCGCTGCGCACGATTGTGTTTGCATCGTGGGACGGCGAGGAGTACGGTCTGCTGGGCAGCACGGAGTGGGTGGAGGAGTACTTGCCGTGGCTGCAGCAAGCGAGTCTGGCGTACGTCAACCTGGACACGGGCGCGAGCGGACCAGACTTTGCGTCGTCGGCGGTGCCGCTGCTGCACGACCTGGTGCACCAGGTGACGGGCGAAGTGTTGTCGCCAAACCAGACGGTGCCCGGGCAGACGGTGCGGGACACGTGGTCGGGCAAGATTGCCCCGCTGGGCAGTGGCAGCGACTACACGGCGTTCTTGGACTACGCTGGCATTACGAGTGTGGACGTGCGGTTCAGCGGCGGCGGAGATGCAGCTGCGGCAGCGGCTTCCTCCGGAGGAGACAAATATGTCACCCCCGTGTACCACTACCACAGCAACTACGACAGCTACCACTGGGCGGAGAAATACGGCGACCCCGGGTTCGCGTACCACAAGACGATGGCGCAGATTCTCGGTCTGTTGACGGCACACCTGGCAACGGATCTGGTGGTGCCATTCAAGGCGAGCGACTACGCGGACGCGCTGCAGACGTACGTGGACAAGGTCCGGTCGCAGTTTGAGAAGCACATTGCGCCGGAGGACGACGCGGCGACCGACGCGGCGGTGGTCTACTCGGACGAAGCCATGGCCGTGATCCGCGGCCGCAAGGGTGGCGCTACTGCCGATGCTGCCAATGCTGCTCTCTATACCGCCAGCACCAGTTCCGCCAGCTCGGACGACGCCGAAGGCCAGCACCAGTTCCGCCTGGCACTCGACCGCCTCGACAGCGCCGTTTCCGAGTTGGCGGCAGTCGCCAAGGCGCTCGACGACAAGGCCGAGCGGCTGCGGGAGCGTGTCGGCAAGGGCGATTTCGGCTCAGCCTCAGGGTCTGCGCCTGCGCTTGTGTCTGCGTCGCACGACGAGGCGGACGAGGCGGGCGAGGCGGACGGCCGTCTGTCGCAGACGCTTGTGTTTGCACCCAAGTGGTGGCGGCGGCTGGTACGGCGGGTGCATCGGGTGTGGCTGGCAATCCAGGTGGCCTGGGTCAACCGGCGGTACCAGTTCCTGGAACGCAAGTTTTTGTACGAGGGCGGGCTGGACGAGCGCACGTGGTTCAAGCACGTCGTCTTTGCACCGGGTTCGTGGACTGGCTATGCGGGCGCGGTGTTCCCTGGCCTCGCGGAGAGCATCGACGTAGGCAACTGGACGAATGCGGTGCGGTGGGCGGACATTGTGGAGGAGCGGCTGGCGGCAGCGGCCAAAGGTCTCCATTAGAGGCAGTCGAAAGGGTCGAAGACATTGCAGTGCTTGGGGACATGCTGAGCATCAGGGCCTTGGAACATTGGATACTATACTGTTGGCGCATTCATCATGGTCGTAGATGATATGCAAACAAATTGACTTATGGAATGGTATAAACCGTATAGCTGACAGAAAAGGAAAACAAGTCAAACAAAGCAAACAAAGAGAAAATCAAAAAAATGACCCTTATCTCGAATGTTTCATAATTATCGACGTAGGCGACCTCGCCAGCTTCCCCTCCTTCACGCCAACGGGACTGTCGACTCAAATCTGCCTCATTCTCCGCGTCTTTACCGTCCTACCACAGACTCTGCCAGCGTATCAGGCTCCCATGGACGGTGTTGGTGCTGACACGACTGCCCCAGCCTGCTGTTGTTGCTGAACGGCATAGTACTGCGCATTTGGATCAATCGGGGCCGCGGCCACAGGGGCAGCGACGGGCGGCTGGTAGTAGTAGACAGCAGGGTTGGCCTGCTGCAGGGGCACGACATTGCCGGCCGGGACACCGCTCGCCGCCCCGGCAGCGGCAGCGGCCTTCTCGGCATCGAGGTGGGCCGGGCCGGCCGGAGACGTCGCGGGCTGACCGGCGACGGAGTGGAGGCCGTGGCCGCGGTGCACGTGGAGGGCGAGTCCGTTGATGACGGTGGTGGCAATGTAGAAGAGGAAATTGAGGCCGCCCAGGCCGGCAGCGGCCGCCAGGCACTGGGCGTAGACGAGCGACTGGCCCTCGAGGCCGTAGTGGTAGCAGTAGCCGTAGGCGCAGTAGGTCTGGTTGCCCATAAAGGGTGCGACCTGGGAGGCGAGGAGGGCAAAGGACGCCAGCCAGAAGACGACCAGCAGAATGTCGAGGGACAACACGGCCCAGTAGTTGTAGGCGGCCGGGGCGGCGAGGGTGGCGACGAGGACATAGATGCAGACGATGAGGGAGGCGATGACGGTGAAGATCATGAGCTCGTCACCGGAAAAGGAGAGGACAGACAGGCCATAGGCGTCGAGGCCAAGGACGATGACGGTGACAAGCAGCTGGGCGAAGCGCAGGTAGAGAAAGTAGGCGGGGTAGACGGGGACGTGCTCGCGGCCGACGGGGCGTGCGGCAGAATCGCCGCCGATGCCGAACATTTTGAGTGACGAGCGACGAGTGACGAGTGGTGCGTGACGAGTAGTGCGTGAGCCAAGCGGACGACTGGAGCAGGATGATCGACAGTTGTTCGGTGACGATGCGTAGATGATAGCGTAAAACGAAGAGAAGAAAATGAAAATGAAGGTCAAGTGATGATGAATATAAAGAGAGACCCAGAGGAGAGAAAAGAAGTAAAGAAAATGACAGAGGGGCGGCGAGAAAGTCAAAAGAAAGATGATGTGCAAATAATAAATAAATAAATCGAAGTCAAGCCAATACAGACAGGGTCCAGATACGATAGGACAGGGGCACACCACCCTTTTTGTAACAGGACCAAAGCAGATAGCAGGAACAGATTCAGCCGCATCAAAGAGACACGACAACAATAATACTGAAAAGGAACGGGTGCAGGGGTCGGCAAACGAACAGAAGAAGAAAGCAAACACCAAAGCCACTCCGAGGTTAACTACTTTGCACAAATCGACTTGCACAACGATGCACCATCCACGCTGCCACACCCACAGGACCGAGTGGCCGACGGCGAGCTGGAGCGAGAACACCAAGGGCCTGGCGGTTACGACATAAGTGACCACATGGAAGATATTTGCGAGAACGCCTCTGAATACGTAAGTACTGTGCTATCAGCAGCCAAGCGGAGTCTGTATGCAGGCAACACAAGAAAGGCAGAAAAGACGTTGCAGAGATGAAAAGAGGACGTCAGCCAAGAACCGGTCGACCAAGCCGATTGCCATCGAGAAAACGAGGCTGAAAAGCTTGTCTCTCTTGGCTGCAGGAGAGAAACGCGAGGATGCAAAGGGAGAGAAGAAAAGCGACAAGAGACAGCCCACCACAACCCACCACAAACTAACTGAACACAAGTGTGAGAGTCCCCATACGGTCGCCAAGTCTGCCTTGCCCTGGTGAAGCGAGGAGACTAGCAAATGTAGAGGGTCTTGTGTCTTTGTACGTCGTACATCTTACACAAGGGACTCCCGTAACCTTCATAGAGTTAAAACCAAGACGCCGTATAATTGTGCCAAAGAGTCCCAGACTGCAGAGTGCATGCCATGTTGCTGCCCGGGACGCAGCATCTTGAATGCAGCCGTTGCAATCTCTCTTCCGCTTGGTCTTCTCCAAACGGGCGACTGGAGATGAAAGGACGACTGACACAGAGAAAACAGCCAAGGGGACGATAATCCTCCAACCAGTCAAGTTCCCAGATTTAGCGAGGAGGATGACAGTCCAAGTGGAGAACCAGGGCGTGTTGGAAGCTAAACCAGAATGAAAAAGTGTACGGAACACTCCGTACGAAACCTAGGGATGGGGCTGAAATGAAAGGTCGTGCAAAGGCAAACAAGTCGGCCAGAGAGCCCGAAGCAATTTACGATGCACGGAGGCGTCCCCTGTACATCGTACAAGACCTGACAGCACACAGATAGCTGCAGACACTGCCACAAAGTACGGGACAAAAACCGTGTGTGATTTGTCGAGGAACGATATGTCGAGAAAACGTACATCGTAGGTGCAAAGACTCGTGCATGAATTGTGGCGTTTTCTGAATTTTGAGCATCTGTACAGACAATCTCTGGAAGGGACTCGGCACTGGTTGGTCACAATGGGGAGAACATCGCATTGCCTGCCCGAAAATTGACCCACCGCAAGGAGAGACGGCCTAGGCGGTCTGGGCCTTCCCGCAAAGGGTGATCCCTTCTGTTTTGGACAGCCTGGAAGGACCGCGGAAAGAGCCCGCGCCCAGTAGTTCCTTCCACCGCAGCTCCCTGGTACAAATATATTTTCGACGTAACGACGGAGAGGAAACGTGGAAAGCAACGACGACAACACTGGTCTTGTGTTGTCATGTTGTCCAAGGAGTCTGAACGACAGCGTGACAAAAGCAACTTTTCCCGAACGTGTATATCACGAGGTGCATCCCCAAGCTTTTGATGAAGCAATGGAAGCGGCGATTTCTGTCACAGAAAGACTGATGAAAAAAAAGAGGACATGATGGATGGAAACTGCTGATTTGCTCGAGACTTTGCCTCTCAAAACAGACGCATTGACCACGCTTTAGGAAGAACCGCGTCAAGCTGCTCCTATTGCGGTGAGAAGAAAAGCGAAAAAAGAAAAAAGGATAAGAATGGAAAACAAGAAATCAAACCGGACGGGAAATTACAACCCAGGTGGCAAGGATTACCATCCTCGGGTGACAAGGAGAGACAAGAGACTGCACAATGACTCGATAGGAGAGCATATCAGAACGATAAACAAGAATCCAATCAGGCCCAAAAGGGGTGGGGGGGAGGGGGGAAGAAAAGAACAAAATAAAGGTCTGCCCCTTCTGCCCTTAGCGCTACGGCTGTGCATACATCGTTGCACAATGGCGATTTGCTACGGACCATAAGTGCAGTGTTCTGCAAGCCACATCGGACCCGTTCTTGGTGTTCGGCATACGGGAGATCGAAAAGCTGGCAGTTGGTAGTTTCGTATTGACGATGCTGGTGGTGATGGTTGGACGGAGTGCAAAAAGCGTCCACTGAACACATAACGCGGGCAGCGGAAGCGAGATGCGACTGTCATGGAGTGCCCAGATGCCCAGACGCCAAGAAAGCTTATCAGTTCGGATGGCCAGAACTTGGCTTTCGCAAAACACCTCTCGTATCCACTACCAGAACACCGAAGAGGTTTCTGTTCAATTGTAAATGCCGTGCATTATCCAGCCAATGCTACGGTAGCCTTCTGCGGCGAGGCGCACCTGGGGAGGAACGAGAGACTTGGGTCAGAATATCTGCTCAGCACGATTCAGCCTCGCGTGATTCGGCCTGATGAAGGTCAGAGGGGAACAGCACCCAACCAATGTCGACGTGACAAATACTGACAGACTACCAATGCTCACTTTTCGCTGCCAAGAGGAGAATTGTTAACATGCAACATCCAAAAGACAAAGCTAAGAGACATTATTGTATTTTTGATGTAGGCCGTTGTATGACAACCCAACATCATCCCCTCATATCTGCACAAAAACTATCCAAGACAGCCCCAATGTTATGCTTCTGCTTGCTGATGCCATAATCGATAAACGAGGAAGGAGAAAAAAAGTACAAAGTACATGCGAAAATAAAAAAAACCAATGCAAAAATATGTGAAAACCATCACCCGTTATCAACAAACATGTAACTCGAATAAAAACGGGAGCGAACATATGTACGAGGAAAAGACAAAAAGATAGAGGGGGTGAGAAGGGTAAACGACCAGTAGGACAAGGGTCATAGAGGTTGCGATGATGGCAATTGGGTATCAAATGAGACCAAAAAAGAAAAATAAATCGAACATGTTCAAGGTTGGCAAGTTAAGTCGGAAGAACGGAGAGCAAGAGCGAGGTCGTAACACGATGGTAGTCATCTTCTGGCAACGGGCGATGGGTGCGCTGTTCTCGTGTCCTTTACGAAAAGTCGTCGTTGCCTTCGCCCAGCACAAGACGGTCAATCCGCTTGACCAGCTCCTTGGTCTCGCGCGCAATCTCAAACGCCACCGGAGGCAGCGACGTCGTCCACGACCGCATGTCCATCTTGCGCCCGCCGCTCGCCTCCGTTGCCCGCATCGACTCGCCCCGGTCGCCCGCTTCCACCAGCCGTTGCCGGCAGCTCACCAGCTTGTCGAGCGAAGGGCCGCCGTTGCCGCTGGCTTCCGTCTCGGCAATCACTTTCCCGACGATATCGGCAATCTCGTTGATCTGCTGTGTAATCTGCTGCACACCCGCCTCGCTGCGGATCGACCCGACCATGTCCTGGATGATCTGCACCATCACCGCTGTCTGGTCGTCAAGCAGCGCCTTGAGATCCTCGGTGCGCTGGCCAGCGCGGCCCGATCCGCTGCCGCCAAAGCCACTGCCAACGTCGTCGTTACCGTTGCCGCCAGGTGCTGAGGGAAGGTTCTTGTTGATGCCGAGGTAGTTGCCGTTCATCCCGTTCATCCCGTTCATCCCGCTGGCACCACTCATACCATTCGGCGCGCCACGCGACATGGAGCGCCGGCCGCCGTTGGCATAACTGCCGAACCGGTCAACCGACTGCCGCGGCGAGCTTACCGGGCTGTATGCGGACGAGTCTGCGCTGTCGCGCACGCCACCCAGACCCTGGAAGGGCGGCGGCGGAGGTAGTGAGTTTTGTGTTGTCGTCGACGACAGCGTCGTGGCCGTTGTTTGGCCGCCGTTGCTGCGCGGTGAGAAGTAGCTGGCGTTGGACTCGACGGGCGTCAGAGAGCCGTTGTCGTCGTCCATCATCGACATGGACATGGTGGTTGACATATTGTTGTCGTCGTCCATCATCGACATGGACATGGTGGTTGACATATTGTTGTCGTCGTCCTCCAGCTCGCCCGCCGGCGTTGTGCGGACTTTGACCACCCGCAGGAGCTCCACCACGGCCGCCACCAGGTGCGATGCCGCCGCATCGAGCAGCGACACGGGCGACAAGCCAGCGGACATGGCAAAGTTCTTCGCCGCCGTGATCAGGTTGTTGGCCGTGCCCGACACGCGCGTCTTCAGCTTCGCCTGCTGTTGCTGCGTCGCATCCTCGTCTTGGCCCAGCGGCGCTGGCGCGTCGTCCAAGTCCTTGGTGATGCGGCGCACCGCCACAACAACGGCCTTCATGGAGTCGATCGTCTGCTCGGGCTCCTCGAGGCGTGCCCGCCGTAGCAGTTCATCAATCGCCATCTGGAATTTTGTGACGTGCACGTCCTTGATGAGGCCGTCGTCGGTCGTGAAGCCCTTCTCGCGCATGTACCGACCAGCGTCCTCCTGCTGCATGCCCAGGCCGGTGGACGAGCCGCGCAGCGTTCGCAGCTGTGTCTTGGCCCGCGCGTATCGGTTGCGCCAATCACGCACTTCCGCCTCGAGCGATGCAATTGTCTTCTCCAGGTCGGCGTGCTTCTCCCATGTCGTGCCGCTCTTTTGGGAGAGCATGCGCATCTCGTTCAGGAACCGCTCGGCTTCGCCGCGCACTTCCTCGGTGACTTGCTGCTGCTCGCGCAGTTGCTGTCGCAGGTCCTCGTTTTCGCGCAGCAAGTCCTCGTTGCCACCCCGGCTCGAATTCTTGTTGCTGTTGTTGCGTGCACTCTCGGCGAGGGATTGTCGCAAATCGTCAATCTGGGCGCGCAGCTGCCGCTCCTCAGCTGCGTGGTCGTTTCGCATCCGGTCCATGTCCTGCTGTAGCGATTCTGCGAGGCTGGCCGAGTCTGCCAGCTGGTTCTCGAGATCACGCCGTGCGTTCGACCACTCCTGCTTCTCGACGTTGCTGGCAGACGCGCGTGTGCGCTCAGCGTCGAGTACCGCATCCATCTCCACCTTGTTCTTCTTCATGTCCGATTCCATGGCCGCCATCTGGTCTCGTAAATCTTTTATTTGTGCTTCGTACTCAGTAATCAATTGCTTGTTTTTCTGCAAAATAAACGTCAGTGTCAATCGACAATAAAGAGCGCCACTGGTAAAAGACAAAAAAAAAATAGCTTACCTCCGTCTGTAATGCGGTCTCGGCGCCGTTGTTCATTTGCCTCTGCACACCGTAGTCGTCGCCGTTCATGTTGCCACCGCCCATGGGGTTTATCATCGGGTCATCATCCTCCTCAACCATAGTGCTCTTATTTGGCACAATCGTGTTGCTTTGTGATTGCTTCTGCATTGGTCGGTCATAGTTATTGGGCGGCAGGCCGGGCGATGGCGGTACGGAGCTGTTCCCAAGACCGCCGGGACCCAGTCCCAGACCATTCACGCCAACGCCGCTGCGCATCGAGCGAACGGAACCAGCTTCGGACGGTCGCCGCCGACTCTGATTGCGTGGCGGGAAGCCATTCATGCTGCCGTTGACTGGAGTCTGGGCGCGACTCGATGGTCGCATCGATCCGGCCGGGCTGCCCATGCGCGGGATGTCGCCGCCGGTAAAGCGCGGGATTCGTCGCTCCAGCTCGCAGAACACGTCAGTTGCAAGGTCGCGGAAGCGTGGCGGGCCAAGCGACGCCAGCTTTTGGCGGGCCTGATTGCGTTTTGGGTGGAACGAGTCTTCGGGCAAGAGATAGCTGGGCGGGCCACCGGGGCCCTGCGGGCCGCCATTGTTTTGGCGGCGGCTGACCGCTTGCCGGCGCATGAGTTCGTCGTAGACATCGGTGCTGAGCTCGAGAAACTGCACAGACGTTAGGCGTTGCAGCTTGTCGCGTGCCTTGTTGGCGGGCGGTGCGGCCTTGCCGTCGCGCGACGTCTGGGCGAGAAAGCGCTTGAGGGCAATGTAGTGCTCGCCGAGCACTGCGTCCGTGGCCTCTTCGCGCTGGCTGCGGCCGCTTTCGCTGCGGGCGTACATGCTGGGGCCGGCGCTGGAGCGGCCGATAGAGGGTGGTGGTGAGGGCCCGCCGTTGCCATTGCGCGGGCCCGTGGGAAAACCGGAGTTCATGGGGCTTGGGAGGGAGCCACCAGAGTTGGGTGGTGAAATGAGTTGGCCACGATTGTTGCCGTAGGGGTCGTCCTTGTCCATTGGATAACCGTTTGGCCAGTCACTATCGCCTATAGATACGGGTGATAGTGGTGCATTTCGGCCATTCATGCTTTTGATGTGCGCGGACGTGGCAGGACGACAAGCCGTCCAGTCGCTGAGTTCGAGTTTGTCGTGAGTGTCGTCGCGCCCGTAGTCCTCCCCCGATCAGTCTCGTGCGTTGGTGCGTTGATGTCCTCTCCAGGCCGCAATCGTGGGTTCGAAAAATGAAATGGGTGGCTTCTCACGTTCGGTTGAGGTCGGTCGGTTTCGAGATCGGGTCGGTTCGTGTCGACGCCAGTCGAAATCGTCAGCTATCCAAGGGCAAAGGGAAAAGGGGGCAACGGTCGTCGCCCTTGAACTCGTCTCTAGCGAATTTGTTATTTTTGATTTTGCGGCGGGATTCTGCCTCTCGTCCTCGTCTGTCGTCTGTCACTGCTTCGTCGTCGGAAAAGGACTTTGACTTCTGCGCGTTCCGTCGCCGTTCCTCGATTCAAAAAAATGGACTCTGCCCAGTCGTACGGTTCGTCGTTTGTTTCCTTGCGGTGTTTAGCAAGTTTGTTTTCGGCGTCGGATGGTGACAGGAGATGAAGTGAACAGAAAGGGCAAAAAGGGGTTCTGGCGCACGGAATGGAGGGAACGAAGACACCAAAATGAGCGAGAGCGACCGAGACCCAAAGTAATGGGGCAGGTACGGAGTAGAATGGAGTAAGTAGAATGGGCGCTAGGAGGGTGGAGTACTTGCGAAAGGGGGACTAACAACAGCAAAAGGGGGGTCACATAAAATAGAGGAAACAGCAGGAGCGTCTCGTGGTGAGAGGGGGAAAGAGAGAGAGCGACAGAGAGAAAACGGCAAGAGCCAGCTTGGTGCAAGTACACGGCCGATCGTGCCACAATAGGGGTTGGAAGAAGTATTAGGAGCATAAGAATGTCGAGAAGGGACACGGAGTAGGGAAGGAGCAGCCCAGACATCGAAGCAGTGAACCAGCAGGGTCAAGTTAAGCAAAGAAGGTGCGGACGGCCATGCACATGTTACGGAAAGGACAGCATCATGGCACGAGGCAAGGACGAGGGGGCCAGGGAATGGGCTCGGAGGGGCTAACAAGAAAGGGCCCAGAAAGACTTTTGAAGAAAATCCGCGACACAGACGGCGGGCGATGCTGAAACGTCACACTGGTAAGGGCGGGCAGAAGGATAGTCTCGGAAGGGGGCGTGTGGGAACGAACCAGCCAACAAGAATCTAGGGGGGCAAGGGCACAAAGCGGTTGAGACAGAAAAGACGAAATAGAGGCAGAATGGGAAGAACGACGCAATAGCAGCGGATCCAAGAGCAGGAGCGATCTTGTGCGGGTGCGGATTCTCCGGCTTCGAGAAGGTGCAATCGGGCAGCAGACGGCCAACCGTCGTGGGCATTCGGTATTGCTAATGTGTGTTGTACGACATACAGAGTTATTGAGAAGAATGGGAAACTACGAATCGCCGGAAAAGGAAACCGGTAACGAAATGGGAGAAAGCTCAAAGAAAACGGAAGGAGGTCGTTTGTTAGCTTTTGTGACAGGTGGAAGGTGCAACAAAGACATTGGCGCCATCGATGAAGACAGACATATGGGCACATGTCGCGGGCCGGCAGACAGTTGGATATACACGTCTTTCCACGAACTTATCGCCATCGAATCTGCAATGCAATGGCGGTGGACGTGGCAGGAAAAAATACTGACGTTAATTCCGGGAGCGATTCTTGTGTTGGGCCCCTGTCGTTTGTCGCTGTTTTCGGTGCATTGCCAGCCCCCCCCCCCTCCCACCCTCCTATTTCCTCTTGTTTTCCACCCCTGGCCCCTTCCCCTTTCCGTGCCAGCGTGCATCGCCCACATCGACAGACGACGCGGTCTAGACTGACGTTAGCCTCTTTTGGGACTGGCGTCCGTGATTTGCTACAGACAGCAACGAGCCAGTCCAATCGTGGCGCTAGGTGTCACCTCGATGCGCCAGGAACAGGAATTCGCTTGGATCCAATCACAATCAAACTGGCCACTATATTATTGAGAGCAGACGGCAATAAAGGGTGGCGCGCGCTAAGGAGGCTGCAGAAGGCGCTGTCACAATTTCTTGGGGTATTGCTGGTGGCGGGCAAGAGCAGAGAAAAAGCAGGCACGACCGGCGTTCGTCGGCGGCTTTGGAACGGCTTCGGCCAGTCAAAATAGAAGGAGCTCAACGTCCACGGCCCTAATCAGAGACGCATAAAATAAGCACCAGCCAGGGCATGGCCGGACCTGGGCAAGAGGCGAAGAAGCAGGGCAGTTTTCTTCAAGGTCAGGGCACGAAAAATGCAGATCTGTTTTTTGGGGGGGGATTTGCTGCTCGTGACGCGTTATCAATCGCTCCTGCCAGACTGGCCGTCTTGCTTCCCCATCCCTTTGGCCACGACGGCCTACGGCCTCCCTCCTTCCCCGTTTTACTCTGACGGAGGCATGTGCTTTCTCTACCGACAATCAATGTTACCGCGCCTGCTGCGCAATTGGCGCTACGACGGTGCTCAGTAGTGATGTTCGGGCCACCCCCTAACGGTCCGCCTATATTCCAGAGCCGGCGTTCTCCACCAACGAAGGGAAAGAGCATTGAAAAGAGGCAATAGAGACACGCAATTTCCAGATGGCAGCAGCGACGCAAGCCTAATTTTAAAAATATCAACTGCACACCCACAGCGCCTCCCGGCCCGCCGAGCATCACGAATGAAAAGGTTAAATAAACACTACGGACAGCAAAAAGCAAATAGAAAACGTTGATGGACCCAAAGTCGGAGGTCGACGTACAAAGCACACACCAGGGACGAGTCGCCGGCCGTTGCAGTTTCTGAGAGAGTGGCCGTGATAGACGCCCCAGCACTCGAGTCGGCAAACGTCCGAGAATGTCTTATTGTCTTGCACTTGGCGTTGCAGTTATCATTCCCTGCGAAGACGAACAGATGCTCCATCTCACTCCCTTATCATCTCGTCGAGCTTTTGCAAGAAACCTGGGCCGGGGACTGCGACCGTTTCGTGGGATGATGAGCTCTTTCCTAATTTGTCGGCCCCGCTAATAGCGTGCGCAGCGCTTGCCGCCGGGAGATTGGCTGTGGAGGCCGCCATCGAAGCACTCAATGTGTGTGAAATACAGGGGAGGGAAGGAGCAGGCTATTCCTATGCATATTGTCAAATCTCCCACCACGCATTTCTCGGCCATGTTGACAGGGTTGTTGATATTTTCGTCTAGGCCATTTTGTTTGTTGTGCTCCCGTCGAATTGGAAATGAAATGGCACGGAGTCTCCCGTCTCCGGGGGCACGACCCGGTGCTTCCCTGTACACAGTAGATGGGTCTCCCTGCGAAGCGCAGATGTGCGATTTGAAAGGGAAGCTTGCAAGGCTGTGCACATGGCCAACGACTTACGCAGTACGGAGCAATACTCTGTATGTTGTACAGTTTGTGCAAATCAGGCGATGTTCGCAATGCCGGTGACTTGGGTAGGACTAGCAAGCTATCACGTGGCCGCCTTTTGTGGTACGACAGGGCGTCATTGCAGATCAGATGGGGTGATGATCCAAGAGGCGGTGGTATGTATCATTGTCAGCAACAATGGGAAAACGTATCCTGTGCTTCGAAGGCTGACAAAAGACCGAGGCGGCCTGTGGTCTGCGTTCATCCGACAGTAAAACTGTTGTCGCGTGGTCGCCCAGTAAGTTGGCTTTGCACAGCCTTTTGCATGATGTACTATAATAGTTGCCGGGCTCAGGCTTCGCGTCCGCCTCAAAGAAACATTCCACCGGCCTTCTTCGTCAAATACTGGGCTCCCCTTTTCTTGCCCATTGCTCACGGCCCATTATCTGATTTTCGAAGAGCAGTTTCATCCGCGGTTTTCAAAAGACTTGGGATGGTTTGACTAGGCCTAGTTGTCCTCGCTGGATAGATCACAGTGGTGATTGGAGATACCAACATGGAAAACGTGCAATCACAGTAGAAAAATTTGATATCGACGGCAGTCAATGTTTTTCCCAGCTGCCATCAGAGGCCCGCACCCTTTCTAGCTTTCCCCTCCTAGCATTGCTGCGTCCCACCGTCGCATGTCCGATCATGCGTTGCCGTGTTTGATGTGCACTGCGAACAAACGGCGCCCGGCACGCACCGTACAAGGGTAATATGGATGTATGAAGTACAAGGCACACAATTATTACAAGAGAGAAGCCAACTGGTGGACGCAGAATATTTATGTCTATTGTATTATGCTTGATATTTTGCGTATTTGTGTACCCTGCCCGTTAATCTTCGAATCGAGATACAACATACTGACTTTTGGCCGAACGATTCTCAGCCGGCGACTCTTGGCCTTGACCTTGGCCGTGGTCTGGTGGCATCAGCGAATCAGCTCACTTTTGACACGGCATGTGCTCTTTGCGTAATATAGCGTAGCCGAGTATCAAAAAGGCCTTCCACGAAAGCACTCCTGTGCCCTCCTTTCCATTGGTCTGCCAATGCTTTTGTGCTGTCGCCTTTCGACTCTCATTCCCCAGATCGATCGCCCGTTTCCGCTCGTTGTTTCACAGTCGACCAAAAAACCCCCAAGATTCCGGGGTATATACTGCATAGGTGCATATTCGATTGCGGCACGTGGGGCATATGCCATCGTATAAGGTGCCAACACCAGTATGATGGGTGCATGACCGTGATGCAGCGTTTGATGGCAGGCGAATATAGAGAGCGATGCCATTCCTACAACAGGGAACGCGACCTCTGTGGTGTGTTCTTTGCCAGCCGGTCTTTCTCATGAAGGAGAAAAGAACCGACTTCCCTCAGAACCATGCCAGCGTCCAGGTGCTCGGCAGATTAGGCCAGCGCTCCTGCCACTCGCCCAGAATGTCAGGCACGCGCTCGTCAAAGCTCGACCGGCTGGCCGCCCCGCCCATGTCAAAGACAGCCGCCCCAACTTTGTCGCGCTCCTCGGCCGCCGCGCGGTTGAGCGCCGTCGCCAAGTCGAGGATGCCGCGACCGCCCAGCGCGGCCTCTTCGTGGTTGTCGCGAATGTCGACGTTGATCACATGCACCGGGCGGTTGAGCGGCGAGCCGCGGTTGAGCAGATCGTCGACCACGGCGTCCCAGCAGCGCTCCTCGCAGGTGATGACGACGTCGACGACGCCGCCCTCGGACCCGACACTGCCCATGTCCGACGTGTGCTCGGTGCGCGGCAGGCCGACCTGCCAGTCCTGCCAACGCTCTGGCCCCCACTTGATACCGCGGTTGCGGTTGATCATGTTGAGGACGCCGTTGGCGCGGTAGAGGCGGACGTCTTTAGACTCGAGTTCACGGAAGATGCTGTCGTAGGAGGTTTTGTTGAACTGATAGACGTTGGGCTGGGTGATGGTCGGGCCGGGCAGGCGCACAAGGGAACCCGTGCCGAACGAGATGACGGGGAACCCGGCCTCGGCGAGACGGAGATGGGCCTCCATAGATCTACAAGGTGGAGAGCGCAAAGGCCGAGTATTAGGTCGTCGGGTCCAATAAGATGACTGGCAAAAGAAGGAAAAGCAAGAAGAAGAAAGGAAATAAACCGCATCACACAACATATGCACAACATGCAAGCAGCTCTCGTCTATGGTCCCTTCCTCCTCTTCGCATTACAGACATATCCCGCAGCATCGGTCACTCTACGTATGTGTGCAGGTAATGAGTGTACCAGACACGCTGGCCTGGTGAAAGAAAGGTTACGCACCGGTTCTGGTTGCTCGCGCACACAGTGCAGAACTTGAGCTTGAAGCCAGCCTTGTCCTCAACTGCAGGAGCCTCGGACGAAGGCGCAGGCACGGCCACGTCTGTTCCGTTGGTTGCCGCCATGGCTTGTCACTCGATGCGGTCAATGTGTCGATATGGTGACGTTGGGATCAGTCGAGATGGTCGGAACCTGTCAAGGCAGCGAGTTAGCAACGGTTCAGACGCACACAGACACGTCGCGTGTCACCTCACAGGTCCCGTTTTGCTTCCGCTGTTGCTGCTGCTGCTGCTCTGCCTCTGCTAAGATCAGATATAAGTTGCGTAATTAATGAAATAGTCATCAAGAAAATCAGACAGCTCCAATATATATAATATCATCATGTAGGCAGGACATAGCAGCAACAGCAGAGCGAGGTCGCAGAGCGGAGCTCATCTCATCTTACCTTTTGGAAAGCTGGTCGCTCGATCGTTGGTCTTTGACGTTCACGCGTGCACAGGGCGCGCTTCGATTTGGTCTGTTCGTTTTGCGGTGTGTCCCTTGTCTTCGTCTCTTGAGAACACGCAGAACTGCTCTCACGTCAGATCAACATCCGACAGGCCAAACACCACCGAGCGCTGCCGCATCTGCGAGGCGTAGACAGTGTGCATAGGCAGAGGGAGAAGCAAAAGCATGTCGGCACCGCGGGGATGTGCCGGGAGCTCAGGTCTCAATGCGAGGTGGTGAGGTGGTGAGGCGGTGGTTGGTTTTGCTTTGTGACAAGGGACAAAATTCTGTAGATTTGGTTTGAAAACAGCCGTCTAGGTTTTCGTGTTTGCAGCTTATTTTCGGCCAATCACAGGGAAATATACAGTGGATCTTCATTGGAGGTCCCCATTGGTTACATTTGTTGTCAGGAAACGATCTGGCACTAGCGCACAGTGCACAGTCGCACCTTCTTCCACTTTGTCAAATGTCGGACAGCGCCCACCCTCCACCATGTCTGACGCAACAAGCGCCTCGTTGCTTCTGAAACACCTAAAAGGCCGCCCTGCAGGAAAGTGTGCAGATACCCGCAGATGACCGCAGATTCACGCCGACAGCCTACACACTGGCTGCAGATAGCCTGCAGAATGGGGGGCTCTCAGTGTCTGTGTCGAGAACGCAACGAACGAGCCAGCCACACACAGGACAGGTGGAACTGGAGAGCACGACATGGTCTCAGGTCACATTCGTTCCCGAAATAGAACAGGAGCAGACAAGAACCGAGGAGAACAAAGAGCGAGAGGGGAAGCACGAGAGAGAATTACAGCGAGCGGCATAACGAAACAAGGAAAACGAAAAGAAAATAGACGAAATAGACGACCTGCAAAACAGAATGGAAGTCAGCGAACACTCGTCCTTTGCCGAACATGCGGATGAAATGACTGCATTGTGGCCTGAAGTTTGTATCGTACCGTACGTTGGCAACCGTCAGTCGCCCGAGCAAGATTGAGCTCAGCTCACCGCTGGTCGACACTGGAATATTATTTTCCCTGCTATTATATCTCTGTCTGGATACATACGCCACAAATCATGACCTGTTGGCACGATTGCTCAAAGGTGGTGTTATTATTGTTGTTTTTATTCCGCATCCCTGTCGATATGTCCTAGGAGATGGTCTGCCTGGCCGTCTTTGTGGCCGCCTTCCTGGCCGCTGGGACAGCCTCCAAGACGGCACGTTGAGTACGAACGCTGTATTTCGTACTTGAGCGGAAGTTGGGATACTTGCAAAGTTGCATTGTCCTCTTGAGCGCCTGTTTCGTCCTACGAGGCGACGATATCGTGATACCGTGACCACGACCAATGTCGAAGCCTGACAGGCAACACCTTTTTTGGTACCCATAGCTGTTCAGGAGGGACGTCGATGTAACTTCAAAGCAGTGTATCAAGTCTTCAACGATGGCAAATGGTGTCTACTTTTGAGAGCAATGCAATCGTCATCAGATTTGACGCTCTCCAGTTACGCTTCTTCGTCTGTTGTTGTTGCTTCATCTTTTGTCTAGAAAACAAAAGGACAACAAACGACAACAGCTGATTTCGCCGCATGGTAAACAAACGACTGCCCAAGCTGTCAAGACGTGCGCAGAGCAGTAGACCCTAGCACAGACGATCCCCGCCTGGCGCTCCGTGTCATATTAAAATCCCAGTACGCCCTATCTAACTGTGAGGCGCTAGCATCTGTGCGCAGACCCTCGACAATAGCAAAGTATCCACCGCACCGCCTATGAGACAGCCTAATATATGTCAGTGGAGGCAGCTGTGGTAGTTTGCCTGGGACGCTCGCATCCGTTCTTCAGTGGCGCTGGTCTTGCTGTTGTTGCCATTTTTGGCTTGCTTTGGATACGCTGTCGTCTGGATCTTGCCAGCTTGCCTCCTGTTGCTTGCCATTTCCTGTTGACGCCTGGGCTCTGGAGCGCTGTGACAATGTTGTGTTTTTTTGCGATCTGTTGCTCTCCGGTGCGCTCTGTTGCTCCATCCTTCCTTCCCTACTTCACTGGCGCCGACTCTCAGCCGCCACTTCACCTTCCCAGTTCGCATTTGCCATTCCCTCCCAGTCGGCCTGGCCCTGCGCGCTTAGCACCCAGGTAGCACCCCAGACAACGAGCAGCTACTAAGAACAGAAGCTACTACCGCCAAAAACAGCCCGTCTTCATTGTATGGTCGTGGCCGGTGTCCCGTTTGTTCCTTCTCTTTTTCCCTGGTCGTTCTTTCCAAACAAATCTCGCCCACATCTTCCGTCCTTTCCTCCTTCGCTCTTGCTCTGGTCAACGACATCGTAACTTGTCGGTCGGCAAGAACCTCCCTTCATCTTACCCTCTTTCTCCTCCCTCCTTACTACCGTTTTCTCTGTGTGCGTCCCCGCTTGTTTACCTCTTTTGTCTGCCCCATCTTGTCTCGTTTTTCTCTGCGCACACATCCAGCGGTTTCAACTCTCACGGCTGCTCCCCTCGCGCCTCTCTTTCTACCACTTCTTCCGTTTTGCCGCCAAAGGGCTTTGGTTGCGCCGCCGTTTTTTTGGCCCTCTTTTTCCAACGCTTCGATACTCGCTACTGTTTCTATCCTCGACAATCATCGACAAGTCACCGAACTCGAATCCGGCCTCGACCCGACGTGGACGTCGATCGCGGCATCGCTGTCGTCGCCCTCTCCCCTACGAAGATTCATTGTTTTACGACAATTACACGAACGCTTGCGTCGCCCAGGCCGGGAACAAATTGCACATTGCCCTTCGCCCCAGTTTTGCATCGCGTCGTGGCTGGGCGCAATCGGTATATTGTCTCCAACTCACGAAACACCACGCGGCCGCGGGTCCCTTGATTTGTTCTATTCTTAGACCAGATGCGTACATCTGAATCATTCCAATCATCCACGACGAATGCATCCTTCCTCTTTCGAGTCGCTTTCTGGCCTTCCACGATCTACTGTCCATCGCGGCCCCGACCGCCTCGTTTATCTCGACCCCCCCTACATTCCGCTCTGAGACATCCTCTACTTGGACATCTTCTCGGTTCACTCTCCCATCTCCGTTCTTGGGACAGCGGACGGAGCCGAGTCGTCCGACTACAAACACGACCAACGGGGCCGAAGGGAGACAGGTAGCCGCTCTAGTCGCTAGCGAGTCTATGCCAGCTGCTTTCGACCCAAGCCGTATTCCAATTCTTTACCTTCGTCTCCGACAACAAAAGACTCGAGGGAAGGTATCCTCTCCTCGCGGTGGCAATTCTTGTTCCTGCCCTTGCATCAAGGGTCGCCAGCTAGCCTTGGTTAGGTTAACGATCGAAACCCCGAAGCAGTGACTGAGGCGCTATTCGAGAGAAGGGTCCACATCCACCACACGCGCCAACAACGAGCGCCCCTCCATTTGTCTCCGGCTCTGCATCTTTCGTCTACGACGTACATCTCCACGCTTTTCGCCCTTTCGCCTTTCCCCCTCGGCGTCTTTTACCATTTCGCCCCTTGCCAGTCAAACAGGGCAAACCAGCGAGCCGGAGAGCCGTCGTGTCTGTTTTAGCGAATTTTCTTTACGCCCGCTTGCAGCATATGGCATTTGCATGCCGTACCTACCCATAATCGCGTTCTAAAAAAAAAAGACAGCGCCAGGCCCCTCACCCCCTCTCTCCCCCTTTCCCACTAGGCGCGCTCTTCTGACAGATCGACGAATCGCATACTGGCGGACGCCTTTTGCGCTTCGTCCACCTGTCCCAAACTGTTGGACTTGTCGACTTCTTTTAATTTTAGATGATGGCAGCGATTGTATCAGAAACGCCTTCCTCATCCTCCCCAGCAACGTCGCCGCCGGCAGCCGCACCTACGAGCGTCAACCCCCCCAACAACCCGTCTTCCCCACCGTTCCATAATCCAAACCATCCTGCGCTGCCACCACTTGTCACATCTCCGCCTCCGCCGGCGCGCCGAACCAACCTGTCACGGCCAATGTCGCACGCTTCGAAGAACCGCCTGTCGCAATACTCTACAGGCTCGATTCCCCCACGGTCACGCCCAGCATCCCACCTCTTCCCCATCTACCCATCCAGCCTCCCATACACACTGGTCCGAGATTTCGCATATGCCTCCTCCAACCCGTTGCACTATGGCCCACCGCCAGAACCGTCGCGGCCGCCGTCCGTTCTGTTGACGCCGTCAATAGACGCACAGTCGCAACGGCGCCTCTCCGATCCGCCTGTGTTCTGGGACTCCAAAGGCGGCTCTGGCTGGGAGACGGGCTCATGGACCAGCGACTCGTTCCGACGCGCAACCGACATTCCCCCAATTCTCCTGGCCGACGGGCCGCCGTGGAGCGAGGACGAAGACCTGCAGAGCCCTGTGGTCAGCTCACGACATCGGAAGCACAAGTCCACGTCGGGTGCGTATGGGCACGGGCACAGCCGATCCCGGGCTTCGCGTGATGAGTACGCCGAGAGTTCCGGTAATGGCGTTGGCCCTGGCGTGGACGGTGCGTCTCACGGTCACGGCCTGGGGGCCGCTGGCGGCGACCACGACTCAGCTGTCCTGAATCCGGACAACTACGATCGCGAACGGGGCTACTATATGGGCACAAGCGGCGACGGAAGTGAGCGGTACTATGTGAACCAAGAAGGCGACGAAGCCAATGGGCCGGGCGGCGAATTTGTTACATACCCCCCGGACCAAGCACGGCATTCCACAAACGCCTACCAACTACAACCACCCAACAACTACGGCGCGTACCGGCCTACCTCCGACGCCTCGAGCCCCATCTCGTCGCCCGACTATCGGGAAGACGACCAGTCGCGCTACTCCCGCGACTACCAATTTACAATTACCTCGCCCGACGAAGAGATGCACGGCAAGGCCGTTGCGCTCTTCGACTTTGCCCGCGAAAACGAAAACGAGCTGCCGCTCGTTGAGGGCCAGATCATCTGGGTGTCGTACCGGCACGGACAAGGTTGGCTAGTGGCCATGGACCCCAAGACGCAGGAGAGCGGCCTTGTTCCCGAAGAATACGTGCGCCTCCTGCGGGACATTGAGGGCGGCATGACGAGCCTGACAGGCCAGGTGGTCCTGACGGCCGATGGAGGTGGCGCAGCCAGCCCCAATGACGGGGGCACGCCGACACAGGCCGAGCACCACCACGGGCAGGGCCCCGGTTTTAGTGGCGGCCACACCCCGACGCCGAGCAATGTCACAAACGGATACCATCAGCCGATCGTATCGACATTTTCGACGTCCAGCAAAGACCTCGACCCCTACCCACAGCACCTTCTAGGCACCCAGGCCGGCCAGACGCCGCCACAGGTCATCCATTACCACGGCCAGCGCGGCGGGTCGCAGGCGAACACCCCCACGCTGCTCAACCACCAGGATGTGGGCATGATGCGGCGCGGCAGCCAAGACGTGCCTACCAAAAAAAGCGGCGATGGACATGTCCCTTCGACGCTCGGATCGCTGCCAGACGATACCGCTGAAGAAACGGCCGAGACGGCGACGAAATTAGCAGCAAACACGGCGGCGGCCGGCAGTGAAGAGTAGCCCTAGAGCACATGCCTATATATACTCTTTGTCTTCTTTATACCGTTTTACACGAGGTCTCGCGCCCCCATTGCGTGCTATTTATAACTTCGCGATCTATTGTTCTCCCATATATTTTGTATACTAGCATCATTGTGTGTTTGGCCACCCACGTTCTACTGTCCTGTCATTTTTTCCTGCTGATATCCTGTGCGGCAGTTGGGGTGTTTTGTATTTAGGGAGGGGTGGACCAGCCCGCATACATTTGAGTTGATGTTGTTGTCCGGACACCTG